TGGACGGTTTATCCATGTTGATGTAATCGAACCAAAGTTTCCCATTTTCCGTTTTTCTCGAGTAATACTTGTGAAGACAAAGGAAATTCGACTCCAAGGTAGGACCTGGCAGACCAGTCTGTTCACATACCAGAGATGCCACAACAGACGCCATATCGTGACTAAATATAATGGCTGTTATTTTGTGATCGTTTACGTAACGAACAGCTCTTTCGACGTAAGATGTCAAGAACTCGGGCTTTGCCAAGTAACTGCCGTAGGCTGAAGATGCTATTGCTTTGTGAATAACATCTTCCAAAGCGTATAAAAAGTGAATCTCGTACTCATTTGGATCAAGCAGAGCTGCTTCAGCATGGTCATTTGATGTAGGAAGAAGGCTAAGAATTTTGTGCATTTTGGAATGCTTGTCAGTAAAATTACAAAATCTAACCAAAGGCAACTGCTTTGGTTGAATAGCTTTCGGTCACTAGATGTGGCCTAACTGGCCTTCAATGAAGCTCAGTTGCATTATATATAAATAATACAATATTTACATACAACCACTTCAGAGGTTTTCCTTCCAAACTTTGAACCTTGAACTTTGAGCGCGTGGTGAATGATGGGCGTTGTAAATTTGCAACAATTAATTTAGGCCCAGAACATCGCTTCAAAACAAACTCGTGCACGTGTATAAATATCGACCTTGATCGGTTACCGTAAATGCTGCCATGTTCTGGTATTTCTTCGCTTTGATTTGCTTACGATTGGGAATACCCATGGACATTTCATGCGTGCTCAGCATTCGTATTGGTTGCCTAAACACCAATAGAAGTGCATGGGTACAAACAAGTACAAATTCAGTCATGCCGTGCCAATTAATGAATTGACTGTAGTTTAATTGTTTAACGGGGGGTTTTATCGTCATATTCACCCAGAGGCGATTATTGTATTGAGAATACGTAAACCGGCGAAATTCTAAAAGTACTACAGCAGTTTAAAACTTACAAACGAAGCATTTGTTTTCATTACGGCCTATAATTCAATGAACCAATGAACTTTAATCATTTTATGCATACTTTTCGACTACAGCAACACCATTAATCATACGCTATTGTTACATATCCCTTTGATTATGTATACTGCTAAAAATTAGGGATTGGCCAAATATTTCAAAATTTCTTATTAGTTCCCAGTATGTCCTTCTAATACGTCCTCTTTGTAACAGTTAAAAAACACGCGTTTGCATGACCAAAATTGTCCGAATACAAGAAAAGTTTATGTATTAGGTAACTTCAGCAGGTAGTAATCTTCTTCACGCAGGAGAAGTTTTGTTTTTATCTCGTTTGCGCGTTGAAAGAGAATGGACGGACTGCTTTCCGTGAGAAGGAAATCGCTCAGCTCCACTCCAACGGTGGATGTCTGCCTCACTGGTGTTTCCTCTTTGACGAAAACAGTCATGGCTTGTCCCGACGTGTTGTAAACCCCGTCAGAGATGCATCCCTGTCTGGCGTAGTCGTAGTCGAGAAAGTCCTTTCCCTGACCTTCGCCGCTGGTGAAGATAAAAAACTGGCCCGAAATCGGTTCGCCATCTTTGTAAAAGATGGATGTTTTACACTTAGCTAGTTTCTCTGTTTGGCCGCAAGCGAGGAAGACCGCTGCATGGTGCGCGCTGATGTTCCACATCTTTCTGTAAGCCGCTGAATAGGTATAAGCCATTCGACAATTTATTTCGATCAATATCATCTCGTCTCCTTGTTCCCAGTATTCGATTTCAAAAAACGTGTTGGTGAGACCAAAACAATGGGCCATCTTTTCCGTGTAATCGTATAACTTCTTATATGTATCTCCGTCGACTGCGCCTGGAAAGAATCGTGGGATAATCCAGTGAAGAAGCCTTCCAGCATTATCAGGAGAAACTTCATTAAAACCTGAAGTGAACATTGTAAAGTTTCCTTTGTCATCACACCAGCCTTCGAAGCAGTATTGGTCGCTCATATTCACGAGCTCTTCCACAACAGCGATATTCTCCACTGCCAACGGAAACTTTTCCAGATCAAGATAGCGCTTAAAAAACTGGCGATACCCAGTGAAATATGGACCTACCAGCTCATTGAGGTTCGCCAAAGCGGCCTCCATTTCTGCTTCATTTTTAACACAACACAGCCCGTGACTTGATGTGAGAAAAGGTGCCTTTAGAATGCAAGGATAGCGCATTTTATCTTTCCATTCGCTTGACGGTTTATCCATGTTGATGTAATCGAACCAAAGCTTCCCATTTTCCGTCTTTCTCGAGTAATACTTGTGAAGACACAGGAAATTCGACTCCAAGGTAGGACCTGGCAGACCAGTATGTTCACATACCACAGATGCGAGCATAGACGCCATATCGTGGCTAAACATAATGGCTGTTATTTCGTGATCTTTCACGTAACGAACTGCTCTTTCGACGTAAGATATCAAGAACTCAGGCTTCCCCAAGTAACTGGCGAACGATAACGACGCATAATTTCCTGTATCAATAACATCTTCCAAAGGGTATAAAAAGTGAATCTCATACTCATTGGAATCAAGTAGAGCTGCTTCAGCATGGTCATTTGATGTAGGAAGAAGATTAAGAATTTTGTGCATTTTGAAACACTCGAACGCTGATCAAATTTATTCTTCTTTATTTTTTTAATTAGTTTAGCTTTCGATCACTAGCTTGTGGTCTAAATCCAATCGAGACTTCGATATTGGTAGTTTACGGCAACCTCACGGACACGCTTGAAAAACAAAGAGGGTGTCTAAATTTACAACTCAAGCACCGTGACCTCCGACATGTCCTTATTTGGCCTGAACGCCACATTTTTGTCGCGTCGACGCAACCAATATTATATGCCTGATTTGAATTTGAAAGGCATCACCTTTTTTTTACTCACCCTGTATTGTATTTCATACCAGAGTTGGTAGATATGGAAATATTTCAGACCACTAGTGCTGTCAAGAAAACAAGGAAAGCAAAGAACTAGTGTTGCCAGATTACTGAGAAATTAGCCAAATATTATGACCACAATCGTTGCTTTCTTTGTTTCAAAGGGCCGACTACAACAGAAATCTGGCAACCCTGCAAAGAACTGAGTGCTGATGTTGTTTGGCCTCAAATATATATGCAGCTATTCCCCAACCCTGTTTCATACGTCCAGCAAAATATGTGTGAACAGACCTTTGTGCTTCACGGAATTGTCCGCTTGTAAAGGTTTTTAAAACTGATTTAATTAGCTGCATGCATATCTATCAAAATGCTAATCTCCTTAAAGTGCCCATGTCATAAAATTGGAATTTAGATTTTTAGAATCTTTGTTTGAAATGAGTTAGTAAGTTCTAAATCAAAACTGAAACTGGACTTTTATTTTTCGAGTTATTGCCATCTAAACATTGATTTTGGTGGAATGAAAACTCTGAAAACCGCGCAAATGAGACTGGTGCGAAACAAGGTGTTTGACGTCACAATAGGAACTCGTTCGACGCGACAACTTAGTAACTCTATTGCATGGAGTAATAAGTAGAAGCTAACCGCGCAAAAAAGTGGTTGTTCTTACTTAACAGACAATTCTGTATAAAGTGACTCATATATTATCAAAATCTGTTGTGAAATGGCTTTAATAATTGTACGTTCCTGGCAACAGTCGCGCAATAATTGCAAATACGCAATGAGTCATGATCAATTGAGTCACTGTAAACACGAAGGCAGTGTTTAAAAGTTAACAGATAAAGGTTTCATGCATGCAGGCATCATAAAATAACGTCTCAAAAGATGCGAGTTGGCACATTTTAGTAAGGACAGCTAAAGAATATTGGTAAAAAAGATGCCATAATAAAAGCAAAATGTACTGGGTTATATTTATATACACATGATTTGATATGTTTCTTTTGCGCGAGACGTGTTAGATTTCTCAGTTAATATTGATAACTCTCAGTCTTTCATTGAACTATTTTTTTAAAAGCGCATGGGAACTCCACTCATACTCTAGCTCAGTTGATTTGTAATGAAAATAAACCAGAGAATCACACAGGCATGCGTGATTGAACTACACATAAACACATTGTAGAAATACCGGCACTCATGAGCCACAGGAAAACCTCGATCATAATGCTAGTAATATAATATATATAGGGCAGTAAAATGTATTAGGGTGAACTGTATATGCGCAATTATACAAATGACGATCAACTAGGACGAAACTTAAGGAAAAAAGTTATAGGTTATACAAAAGTACATGTAATTGCCACATTACTACCATAGAATCTATTTGTAATTTGAATACTGTGTAGTGTATATCTAGCGTAATGACATTATGTTCTGGGGTCACAGAAAGCAAGTTGCGCAATCAAAATCATAAGAAAACATTTGCTATTTACTGACGTCTACGATCAAGTCTTCGTTGTAGTTTCGATGCGATGATCGTTATACGATCGCTCCATTTCGCGATAGCTTTTCAGCTTATCATCGGCATCTGGTTTGTTAATGTATGGTCCGAAGTGTTCTTACTGCCTGACAAGGCAGACATTGACCCGCGTTCATGGTCTTAATTTTTGTTCGTTCTTGGTATTGCATTGGCAGGAAAACAATTCTAATCGGTGTCATTCCTTTGGTAACTTCTCAATAGCTAAACTTGATGAAGACATATTTCTGCCACGTTTAATGACCGAATTTAGCTGGCATGAAATCGCTTCTCTTGTACTACATACTATTATTTATCAAAAGGCGCAATATGCGAGTTCCTATTGTGACGTATTAGTTACCAGTTTCCGACTGTCGCGGATTTCAAAAACTTTTGCCGTTAAAATTTGAAATTTTCAAACTTTATCGCTTTATTTCTCCGCGAAAATAAACTCAATTTCAAATGTGATTACTATTTTCGTAATCTACGTTTCACGGCAATTCTAATGAGATAAATTCCAATTTTATGACATGGGCACTTTAACAATAACCATTTTCAATCACACAAACATTTTGCTATGGCAACCATCAAAATGTTGTAAAATACAACAGGGTTAGTTTACCTACAAATTATTACTGCACAAAATATCATGGTTTTTGGCGCAAAAGCGGTGGTGAATACAGAAAATTTCGTTGGTCATGATCAAATCTGGTAAGATAATTATATGTCGACAAAGAAGACGCCATATATTCGGTACTATGCATAGATAGGTAGTAGATCAGGAATTCGAGTCCGTATTTGTGTATATACAAGTTCTACTCAGCTATTCGATTCTACAGGCAAACCAAAACACAACCATAATATGTCATTGTATCTTTTATCCTAATTGCATGCACTAGGTTGCGAAATCGCCTGAGTATACTGACAATTTAAAACTGGCTATATATACCCTTCGACAACTACATTTTAAGCAGACATAAACTTAATTCGCCTAGCAACCTTTAATTGTTTGTTGGAATATTCATCTACTCGTTTTAAAGTCGTTTTAAATCAAACGAATTTGAGCGGCGATCAAGCGAGCTAAGAACTTGTATAAGTTACCACGCAAGACGTGCAGGTATTTGCCGCAAATTGGCCATGGACAAGCGCGATGTTGACTTGTGTTTCTTTGTTTATCTGAAGGAAAGATCATGTCACAAACGAAGCGACAGCGGCCAAGCAATGGCCGGTTCATTGGGGATTTTTGATCAGTCAGTACAAAAAGGTATGCGCCGAACTGATAGCTTTCGTCTCCGTCTTGAATTATATATAAATATTAAATTTATTCATTAATACGGCCTTATTAACACGACATCGAATATTGGACTTGTTCAGTTGTCCAAAAATATCATGGCATGTTTGCTTTAACATGATCTGGCAAATGAAAACGTTCTCCATGGGGACAGAGGTAGCGTCCCGTAAAACAACTTAAACTGAAGTATTGGCCATGTTAATCTCGGTGTAGAGAGGATCTATATAAAGTCGCGCGTGGGAATCTGTGAAAGTATTCATTGTAGGAGGCGTTCATTGTGACATTGGCGTGCGCAAAGGATACGTATATCATATATCAGACAGAGTTCATTTCTGTTCACACCTGATATATATGAATATGAATGTCAAATGTCAAATATAACACGATTTCGAAAACCGAAATCATAGAAACAAAGACATGTCCTTGAAGTATGAAGTATTTGTTCTGTGCAAGATTGTGTGTGAATAGATAAACATTTACATTTGACCCTATCAAAACGTCAGTTGCTTTTTGCGCCCTGACTTCCTCGACGGTTGGTAATATTTGTATGAATTTATATTAATCTATCTGGCAAGTATAGCCAAAGAAATTAGTGCCATATGCGGTTTGTGTCTGCATGTTTGTGTATGTGCAAACGTTTACAATCATCACGCGATTTTCTCTTTAAGCGTCGCACTAAATCGTAATCTTCAAACCCCGAAGATGGACCAAGCCTCAGTGCATGTTTACGCTACATATATCGAGTGTGGATTTAGGCTTTTAATCCAGGCTCGGGTTTGTAGTGTAAACACGGCTTTTGATTGATTTTTTTAGGGCCTGCTCTCATGGAGCGAGTTATCCCGGCTAAGGCGAGGTGAAAACTGTATACAATGAATTAATCACGTTAAGCTTTTGATGTGATGCGCTTTTTACCTCGCCTAGCTGGGATGACTCGCTCCATGTAATGATGTAAACAGGCCCTAAGCTGAATGTTCTGAATGTGTCTCAGTCTGAACATTCAAATTAAACTTTATCTGATATTATCACTTCGCACTCAAATTTCAAGTGCATTTCAATCTCTTTTCCAAAAGGGGTTTTACTAAACAACATATTTCCGATCGATAGTTATGTAACGAAGATGACGGCGTACCTCAAGGAGCGGCTTCGGTTCGCGTCAAGGAAAGGCGAGAGAAATTGAAACTTCCTCCAATCGACAACGTGAAACAGCTTGGCGTGGGCGCCTCGACCAGACCATTTCCAAAAACCAGCAGCGGTGAGATAGGTTGGCGATCAACACAGCCTCAATGCAGACTGGAAAGATACGGCCGTTATACGAAACCAGTTCAAGGAGTGTTGAAGTCTCTCAACTGGCCTCCTGAATCTGTTGACTGAAGCAAAATATTGATGTATGAAATTAGTTTACTTGAATCACAGTCGATGGAGGACGTGGTTTGAAGACAATACAACTCCTTAAGCTTCCATAGTTTCCATTTAATCGTAATTGTCGCAAACAAGCCATTTTCACCGATGAGAAATAGTTCGGATGTAAATTTGGTGTTTATTTCTATATTTAAATTGGTCATTGCTGAGTGCACACATCAGTGGCACACACAGAGATTTATTCTATCACATCAACTAGCTTGACAGTTGACATGTTCACGACTCAGGACTAAATGGGAAATGGAAAAATCTGCTCATGCGGGCGCGACGGGCCTCAAAAACAAAACCGCCTTTATGCATGCACCTAGACCTCAACAAACAGCATTCTTAGTTAGAGTACGATATAAATAATCACACCATCGTAGGTCACATCAGAGTCATTGAACCTAACTGTTAGCGCTCAGGTCCCGGTTGTTCAAAAGCCGGTTAGCTTAACCCTGGATTAAGGCAAATCTTTACCTTAATTTTTTAACCTCTTGCTTGCATAGTTCAGTCATAATCAATTTTTCGTAAATAATTTCAGGACGGATGAAAGTCATATTTTCTAAACGTTTTACAACAAACAGTGGTTCAAAAGCACATAAACTAAAACTCTTGAATATTATTTAACCCTGCATGGGTTAGCGCTAACCTAGCTTTGAACAACTGGCCCCAGAAGGGTGATTCTTTCAGAAATCCATTCTTAGTATTCAATCGATTATATCTTTTGTTATTCTGGATGTAACTTGTGATAATGTTTATCTGTAAGAACTACAGCTTGCCGGGATATATTTTGAGAGATAATACGTTGTTTCAACCGAGAAATAAGATTTTTTGTCAACAAGTCCCAGTCCTTTCCCACCATTTCAAATCACTTGGAAGAGATTTCTTAGGGAGAAAAATGACACTTTTTTGTATTCAATTTTGGTAATGATTAATAGCGTTGACATTAAAAAACGTTCTTGAAAGCAGCAGTATTTTTTTAATGCTTTTGTCGATCGTGTTTTACAACGACCAAATACTACTCAAAACTTTGACCACTACATATTATAAAGAATAAAAAACCTCCTCTTAATCATGTATGATTATCACCATAGAAATAACAGACATAGCAAGCGTGCTTCTGTACCCCAGTTAACGAATTGACGACATTAGCTATTGAAAATGGCCGATTCAGTATAAGGGCAAATTCCGTTGACCTTTTCTCGTAAGATGCTCCGAGATGTTAACGTAGTTATTTTAGCAAATTTGGAAGTTGGTGGAACGAAGAATCACCTTTACTAAATAAGTGAAAATTTTTAATGAACTTGCCCGCTCCTAGGACAAATCAAAGATGGCCGATTTATAAGGGCATTTTGATTTCATTTTGGACACCGGTCACATGACTAAGCACGCATTCTTCGTCTACTATTTCTATGATTGTTACACTATCTTTTGTCACTTATTATATGATGCTAGGAAAATCACCTAAATTTAACCAAAATTAGACCCCAATCAACAGTAGCCAAATATCTTCTCATGTTCAACAGGGGACGATTGTTCGAAAGGCGACGGCCGGTTCAAAAATGGAGAATTAAATTATCTATTTTTGAATGATGTGTATTTTTTTATTAAATGTTTCGATGTAAATGGTTGAATTTTCAATAGAAGTTTATATCTAAACCATAAGATGTAGGTTCAGTCATTCACGAGATCTATGAGAGAATTTAAACTTTGGCTTATGCAGCGTTTAAGCTAAACGCCTCTCGAACAACCGGCCCTGTCAACACAAGTTGTTAAACACAAGTCCAACGTCCTGCCTACTAGAGAAGTTCAAGGTAACTTCAGAAGGTCACGATCTTCTTCACGCAGGAGAAGTTTTGTTTTTACCTCGTTTGCGCGCTGAAAGAGACTGAACGGACTGTTCTCAGTGAGAAGGAAATCGCACAACCGCACCCCGACGGTCGATGTCTGCCTCACTGGTGTTTCCTCTTCCACGGATATAGTTATAGCTGGTCCCATCGTGTTGTAAACCCCGTCAGAGATGCATCCCTGTCTGGCGTAGTCGTAGTCGAGAAAGTCCTTTCCCTGACCTTCGCCGCTGGTGAAGATGAAAAACTGGCCCGAAATCGGTTCCCCGTCTTTGTAAACGATGGATGTTTTACACTTGGCTAGTTTCTCTGTTTGACCGCAAGCAAGGAACACCGCTGCATGGTGCGCGCTGATGTTCCACATCTTCCTGTAAGCCGCTGAGTAGGTATAAGCCATTCGACAATTCATTTCGATCAAAGTCATTTCGTCTCCTTGCAGCCAGAACTCGATATCGAAGAATGTGTTTGTGAGACCAAAACGCTGGGCCATCTTTACCGTGTAATCGAATAGTTTCTTATATGTTTCCCCGTCAGCTGAGCCTGAAATGAACTGCGGTATAACCCAGTGTTGAAGCCTTCCAGCCTTTTCAGGTGAAATTTGACAAAAGCCTGAAGTGATCATTGTAAATTTGCCACTGTTATCCAGCCAGCCTTCGAAGCAGTATTGGTCGCGCATATCGACCAGCTCTTCCACAACAGCGATATTCTCCACTGCCAACGGAAACTTTTCCAGATCAAGATAGCGCCTAAAAAACTCGCGATACCCAGTGAAATATGGAGCTACCAGCTCATTGAGGTTGGCCAAAGCGGTCTCCATTTCTGCTTCATTTTTAACATAACAATGCCCAGCACTTGACGCGAGAAAAGGTGCTTTTAGAAAGCAAGGATAGCGCATTTTATCCTTCCATTCGCTGGACGGTTTATCCATGTTGATGTAATCAAACCAAAGTTTCCCATTTTCCGTCTTTCTCGAGTAATACTTGTGAAGACAGAGGAAAGTGGACTCCAAACTAGGACCTGGCAGACCAGTCTGTTCACATACCACAGATGCAACAACAGACGCCATATCGTGACTGAATATAATGGCTGTTATTTCGTTATCTTTCACGTAACGAACAGCTCTTTCGATGTAGGATATCAAGAACTCAGGCTTTGCCAAGTAACTACCGTAGGCTAAAGATGCCATTTCTTTGTCAATAACATCTTCCAAGGCGTATAAAAAGTGAATCTTGTATTCATTTGGGTCAAGTAGAGCTGTTTCAGCATGATCGAATGCAATGGGAAGAAGATTCAGAATTTTGTGCATTTTGGAATGCTCTCTTTCGATCGAAGCGCTCTTTAGTCGATGAATGGAAGTTCCGAAATATCTGCACCACTTGATATGGCTGTCTCTTATTTCTCATTACACACACAACCTTGCACTATAGTATTTGAGATATGCGAACAAACGAGCCATTCTGGCATGATATTCCCAGGGGGTTTCGAAAACGGAAATCATAGAGACAAAGACATGTTTTTGAAGTATTTGTTCTGTGCATGATTGTGTGTGAATCGATAAACATATTTACAAAACATCCTATCAAAACTTCGGTTGCTTTTTGCGCCCAATTATTGCTCTGACCAATAGAAAACAACCTTGTTCAAGCTGCTACACTACAGGATCCGGTTGTTCGAAAGGGGTTTAGCTTAAGGCTGGATTTCCACTTACAGAGAAATAGTTCGCTTGCGAAATATTTGCATATTTTCTTTAGAATTTTAACAGCATAAATAAATTATTTCAACATGACTGCTCTCAATTCAAAAGAAAATATGCAAATATTTCGCTTGTGAACTGTTTCTCTGTAAGTGGAAATCCACCCTAAACGGCGCTTTTTATTGGACAAATGAGCTGAAATATTTCGATGTAAATAGTTTAATTTTCAATGGAAGTACATATTTAATGCATAAAATGTAGGTTGAGTCATTCACAAGATGTATGAGAGTATTTTTAAATGTTGGCTTCTCCACCGTTGAAGCTAAACGCCTTTCGAACAACCGTCCCCAGGAATAGATGGCAAGCAGCCAAAGGGATTAGTGCCATATGCGGTTTGTGTCTGTATACCTGTTTGTGTATGTGCAAACGTTTACAATTATCATGCGATTTCCTCTTTAAGCGTCGCACTAAATCGTAATCTTCAAACCCCGAAGATGGACCAAGCCTCAGTGCATGTTTACGCTACAAATATCGAGTGTGGATTTAGGCCTTTAGTCCAGGCTCGGGTTTGTAGTGTAAACACGGCTTTTGATTGATTTTTTTAGGGCCTGCTCACATGGAGCGAGTTATCCCGGCTTAGGCAAGGTAAGCCTTTGATGTGATGCGCTTTTTACCTCGCTTAGCCGGGATAACTCGCTTCATGTAAACAGGCCCTTAGTTGAATGTTCTGAATGTGCCTCTGATATTCTCACTTCACACTCAAATTTCAAGTGCATTTCAAGCTCTTTTGCTGATCGCGTAAGATGATGGCGTACCTCAAGGAGCGGCTTCGGTTCGCGTCAAGGAAACTGAGGCGAGAGAAATTGAAACTTCCTCCAATCGACAACGTGAAACAGCTTGGTGTGGGCGCCTCGACCAGACCATTTCCAAAAACCAGCAGCGGTGAGATAGGTTGGCGATCAACACAGCCTCAATGCAGACTGGAAAGATACGGCCGTTATACGAAACCAGTTCAAGGAGTGTTGAAGTCTCTCAACTGGCCTCCTGAATCTGTTGACTGAAGCAAAATATTGATGTTTGAAATTAGTTTACTTGAATCACAGTCGATGGAGGACGTGGTTTGAAGACAATACAACTCCTTAAGCTTCCATAGTTTCCATTTAATCGTAATTGTCGCGAACAAGCCAATTTTCACCGATGAGAAATAGTTCGGATGTAAATTTGGTGTTTATTTCTATATTTAAATTGGTCATTGTTGAGTGCACACATCAGTGGCACACACAGAGATTTATTCTATCACATCAGCTAGCTTGACATGTTCACGACTCAGGACTAAATGGGAAATGGAAAAATCTGCTCATGCGGGCGCGACGGGCCTCAAAAACAAAACCGCCTTTATGCATGCACCTAGACCTCAACAAAAAGCATTCTTAGTTAGAGTACGATATAAATAATCACACCATCGTAGGTCACATCAGAGTCATTGAACCTAACTGTTAGCGCTCAGGTCCCGGTTGTTCAAAAGCCGGTTAGCTTAACCCTGGATTAAGGCAAATCTTTACCTTAATTTTTTAACCTCTTGCTTGCATAGTTCAGTCATAATCAATTTTTCGTAAATAATTTCAGGACGGATAAAAGTCATATTTTCTAAACGTTTTACAACAAACAGTGGTTCAAAAGCACATAAACTAAAACTCTTGAATATTATTTAACCCTGCATGGGTTAGCGCTAACCTAGCTTTGAACAACTGGCCCCAGAAGGGTGATTCTTTCAGAAATCCATTCTTAGTATTCAATCGATTGTATCTTTTGTTATTCTGGATGTAACTTGTGATAATGTTTATCTGTAAGAACTACAGCTTGCCGGGATATATTTTGAGAGATAATACGTTGTTTCAACCGAGAAATAAGATTTTTTGTCAACAAGTCCCAGTCCTTTCCCACCATTTCAAATCACTTGGAAGAGATTTCTCAGGGAAAAAAATGACACTGGAATAGAACACTTTTTTGTATTCAATTTTGGTAATGATTAATAGCGTTGACATTAAAAAACGTTCTTGAAAGCAGCTATATTTTTTTGAATGCTTTTGTCGATCGTGTTTTACAACGACCAAATACTACTCAAAACTTTGACCACTACATATTATAAAGAATAAAAAACCTCCTCTTAATCATGTATGATTATCACCATAGAAATAACAGACATAGCACGCGTGCTTCTGTACCCCAGTTAACGAATTGACGACATTAGCTATTGAAAATGGCCGATTCAGTATAAGGGCAAATTCCGTTGACCTTTTCTCGTAAGATGCTCCGAGATGTTAACGTAGTTATTTTAGCAAATTTGGAAGTTGGTGGAACGAAGAATCACCTTTACTAAATAAGTGAAAATTTTTAATGAACTTGCCCGCTCCTAGGACAAATCAAAGATGGCCGATTTATAAGGGCATTTTGATTTCATTTTGGACACCGGTCACATGACCAAGCACGCATTCTTCGTCTACTATTTCTATGATTGTTACACTATCTTTTGTCACTTATTATATGATGCTAGGAAAATCACCTAAATTTAACCAAAATTAGACCCCAATCAACAGTAGCCAAATATCTTCTCATGTTCAACAGGGGACGATTGTTCGAAAGGCGACGGCCGGTTCAAAAATGGAGAATTAAATTATCTATTTTTGAATGATGTGTATTTTTTTATTAAATGTTTCGATGTAAATAGTTGAATTTTCAATAGAAGTTTATATCTAAACCATAAGATGTAGGTTCAGTCATTCACGAGATCTATGAGAAAATTTAAACTTTGGCTTATGCAGCGTTTAAGCTAAACGCCTCTCGAACAACCGGCCCTGTCAACACAAGTTGTTAAACACAAGCCCAACGTCCTGCCTACTAGAGAAGTTCAAGGTAACTTCAGAAGGTCACGATCTTCTTCACGCAGGAGAAGTTTTGTTTTTACCTCGTTTGCGCGCTGAAAGAGACTGAACGGACTGTTCTCAGTGAGAAGGAAATCGCACAACCGCACCCCGACGGTCGATGTCTGCCTCACTGGTGTTTCCTCTTCCACGGATATAGTTATAGCTGGTCCCATCGTGTTGTAAACCCCGTCAGAGATGCATCCCTGTCTGGCGTAGTCGTAGTCGAGAAAGTCCTTTCCCTGACCTTCGCCGCTGGTGAAGATGAAAAACTGGCCCGAAATCGGTTCCCCGTCTTTGTAAACGATGGATGTTTTACACTTGGCTAGTTTCTCTGTTTGACCGCAAGCAAGGAACACCGCTGCATGGTGCGCGCTGATGTTCCACATCTTCCTGTAAGCCGCTGAGTAGGTATAAGCCATTCGACAATTCATTTCGATCAAAGTCATTTCGTCTCCTTGCAGCCAGAACTCGATATCGAAGAATGTGTTTGTGAGACCAAAACGCTGGGCCATCTTTACCGTGTAATCGAATAGTTTCTTATATGTTTCCCCGTCAGCTGAGCCTGAAATGAACTGCGGTATAACCCAGTGTTGAAGCCTTCCAGCCTTTTCAGGTGAAATTTGACAAAAGCCTGAAGTGATCATTGTAAATTTGCCACTGTTATCCAGCCAGCCTTCGAAGCAGTATTGGTCGCGCATATCGACCAGCTCTTCCACAACAGCGATATTCTCCACTGCCAACGGAAACTTTTCCAGATCAAGATAGCGCCTAAAAAACTCGCGATACCCAGTGAAATATGGAGCTACCAGCTCATTGAGGTTGGCCAAAGCGGTCTCCATTTCTGCTTCATTTTTAACATAACAATGCCCAGCACTTGACGCGAGAAAAGGTGCTTTTAGAAAGCAAGGATAGCGCATTTTATCCTTCCATTCGCTGGACGGTTTATCCATGTTGATGTAATCAAACCAAAGTTTCCCATTTTCCGTCTTTCTCGAGTAATACTTGTGAAGACAGAGGAAAGTGGACTCCAAACTAGGACCTGGCAGACCAGTCTGTTCACATACCACAGATGCAACAACAGACGCCATATCGTGACTGAATATAATGGCTGTTATTTCGTTATCTTTCACGTAACGAACAGCTCTTTCGATGTAGGATATCAAGAACTCAGGCTTTGCCAAGTAACTACCGTAGGCTAAAGATGCCATTTCTTTGTCAATAACATCTTCCAAGGCGTATAAAAAGTGAATCTTGTATTCATTTGGGTCAAGTAGAGCTGTTTCAGCATGATCGAATGCAATGGGAAGAAGATTCAGAATTTTGTGCATTTTGGAATGCTCTCTTTCGATCGAAGCGCTCTTTAGTCGATGAATGGAAGTTCCGAAATATCTGCACCACTTGATATGGCTGTCTCTTATTTCTCATTACACACACAACCTTGCACTATAGTATTTGAGATATGCGAACAAACGAGCCATTCTGGCATGATATTCCCAGGGGGTTTCGAAAACGGAAATCATAGAGACAAAGACATGTTTTTGAAGTATTTGTTCTGTGCATGATTGTGTGTGAATCGATAAACATATTTACAAAACATCCTATCAAAACTTCGGTTGCTTTTTGCGCCCAATTATTGCTCTGACCAATAGAAACAACCTTGTTCAAGCTGCTACACTACAGGATCCGGTTGTTCGAAAGGGGTTTAGCTTAAACGGCGCTTTTTTGGACAAATGAGCTGAAATATTCGATGTAAATAGTTAATTTTCAATGGAAGTACATATTTAATGCATAAAATGTAGGTTGAGTCATCACAAGATGTATGAGAGAATTTTTAAATGTTGGCTTCTCCACCGTTGAAGCTAAACGTTTTCGAACAACCGTCCCCAGGAAAGATGGCAAGCAGCCAAAGGGATTAGTGCCATATGCGTTGTGTGTCTGTATACCTTGTGTATGTGCAAACGTTTACAATTATCATGCGATTTCCTCTTTAAGCGTCGCACTAAATCGTAATCTTCAAACCCCGAAGAGGACCAAGCCTCAGTGCAGTTTAGCTACAAATATCGAGTGTGGATTTAGGCCTTTGTCCAGGCTCGGGTTGTAGTGTAAACACGGCTTTGATTGATTTTTTAGGGCCTGCTCACATGGAGCGAGTTATCCCGGCTTAGGCAAGGTAAGCCTTTGATGTGATGCGCTTTTTACCTCGCTAGCCGGGATAATCGCTTCATGTAAACAGGCCCTTAGTTGAATGTCTGAATGGCTCTGATATTCCACTTCACACTCAAATTCAAGTGCATTTCAAGCTCTTTTGCTGATCGCGTAAGATGATGGCGTACCTCAAGGAGCGGCTTCGGTTCGCGTCAAGGAAAGGCGAGAGAAATTGAAACTTCCTCCAATCGACAACGTGAAACAGCTTGGTGTGGGCGCTTCGACCAGACCATTTCCAAAAACCAGCAGCGGTGAGATAGGTTGGGGATCAACACAGCCTCAATGCAGACTGGAAAGATACGGCCGTTATACGAAACCAGTTCAAGGAGTGTTGAAGTCTCTCAACTGGCCTCCTGAATCTGTTGACTGAAGCAAAATATTGATGTATGAAACTAGTTTACTTGAATCACAGTCGATAAAGTACGTGGTTTGAACTTTGAAGCCTGGTTTGAAGACAAGTGTACCAGTACAACGCCTCAACTATTGTTCTGGGACGTTTATGCAAAATTCCTCCCTATTTGTGTTGTGAACAAGTGAACCAATGACAATGTTCGATCCGTTGTTCAAGACACGCTTTTATGAATTAATTGGGCAAGAATACAATACAATAAACTCAAATAAGGATATGAACTAATTTTGCATAAACATGAACAATTGCGTTGATTAGTTGTATTGTATTTCACTAGCTCTAGTTTTTAAAATTAGTATTATACGCATATATGCAGCTTATATGCATGTGCAGGGTGAGTAAAAAAAACTGACACCTTTGAAATTCAAATTAGCTGCGAACTTATGGCTGGAATTTCACAATTTCCATGACAGACCCATGTGTACAATCAACAGGACGTGGTTAATTAATGCGAAAGTGTTTAAACCAATTGAACTACATGTATTTTAACTCAAAAAGGGAACAAACTTTATGTTTTAGGTTAATTAAGGATTCACTTATTCGATATGCTTCGTATACCCATGAGATATTTAAGGCAACTTCTGTCACATTACAGCCGCTATGCATGCGGCTAATTTGAATCTGATTCAAAGGTATCCGGGTTTTTTTACTCCCCCTGTACACAGCCACTTCGGGATAATAAAAATATGCAGCTAAGATATATACGTAGCTATAAGTATAACATGCATATGCAGCTCATTCAGTAAAAGTTGTCCTTTCAAAAATGTGAAATTTGTGCAGAAAATTGCCTTTAGGAAATTGAGGCATTTCTTTCATAATTCTTACAATTTTAAACAACTTTTCAACAAAGTAGCTACACTGAATATCTACAATTCATCGCGCGCTGTACGAAAATTCTATGGGAGCACAACATTTATTAAATTCTAAACCTAAAACTATTGGAATAATGCAAGAATCATTAAATATACAGTCCGTGTTTGGTGATCGATTTTTTGACAATATAATTATGTAATATACATTTGTTTTTGCATGTCATGCATTTTCATTTTTTTACGTACTTTGCTTTTTTTTATCAAAATAAATTTAAATAATATGTATATAACATATATACACGCGACTAAACACTGAATACCCCACTTACATACAGTAGTCTGTTTAGATTTTCAAGTTTTTAGCATCGACAGTTTTGTTTATACATCCTGGCCCTGACGGTAAGGACCAACTATCGTCAAAGCTCTTAATATTGTGTTGGCTTTGGCAAAAACACAAAACCAGAGGTGTTCATAGCTACAATTTTGACTGCATTTCCATGATAAATTATGCTAAATAAATAAATAAATATATTTTCATTTCTTTTTGAAATATTCAAACGCTATTTGCACGTAGCTTCACGTCCAGTGTTTCCCCAGATTTTATGTTTTCAAATGCGACCGTAGCTTCGTAATGTTTGCCCGCTTCTTGGGGCGAGAAATAAACGGGGATTTTCAAGTAATGAGATGGTCTGAAAATAGAAAAAATGCAACCTCCGGTTTAAACTTGCGTATAAGTTTAGGGCGAGAGGAAAGCCAGAAGAGATTTCAACTCCAAGTCGGGACTGGATCAGTAACTAAGATAAAATCGCCATTGGAATCAAGCACACTTCAGCATGGGAACTATTTAAATTACTTCTTAATTTTGAGCAGAGATTTGATATGATTAAACTTATATTAATGAATGGATATGGGTTTCTGAGTAAAAAAAGTTAACTTCAGCAAAAAAAAAAGAATATTAAAAAATAAAAAAAATTAGAATTAGCTCGAAAATGCAAAATCGATCTTCACTAAATGTAGAGTTTTTCATACGCGATTGGTTAATTACATATGGCAACAAACACTATGTTCAATGTTAAGTATTTCTGTTTACTATTTTGACTTTATAATCCCCATTTTTAGCACATCTTTAATCTCATTCTTTTAATCGCTCCAGGTTGCTTAGAGTTCATTGATTTTGCTTCTGCCGAAAGCTCAAAAAAGGCAAAAATCTTTTTAGGATACCCAAAAGGTCGAAATGTGGAGAAAGGACTGGGGTTAGGGTCCGCCCCAGGCCTCTCTCCACATTCCACATACCACCTTTGGTATCCTAAAAAGCCATGTAAATAAATACATTCCTGTGTTTGTTGTTAGCTTTGTTTAAACAATAAACATATATAATGTATACTCACTTTGTAACAAGGCTGGTGCACTTCATGTAAAATGGCGCTGAGGAAGCGATGATTCGAAACTACATAAGAATTAAGTGAAATGTTAACAGCAACGGCATGTGGTCCTTTAGCAAAGCAGCAATCTATAACAGAAAATTCCTGCCAATTTTTAGTTCAATTTTAAAAACCCGTGGATCTTAACAGCGAGTAAGCTTAGCATACCTGTTGTTCGCTGGTCGACTTGTTACAAATCTTTATTCTCGCTGTGCTGGTCTGTCCCACTTTTGTATCGGGAAAATCCACATTATCGGACTGGAAATAAACAACAGCTTTCCCCTTTTGAGATTCTTTGCTAAAAAGAATGGATTTTACAGAAGTTCTCTAACTATAGCGACAACATTAAGTGGGAAGGGCTCAAATCTGGGCCTTGGAGGAAGACTTGACAACTCCCCAATTGAAGTTTAATTTTTTCTCCGTTTCTTACGTTTCTTTCGAGGGAATCTCCGGCAGCGACTCTCTGGACGTCCCAACGTTTCCTTTCTCAACGCTTTTCTTATCTTTTTCCATCTCGGCAGAGGATGTTCTATCATTCACGACAGCCTATGAATATTATTTGGGAAAATTAAGTGGGAAAAATGTGGCAAACGATTTGGCTTTTCTGTTTTTTAATTTCTCCCATGAGAAGATCTTGAGAATTTACCTTTCCTGAGAGCTCTAACTTAATCTTTGTTGAAGTTAACGGACTCTCTGGATTTGTCTGTAAAATAAAAATGGCAAGGTGTAAAATCACACTTTGTAAAGTGGCAAGGTGTAAAATAACACGTGCAGTGTATATAGCTACACGCGAGTAATAACTAGACAGGTGGAATTTTTCTTTCTCTCTCTATTCCCTCCCACTACACCGCTGGGGGAAGTCTACACTTGTGGAGTATAATATATACAGTAAAGGAATCGTTGCATTTGAAAATCAAAAGTGGATACCATTAAAAAACACACCTGGCAGTCCCATATTTGGCAGTAATCTCCAGCGTCTCTAGCACGAAATTCAACTTGAATCTACGCAAAAAAACCAATTCAACGAAAGGAAAAATGCGATATAAGTTTTACAATTCATGCAAGCTCCTACAATTTCCTAACTTTGGTCGACGTTTACACCGAAAACAAACCTTCACAATTTGATTTGCTCGTAGGAAACCACTTTGAGTAGAGAAACTGAATACGGGGTAGGTTGCACGGAGCAATTCTGCACTTGCATCGGACACCTAAAATTTTACGACAGGGGCACGTGAGTATATAGATATATCTGAGGTAACGAGATATATCTGAGGTAACGAGATATATCTGAGGTAACGAGATATATCTGAGGTAACTTCGTCCAACTTAATGGCGTCAGCGTGGCTCAATACCTTTGCATAGGCTGGCGCAAACGACGAAATTTTCCACCTTAGTGATGATGTTGAAATATTTTCAATTGTAACGGTTGAACCTGAAATAGAAAGTGTAAAAGCTGCTAAAAAGTACTGTACACCTTATAATTTAGTTTCGAATTGTTATTTTTAATTTATTTAGGGAAAGAAACACAGCAGTCTGTTCTATTTTATCAGCAGTGTGAGATAAGAAAAATTTCAGCGGAGGTCCAGCAAGGATCTTCTCGAATTAAAGGGGCATCATAGAACCATAAAAACAGTAGACATAGAATGTAAACTTATCACGAATACGTCTCCCACAGTTTTCATGCTGTGCCTTTATAAATACGCCATCTTTGGAGACAAAATTTTATAAGGGAGGAGGTACCAGTAAGCATTCTATGTCTATTATTTGTATATAAAGGACTTACACACCGCTTATGGGAGCTGATAGCTGTGTATCTATAATGGAACTACTTACACGACGCTTTGTTCACTTGAATTTCGTCAAAATCGATTAGCGTTGGTATAATTTTCAACAATTGAGTTGCTTTCAAAGGCTTCACGAAAGCAGTATAGGTCTGAGACAAACGTGGTTCATCTTTGCCAGATTTTACAATGGACAGTGGCTTATCGATAACACTCGGCGCTGGTGAATTGTCACTCACTAGTGGATTGTGAATCTGGATCGCTATAGCCTAAAGGTAGAATACACGAAGACTCCAATAAGTGATATTAGCTTATAGCCCAGATGCCCTGATATAGAATTAGAGAAGTGACTACAGTTACAGCTAAAAGTACGAAATTCGTCAGCAACCCATATTCAAAAGCAAACAACACGAGAAATGTACGAATCTCGTACTCTTGGCAATGGCGTAAGCTCTCTGATGTTTCAACAGTATACCTTCTTTTCCCCATCACATTTCACATAAGCCGTACCGGACCACGGTAAATCCACGCCAGACTTCAAAATACTGCCCCAGGCGCTGATGTTGATGGTCGTTTGACTTCTACAGAACAGTGCAACAAAAGACAATAAACCTTTTTCATAATGACGTCAAACGCGGAAAGTATGATGTTACACGAAGTTTGATTGGCTCGATAGCTTTGTGGAGCCAATCAAATTTCGTGTAACATCAGACTTTACGCGTTTGATATCATTATAAGAAAGGTCTATTGTACTTTCTAGTTAATTATGTATAAATTTTATTTGTTTCACGATTCGATCTGTTCTATAATAATGAATGTGAGCGAATTTAAATTGGTTTGTTCATACTTTCGAGCTATTGCTCCAGTGTGAGGTGTCACAGCAATGCAATGGGCTGGCCAGATCAACTCGAACCTATCGCAAGGTAACAGAAGATTCTGGTAAGAAAGCTTTTCTAAGTCACGGAATCATTATGAAAATATCTTAAAACTTACTCCAGTTGTCTATCAGAGAAGTTTAACAATTGAATCTTTTTTGTTGAATCAGACGAGCCTTGAAAAGAATAGAGAAGTAGAAAAATTCAGAATTTAGCAAGCCGTGGAATTTTATATAATAATTAATTTACAAGCCTCAAACCTTTAACAGGAACTTTTAAGCTGATTTGTTCTGGTATTAACGACCATACACTACTTTCATCTTTGTCTAAAAACAACATTAATTTGGAAAGTTAATTAAATTGCCGGACGAACAATGATTACCAATATATTATGCACAAAAATCATCAAATAGCATATTATGTTAATCTGAAACTGTTTTCTAGAATGTGTAGCAGTATAGCAATATGTCTGCTATTATCACTGCAATGTAAGATTAATATTGTGTTTATTTCAACTAGATTAAAAATATCAATGATAATAGTTGGAAATAGATTACAATCTAGGAGAGGGAGGAGCATTTGAATATGCACAGTGTAAAGCCCTGTTACACGGTGCAACAATTTTTCTTGCAACTTGCAATGCAATTCTACTATTGTGAGATAGAAATTTGGCCATTACGAAACTTTTATTACACTCCATGTACGTTTCTTAGCCTTACTTTTTGAATACTCTGTACTAAATTACATCTCTTAAAAGTAGGATTGCATTGCAAGTTGCAAGAAAAATTGCACCGTGTAACAGTGGCTTAAACAAATACCTGTATTCCCTGTTCTTTTATCAGTGACGATATCGCCCTTGGCAACAGTGCTTTTCTCGGTCTCAGGCTCCAGACATCGTTTCCTCGGTGTAGCCATGACTAGACTCTCTTCGCCCATATCTGACTGCACCACGTTCTTCTCGCTTCCACCCAAAAGGTTGACGAACGTTTGCGAAACGTGGCTGTCAAATATTCGCTCGTAGTTGTCCAGATCAGGGAAATCGAAGTCTACTGAAACCAGGAAATAAAATAGAGGAAAGTATTAAAATCATAACAATGGCAGACAATATTGATAAAGAATGTATAAAGAGTAAACTCTTAATGGAAATAAAACTCCTTTGCCATATGAACACGCCTGTATTTGGCGGCCATTTTAAATCGTTTTTAATGCTTTGACAAATTACACTAGATAGCTTTAGTTGCTGGAGAGCTTTTGGCTTTTTAGAACGTTTTTTGGTCAACCACTCGCATGTTTAATAGCTATCTCTGTATACTTAGCGTTTATAAAAAAAATGTGTATAGTGCATTTATTGCATTAATTAATTCCTGGCAATGCATATAAAAGCACTGTTGTCATTATAACCACTGTAATTTTTCAACGTCTTTTGAAGAATTTATTTCACTAACCTTCAGCGGTACAATTTTCGTCCTGGAAAATCTTATCAAATTGAATATCGTCATTCCTCCAGTTTCCGCTTGCATGCTTTTCGTTCATCCCTTTTTGTTTACTGAGATTTCTTCAAGAAACAATAATCAAATACTAGAAGTCGAGTTGTCAGTACAAGTTCTCAGTACATCGCAACAAGTGAAAAATTAATTTAGAAAAAAAAGATGCCGTTTTATCTGCAATCGGGCCAGTGCTTTAACTGTTACGCTTTGATGGTGAGCTTTTGCATGCCCCAGCCCTTGCCAATTAATATTTCAAGGTAGCCATTCACTTCACCGTACATACATATACAAGTTAATTTTCATAAAGGCCTGTTTACACTTGCACTTAGCTACATAAAAATGTGCGATTTTCTTCTTTTGATAGATGTGAACGAGTGAATTAGTTACGGATATTCAAATAGGAGGTCGCACATATCAGAGCATTCGTAACTTATTACTTGTTCGCATCGATCAAAAGAAGAAAATCGCACATAAAACCACAGAAAAATCGTAAGTGTAAATGGGCCTGAAGAATGGCAAAAGGATGGTTCTTTCAATAGCCTGACAACACCCGAGACGTTTCATTTCACGTCATTTAAAGCAAGTACGATGTAGTACATATATCGATAAAAAATACGTTCTCATGCACATGCAGTGGAGAAATAACCGTGACTTACTTTCTATACCATTGTCTGAGGACTTCATCTCCATGGTAAAACACGACAGTTGCTACCCTCTTCGATTCGTATTGACATGCTTTAGCATCGTGCTGTAGAGGCTGGTATACGATCACAAGTTCCTATATGAACATCCAAGAATGAAATCAAACCGAAGAAGACAAATATACGTATGGAAACGCTTTTTTAAAATTATCTTGGTCAAACATGTTGTTTATACAACCAATCAGTGATTATACCTTCGAAGATCTTTCTGGCAAAACAAACTCGCTTGGAACAATACTAAGATGTGTCTGATGATAGTGAAGACGAATTTGAAAGTCTTAACATAAAGAAACATGGTTGGTTAAAGGGGGTGATTGATGATGCAGAGAGGTAGCGCGTGTAAGTTGTCACGATATTCAGCGATGTTTATTTAAGCTTACCAGCAAAACAGACGGCCTTAACAAAGGCAGCTCTGTTTCCAGTGTTCCTCACAGTAATCTTCAGTATGTTACGACGACCAAGCGAAACCTGGAATAAGCCCACATCACTCATATGTTTACAAAGAGAGAAGCACTATTTCTTTAGACTCTTGAAAATCTCTCAGACTATGCAGTCTTTGAAAAAATCTGAAATCCCCTAAGATCTTACTACATATTATTGGATAGTTTTGCTATTTGAAAGGTTTTTGCATTATTGAAAAGTCCTTGGTTGAAAAGCCCTGAAGGCTGTTCACCCGAACTCAACACAGAACCCTGTGATGTGACATTATTGCACTGTACCTCGCCCAGTGGAGCATCGAAGCCTTCCGCTGTCTTTTTCAGATCTACGAACGATAGACAACTTTTCCCGCCATACGCGTACAACGGTATCTGGAAGAAAATAACCCCTTGGAGTGAATCTTCTTGATTTAATTACTTCAAATTTTAGACATCAACATCACAACTATATATAGTCGTGAGAGTCTTGATCAAAACCATGGGAAAGATAATTTCACTTACTTGAAACCGAGGACCACGATCCGGTTTAAGAACCAAGGCACTTTTGAAGACTCCAAATGAGGACGGGGCGAACAACACGTAAATTGGCATTCTTTCCTAAAACGAAACGACGTTTACAAATCTGCAATTAGTTTCTTGAGCAGTATTCACCGTTTTACATTTCAGGTTGACTATGTACATGCTTGACAGGTTCATTTTAATGCTTGTGTGTAGTAACCAAAGAATGAAAAGATTTCGAGGAAGAGGGAGCTTTACTTCTAAGTAGCCTAATGGTCTCCTCAGAGATAAGCGTGGTTCTTCTGTTCTGAGTATAGGAATATATTTTCTTTCGAGAAGTCGTTTTAAGCGATTAATTAAGCGATTTATAAAGCGATTAAATGGCCTATAGCAATTCTCCAATTTCATACAGAGCTGAAACAGTGTATCTTACTTTGGGTCTTAAAACCATTTTCTCTGACGATACACCACCTTTCGAAAATTCAGATCTCATACGTTGAATCTGAAAAGGTAAAATAAGGTGAAAGTGTATATCGCTTACAGCTGGTACAAACAGAAATGAATGTTAAAATTTTGTATTTAATACAAAGTATGCAACACCAAACGGGCAAAACCGACCTCAAAGTCCGAATGCTCTCCTTGGATCATCGCTTGAAAGTGAATCGGTTGATCAGCGGAATCATTCAGCAAGAAGAGTCTTTGGTGCCTGAAAGCAACGTTGATGGTTAAAATTGATGAATACTAATAAGCACAATCGCGGAGAGACTTTATAAGTGTCCTCGTCAATACAAATGGATATATATATTTTACATAAAAAACAGAATTAACGGCTATACGTTTGAGAGGTCAATAATTCCCTGTCCCATCTTAAAAACACTCATTTGGATGGTAAATTGTTTTTGATGTTCTAAACCCTTACATTCTCCGGCAATATCAATAATTCCACATTCGACATAAGGCAATGGTATTTCAAAATGGTATGTTGCTCAAAAACATGGAGGATATACATACGTGGCATTTCCGAGATCTACACCCGTCCAACACAACCAGGATTTGTTACTCAGTATGGGCGGACTATATATGAAATAGGAAAGACATTTATTGAGTGGAAGAAATTCTCAAATTTGCTCGCGATGAAATATTTGGCAACTACCATGGCTATTCAGGTCTAAGCAGTTGTTGTACCACACATCGTTTTTGCGTAAACCTATCCCTGAGATATATCTATAGAACTAATTCATCGCAACTTACACATCATCAATTTCGGGTTGTGGTTCTACCGCTGAGCCCCTTAGCAATACTTCATAACACTTGCTGTTATCTGGCTCCAAAACTTGAATCACGCTATACGGGAAAAAAAGATAACAAAGACAAATGATAAACAAGGTCAAGTAATTCGCATTTTATCTAAGCAAGATTATAAAAGAGATATGCATACGTTTCACAGGTCTCTTTGCATAAAGGTGTAAACATAACCTTAACCATGACAGCCTAGGAAGTACAAAAAGTTAACTTTTACTTCACTTCACTTTAATTATTTGCAAAACACGAAGCCTATAAATTAACACTAACCATTCCTGGTCGGACTTGGAACTTCTCTGGTGTGACTGAGAAAACATCCAAGTGTTTTGGAACGGTCAGTTCTACATTGGCACAGATGTTTCCAGCGTTTGTGAAAGGAAATTCACGAGACACTCTTTTTCCAACTGGAGAGGACAGGCACATCGCCATCTTGTTTGAAATAAAAAAGATCAGGTTGTCGAGAAATGCAGTGAAGTCAATGTACCCAGGACGTTTTTTGTACGAGGAAATATCTTGGGTGCGAAGTTTGGACAAACAGGTGTTTTACGAGGATTTTTTCAAACATACTTCCATACAATTTTTTTTGTCTGATCTTTGTTATGTTTTTTAATATTATTCAACTGGTTCTGTAAAGCTTACCTGAAAGGCTTTGGGTATCTGGATCTTGGTAAAACCCAGGATAGCCGAAAGTTGAATATTTCCAAGAATCTTCGCGACAGTTCCTACATCAAGCTGTATGTTAATTCCGGCGCTCAACACCTCGGCCTCATCTGACTTCTCGACTAAAGAAAGCAACATAAAAAAATCAACTTAAATAGCGTCGACAAAGAGATATCGATGGTATATGTATTTACTCACAATGTTGATTCTTGTCGGCAAGTTCGATCCAGATCACAAGAGGTTCTGGTTTAATTCCCTTCAAAAATACAAGAAGCTCGCGTATATATTCTTCCATAAACTCGCTAATAGCCAGTTATTACACGTCATCTTGATTGCATGATGCTACAAAGGTTCTACTACAACTTTCAAGAGACTTTTAAGACAGACACATTTTCCCTGTTTACTTTGTAACTTCTGGCCGTTTCTATATTGTATTACTGGCTGGTTTGTATTGATGAATATAATGAACAAATAACGATTGTGGTGCAAATGTTTTGAAAACAGAAGCAAGATTGTAAACTACCTAAATACATATGATTCTTACAATTGTCCATTTAAGTATCCGCCATTTTTTTACTTCGCTGCTTCAGGTACGAACGACCACAGTCTGACCATCGCTTACTGTACTTACCGAGTCATTTCGTGCTGGTACAAGACACTTCAACGTCGTATTTTGCAAGTCGAGCTCGGGAATAACCTCAGGAGTATTAGCTTTGGAAAATATGAACATGCCAGGAGACGAATTCTACACGAATGTAATTAAATAATAATGCATAATCATAAATTGTGTTTATTATCCTGAAAGTAAAGGAAAGAGGGACATTCGCATATACTAGCTGCCATATTCCTCGCATGGGTCTTAAGATACACCATGCAAATCTACGAGGCGGACGTAAAGTTATCGACTGTCTTCATTTGAGCAGTTTCACAGCAGGAATAAAAATTATGGACTCCTTTTGGTAAACAAGGTCAGAACTGTATGTAAAACTACTTAAAACTTGGTTCCTAACACTCTACCGGCTGATTTCTTGTCACATCTACGTCGTAGATTCGGTGTATGTTAAGGTCTCTATCCTCCCATGCAGGAAACCACAGTAAACTTGTAGTGAATAGCTACAACGAAACTCACTGAGCAAATGCGCATCTTCAGTGGCACAACAGTCATTCCTTTATTCATAATCCTCAATGGTTTGACACTCTTGCACCCATGATGAATTTCACCAAAATCCAACGTCCTCAATTCGTCAGCAATGATCTAAGAGTTAAAAATTTCCAAATATAGGTCCACAGTGTTTTCCTCGCGATAAAAACATCAAGAGATAAAGTAAAGATCAAAATAAACCCTTGACAAACATGCGCCCCCCCCCCCTTCCTGAAAATGTCCACCTTTCCTAATTATTTTTCCACTTACGCATTTCAAAACCATCCAAAGATTGAAATTTACCTCTATCTTCGGTTCTTCAGCAAAGCCCTGTAAACTGACGAATGCAGAAGACGTTTCGATGTCGCCTGATGCCGAGGCAACTGGGGTCGAGACAACTTTCATTTCGGCGACGTACACACCGGCAGACAGGCACTTGAAGTCGACCTGGAGAGAAGAAAGTAAATCCCAGTAAGTCAAGGAAGACTTTGGTTCCTGCAGGGGATCAGTTTCTGTGGAAAGAGACTATTTGTATGGAACTGACGGTTGAGTTGACTCTATCTTTTATAGTATTAACAAACTTCGAAATACACACTTGAAATTTTGGACATACCTTTATATTCTCTGTCAGTTTAGGTCCTATCATCGTTTTTTCCCGTATAGAGAAAGGACATTCTTGATAATCCACCTATGATTTGAATTTTGAAATACGGAAGCACATTACAAGCGTTGTATGACATTTTCTATAACAAATCTCCATTTATAGTAATTACAGCTTTAAAGATCTGTTTTCGTTTACGTTTACTAAATCGTGTTATCTATTCTTCAATCTTGTTGACAGAAGGCCCCTGACAAGACCCAGCGTCAAAACATAAAGTTTTCTTCACCCTTTTTTTTCATGAATGTGTATCATTCTATTCATCCTGCTAAATAAAACGACGTTACCTTGAAGCCATTAATGGTGCAAGTTACAATCTCTGACGAACATCTAATCCATCTTGATGTCGGATTGTATATGGAGAGACTGGCTTCAGCCGAGGTACCAACACACAACACGCCAGGGAAGTCTAGTACGGGAGGTACCACCATTTGAATCTGGGACGAACGCTCAGTTCTACTGTTCCAAACTTCACCCTGTGATTGCAATAAATGCATGGGATGAGGGTGAGGCAAGGTGCTAACGTAGAAGTAGAAAGATGGAATGAGGTGGGTTGTCATAATGAAGATTCCCGGAAACACTGAGAGTTTTCTCCATCGTCCTAACCAAATCTACCGTCAGTACTCACCTGGATCTTCCACCAATCAGGGAAGCTGGTCTTATACCTTGCCACATAATCGTGCATTCAACCTAACTGCCTCAGAACAAGTCCGGCCTATCTTCCCTATTCTACCAATAGCACCCACCTGAATCCTCGTCCTCTCAGAAAACCTGGTTCAATGAATCGCACTTCATTATGCTTAACCTACCTGCCTGTGAACAGCTCCAGTAGAACCATGCGGCCGTCTCACGTGTTTATCATCCCGATTACAATCACCACCAACAACACTGTATTTCTCCTGACCACCATCCTGATAACTGAACGCATTCTTTGTACTAAGAGGTGCAGAAAGTGGTGGCTGTGCCCCCAGAAACTGGCTCGGAATATGCCCATCCTGGTATTGAACAGCTTGACGGACATGTGGTTGAGTGCGATGGCCACCATGCTCACTTGGCGCGACCGGCTGTAACTCCCGCAATGCAAATTCAGCGTTTTCCTTGGGTGATGCAAATGCAGGTGCACTAGAGGTCGGGCAACTTTGAGCGAGAATATCGCCGGTATAGCCTGAAAAAGCACTCTCAGTTCGAATCGACCTAAAATCGGCATGGCGTGAAACGGGAATTTCACGGCTTGGACCACCAATCGCGCGAGCAGGCATCGTGGATGCGTGATCTACCGCAACTTTTGCCACGTCCATTCTTGTGAAAGCGTGACTTGGAATAGGTATTACGTGCTTCGGCTCGGCACCTACGTGCTCGTCAACAGGAAATGCGTGACTTGAAACGGGCACCGCGGTGTATCCGGCTTCCGAATTCGTGTTGACCCTTCTCGCAAATGCGTGATCTGCCACGGCGTTTGCGTGCGCAGAATGGCGAAGAGCGTGAACTTGCGCTGGCAAATCGCCGGACGATGTCGATGCAGCGACTGTGCGGCTTGTTCCTGAGATCACACAGCCTGCCCTCGGGTCCACTGAAACGCTTTCGAGTTGGTAATACTGCTGACCACTTGCATGACGGGTCGTTTCGACGGGGAACCTTGGTATTGAATACGGGTCTCCCACCCGAGATTCTTGGTTACCCGGTTGCGAAATGGGGTAAAACCTTTCTTTATGCTGATATCGTGGGACCCCCGGATGGTAGGGCATCGAGCTCGTCGTTTTGGGGTCTGAGTAAGGTCGGATATCAGCTTTCAATATTTGACGCTCCGTTAGAATTGCACTTGCAGACGCAGCAGAAACAGATTGTTGACTTCCGTATGGCGCCGCACCAGGAGAAATTTTGGTGGAATAGTTGTACGGATCAGGGGTTAATGTCCTGGCGACGGACGTGGCTGGTATTACATTTGCATCATCGGGTGGGTTGGTTGGGCTTGGTTTACTGTACTGCATGGGAGATACCGGGCTAGTGGCTGTACTAGTAGCCTGGCTTCGTATGCTTGCATAATGTTTAGATGTTACTGGGCTGCTGGTACAAACCACTGGAGTACCACCATGTTGCTTGGATGATACCAATTCGTTGGTGCGTGTTTCAAAAACACCATCTGCTGCGCTGCTGCAAACAGGGAGGTGGGTGCCGACGGGTACGCCTTCCCTCAAATTCGAAGTTACAACAGAAGTTGTACATGACGTGTGTACGGTGGTCACTTCCTGCGCACTGTGGGATTCAGTCTGCACGCCAATGGAGCTCCCGCTACTCTTGGGGGACGAAGTATCCAAAGGAGGTGAAGATATAGATGACATTGTACGAAACTTCGGGTCGGTGGGAGACACCTCACAGCTTGTATCACTATGATAAAAGGTCATTGTATCCCCCTCCTGGGAACCACCTGTTTGACCTACACCCCCATGACCGACACCCCTTATTTCAGGGGAGTGGTGCGTGCTTGTAACAACTTCCTCCGGGCGATTGCCTTTGCTGTTGATGAAATTTACCAAGACCTTGTATATTTCTTGCGCATCATCTATATTCGCACGCGCCAATGTTTTCGAAAGACTTTTGAGCTCATTGGACGACATCGCCGAGAGCTTGGATCCTTCGCTGGATTTACAAAACTGCAATGCGGCCAGAGTGGAGTCGTTAAACTCCAAACCGCCCGAATTTCTACGGGATTCCTCCTGACTGTCACCTGTTTGTAGCTGCTTTTGACGTTCCTTTGAACTGGCCTCAGACCTTTTAGCTCCGCACTCTTTATCTTTAGTACTAGCTTTATCTTCTTTTCTAGAGGACTTCCTCTGCCGCCCCTTTCCCCTCGCGGGTCCCTCTTCCCTTCTCATCGTCAGCCTCAGCACCACAAGGCAAAGATCTAGCCGCCATGGCAACATGTTCCTTGGCTTGTGATTGGTCGTTTCGAGCCCACTTTCGCGGATCTTTGTCCAAGTCCGCAAAACTAGGCTGATATGAAGTATCTCTCTCGCTACCCTCCGGTGACGATGGTCTGTACAGTTGACGAGGTGGTATAGCGGTCGGAGACACTTTGCAGTCTCGTGTGTCGCTGAACTGAGGCTAAAAATAAACAATGAATTAGAAGCAACGCTTGTAACAATCGAATGATTTTCCGAAAGGCTTCCAGTAAAGACGCCGTCCCTACAGAGAATTTTAGGAGGAGAAATTTTCTATTTTGCATAAACACAACAGTAAGACACTTATTTATCTTGACACTTACTCTTGGTCTGTCTTCATTGACATCGCTCAATCTTCCCAGTTCCCCAGTCTTGGCAGCGAAAAACTCGCCGAATGAAATCCTAACCTCTCCCTTATCGTTCGGGTCGTTTACACCGATTATGGATGGAGACCTGTGGGAGCTCTCGCCAGGAAGAATGTAATAAGAAAAAGATTTTCCAGCAACATCAATCATTGCATCCTGAAGAATGAACAAAAAGATGCAATCAAATCTTACAATGGCCTTAGATGTCCCTATTCAATGTTTTACTCAGGCATTTTGCTTGTCAGTGAACGAGTTGTCGGCAGAAAATAAGTTGAACAAAACAAATACTGCCTGCCGGTGTCTTAGTACCCTTTAGTGTACACGATAGTCAGTTTTTGGAAAACTTGTCTGTATACCTCCTTATCAAAACGATGATTTTCCTCGAAAATTTTTTCATCCTGGTCAAGGCGTTTCGCAGCATCATCTGAAAATATTTATATCGGATTCCTATTTGAAAATAGGTTTTCGGGAATGACAGCCTACCCTGGGCGGTAAGTCTGTTTAAAAAATAGTTTACCATTCCCAAAATCTTTTAAAATGTAAGGAAGACCTTAATACCTGCTGTCTGAAACGAAAAACCATCTTGAGCATCATCACCGACAAATCCATCGCCATCTACATACAAAATGGTTTTGATTAACATGCAATGAAATGCTGGCTAAACGAAAAAAACACATTTTTAATTCATTCTTAAATTACAAATATCCCCAACCTCCAAACATGCTCGATCCGATTTCCATCCCTTGAGCCTGGCCAAAACACAAAAAAAGTCAAATTGGATAATGGCGAACTTATGATATATTTCGACAGGAATTAAGCAAACCCAAGAAGCATTATTCGATTGATTTTCAGGAATTAATGGTACGCTCATTTATCGTATTTCTCAACTCACATTCGAAGCCCGGTCCATCAGACTCCCATCAAAAGGATTGTAAGCGGCTGTGCTGAAATCCATGTTGCTCATTGCATCTTGCTGTGAAGGGAACACATCTTTGGAGATGGAAGGTTTGACAAGGTTTGACTTCAACTGGCTTGACTGGCCACGCAGTCGTTCTGACGGGTCAACCCCGACTGGTGTTGATGACGAACTTGGTTTAGTATTCCTTTCGGACGATGGTTTAGTCGATAGGCCACCCTAAAATTGCAAATAATCTTGATGGAGTTATTCTTTGTAGTTTATTTATTCATTTTTACCCAACATTTGCAAAATTTTCCAAATCAGACGTATATAGCACTACTCTTTTTTTATAAAAAGTGGTTTACTATCACCGACAAATCCCAGTCAATATACACACTGACATGGAAACTTCAAAACTGCTTCATCTTTTTTCCCATATTTCTGTAAACTTATGTAAAGACAAAGTATTTTTGCATTAATTGAAGCAATCGTCTAATGGTATCAATTGATTAAATCTGGCAACTGTCTGCTCAAATATTGATAAGCAGGAATCCTGAAGATCTCGACATGATATCATGGGTCATATTGATTATGAACAAACTATAGACATCTCAAACTATAAACTCACACTCAAGCCAGCGTTATCGTAACTTGCATCAAAAGGATTGTAAGCTGCTACACTGAAATCCATTTCGCTCAATCGATCCTTTTGTGGAGGAAATGTATCGTTGGAGAGTGAAGCTCTTGCAGGAAACTGGTTTGACTGATTCAAAGACTTGTTTGACGGGTTTTCTTCGACTGGTGTTGACGATGAAGAGGGTTTGGCTTTTGCTCCGGATAATTGATTGGATAAGGAATCGTTCTACATAAGTCAAATTTCAAAATTAGCCTGTTGTACTGAATAATCGTTAAACACAAAATTACAAAATGGAATTTGAGTTTGTCTCAGGTCAGTAAAAAAATTATCGCGATCGTCGTGATGTTTGTTAAATATTTTATTTCACATGCGGGCCAGCGCGGGTTTTTGAAATATGCGAACAAGTTGTCGTTGACAATGGTTTTTAAAAAACTATAATTACTTGACTTTTTTTAGACGGAACAAAAATATTTAACTTTCAACCATACACAGCCGTTGCATGTGCATGGTAAATGCATTGAGAGTTTAAAAATGATTAATAATTACTATTTAGTTTATATCAACAACTGCCTAAAATAGACAAAAACACTTCTCGACGTTTCAAACTAGAAGGACCTTCGTATATAGTATATTGGATCGAACTATTTAGTTCAGCTTGATAAATTCTAAATCATATGAACGGCGAGGAACGTTAGAACTTGTGGCACAGTGAAAAATATAACATGCTATAACATGAGTTTGAACATTACTACATGATACCTTAGCCACAACAACGGAATCCCCAGGCCGAGCAGGCGTTGGGGTCTGGAACCACAAGCTATCCCCGCTGAATGACCACGGACTTCGGTCAGATTTATCGGCGCCAAAAAATCCGCTGCGACCATTGTCTGGCGTTTTACTTGGCGCGAGAAATTTCTCGGACAATCTGGAATCTGAACTTGGTTTAACCAATGACGTATCGCGTTCCTCACTGCCCGCCGAAGGTGGCTTGTCTGCAGGCATACCTTCACCCAAATGGCCTGATTCTTTTACCCAACTATAAAAGGTTTGTTACAGGTAGGTTAAAACTACTTAGAGCAAAAGACATTCGCACCACGGACTATTTTAGGATAGGTCTGGCTTGGTAAAAGATATTTCCGCAAAGTTAAAGAGGCTACTTGTGAAATTTGGGAAAGTCAGTAGAAACAGACGCTGAGACACATGCAAACATTATATTCTGTAAACTCAATTTTCTGTAGCATTCTGTAAACTCAATTTTGTTTCTCAGAGTCCTTGGGATATAGCTATATCCCCATCTTGCATTTAAGATGTCATGACAAATTTCAACCCTAGATATTTGAGAATCATGCATATGATTGCACAAGAAGAACTAGACTCTGGAGTATTGATAGCATTGCAATAATAATGATCAATACACACCTTTGTGAGGCTTCTGCCAGAACACTCTCAGGAAAGGATTCTCTGCTTATAAATCTTGTGCTGTCCTGGTTTGAGTTACTACTTCCTGACTTGTTTGAATCAATACTTCTTTCACTGCTTGAATCTGATTGTTTTTAAATCATACATAGAATGTCAAGCAAACAAAACTACCGTAACTCTATACATGCAGCCAGCCTACAGTGATAATGTGCAAATCAAAGTAACTGTTTAATCGAACTTGAATACAAGTTGTCTACTAAACTAACCTTGCAAAGTAGCGGCTTTAAGAGCAGCTAGCAAAACATCGACATTTTCAGATGCCTTTTCAGGAAGATCTGGTAGTTTCCTAAGAAATTGTATGATTCATAAAGACAAAATGATCATACAAATTGAGCAAACAATACATATTCATTTCAGATGGTAAAATGGCTAGCATTGCTTGGTATTTTACCCTCTCCAATGCCTGATGACAATCACCCAGTACTGGCTGCTGCCAACGACCAGTATTTGTGAGAAGATAACTTTAATTATTACAATATAGTTGGCTGCATTCAAGGGTTTAAACCTCTTGTTGTAGATGGGACAGCATACAGTGCTGTTGGCAAATCGGTATGGGCAGGGGAGTGGTGAAAGGGGTGTACCCAAGCATTGGGTGCCCACAGGCTCCATTGATGATTGCTAATCACCTCTTAATACTGTTATTTTTATGTACACTATAAAACACTGTATGTAAAGTACCCGAAACTCTCCCGATTGTCTCCTCCACTTTGAGATCGCCTTTCTAGTTGCTCACGACTGGATTCACGATCATCGTCTGCGGCAGACATACTCTCTCTCGATTGCACGCTGTTGATGCTAACATCCAAATCCGAATGAAACGATTCGAGATCGCTGACGTGCGATGGAAAAGAAATATCGCTGAATGCAAGAGAGCCTTCATGATCACCATCGCCTCCGCCGATAAAGCGAAATTCCCCGAGGTTCGGAGCTTTCTCTGCGAATCGACCTTTGCCCGACATGATAAAACCAAAGATCACGTTGAATCTCAATAGATTTGCATGATTTTGCTACGATTACAGTCTCTGCTTAAAGCTGAGAAGGTCTGCTAGCGTTTAAACGGTTAAATATGTACATTGTTGTTACGTTATAGCCACATTTTTCAAACGAAAACAAAGAAAAATTGAGAATTTTTCAACTTTTATATTCACCGCCACTTTCGAGTCAGCCACTGAGCTATATAGTTCACTGGAGTGAGCACGACAGTTCACTGGCGAATGGCCTTGGCGAATGGCGAGCTCTCAGAGCGTGCTTCCTCTTTATTGTAATTTGTTAATAAACCTCGATTATCCGTCGTTTCAATTTGAGGATTTGCTTTCCTGTCGGAAAGTGCTAACATTATCTGTAACATAAGAACCTAGGGTTCCCAATAAGGTTCCCTGGGGTCTCCTGCAGTTTCCACTTTGATGGAAATTTCAAATTTCAAAGTGGTAGCACTAATTAAGAACTGCAACTGCTAATTCTACGAAATTCTTTAAAATGCGTTCCTGTTTATATCTTCCCAAGTTATATTCTTTTTCTAATGTTGGAAGACGTCTAAAGAGAGTCGACTACCTTTTTGTGAAGGTGGGATTCTTTTAATATCTTCATTCGACATTGGTATAGATTTAAATTTGAAAATTATTATATGTACTCACTTTAGAGAGAGAGGGGAAGTGGGAACTTGGGTTTTGGTATTTGGGTGGGGTCGAATGCCTGAAAAGGATACCAAAATATTTTTTCCCTAACTAAGGGCCTGTTTACATGGAGCGAGTTATCCCGGCTAGGCGAAGTGAAAACTGCATATAATGAAAGAGTATTCAGGTTAAGCCTTTGATGTGATGCGCTTTTTACCTCGCCTAGCTGGTGTTACTCCTAAGACCATACAACTTACACTTGGCCCTCACTCTAATTTATTACTTCGTTTTCTCTGTGTACATCTCTAATGACCTACATATACCCCCCCCCCTATCACAAGTCATAACTCAACTCTTTTAACATAAAAACTAGAGCTTATTGTCAGGTCACTCAGGTGTTAAATTGAAAAGAGGTACTCATAGCTGTTGGCTATCACTGATATCCAGCAAGTTGTCATATGATAAAAACTATATTTTATATACATCCAGGAAGTAAGCATATTTCACTTCTGGAAAATTGTTAATAGAGGGGGCATGGTGACATGGTAATCTGATTGGGTTAAACAAGTTGCCACTCAAAAACCAATGAACTCATTTTAAACTTACAGTACTGCACAAGCGAGACAGGCAATCGACCCTTAGTAAAAGATGGGGAGGCATTTGAGTCAACCAAATGGGGCTACACTCAAGAGAAAGATGGCTTCATGAAACATGATAAGAACACAACAGGTCTCTATCACTTGGGGACAATCAATCTACCTCCACAATTGGAAAAAAATCTCAATGAATATTTGCGGAGTAAGCCTTAGATTATTTTGCTTGTTTTTTTTATAAGTATACTCGGAAGTAGTCATTTGTCATCCTATTGCATAGTTCACAGGGATATTGCAATATACCAAATTTGTTAGAATTTCCAAGAAAGCATCTGTTAGAAGATGCCGTCCAGCTCTCAAAGCATTTACAAAATCGAGGAAGACCGACCGAGAGGACCTGGGCCAAATACAAGGAAGCCAAGGCCGCTAGAAAGCAGCTAAGAGGTTTGTCATGGCTTCTTGCTTGCACAAGAGATTCACCACCAGACATTTGTTATTTGCCTATTTTCTTTCAAACACGACATATCAAACAGTATATCAGCTATATGGCCTTATATCTTCTTCCTGTGTGAATGTTCTTTCCTTATGTTAATGATGTGATATAAATGTGTCAGTGTCTCACACCCTATCAACTAGCTCGCTCTAATTAGTTGTGAGCATGCTCAGTGAATAGTGATTCAGGTAAAAGTACAATTAGAAAATGGTACATGATTTGAAGATATGCAATGATACAAACTCATTTGGTTCGTTTTTGTATATGTGCCTAAAGTTTTTGAAACGCTCGTGCAAACGCTCTACGACTACGGCATAGTTGCCATTCTGCCTGGATTACTTACAATTTTTAATGTATAGAAAATACTGAAGTTGAAGAAAATGATACAATTGTAAGACTCGATAAGAACGGAAATGAACCTGATGTTCTGCATTCAATGGATGAAATGCAACATCCTGAAAAACCAGCTCGAGTGTCTGTCACGAGGAAACCAAAGATACAGGAGTACAAATTAATACGGTACATAGTGTGTACATTCATTCTATATGAAATTTCGAAGATCCTGGCTAAAATGAACTTCCTTTTTCATTGATTTGAAATTCCATTCATCCTGCAATCATCCATCACAATTGACACATGCTGTGCTACGCCGCCTCGGATATAAAACTTTCTCCTGTTCTACGAATCGCGTTTTTGAAAACGATTTTCACTAAACTTGATTCATGTTAAACTCATGCAATCTTAAACTCTACGTTCACAGTGATCTGCGATTACTCTATCTTAGATATCAGAAGCGGGAGGCAGCAGCCTACATTGCTGGTCGGGCACCTGCTACTTACGGAGCAACGTTACGAGTGTTACATGAAGTAAGGTCCTATGCATCATCAAGTCCGATATCTTGTAACACGAATTTCATTATATCTTGTGGCACTTGCAAGTTAATATCTATGGTCTATACGAACAATTATTAGTACATTTTACAATATGTTTCACACGTCGACTGAGAAATCTTTGAAAAAAAATCTCGGAAACTGAGTCCCAAAAATTTATGGAAATGCAAGAAATTGACTATAAAATCATATGAACTGTATAATTGTATAGTACCGTAACAAAATTTAAACATAACATCCGACATGTAGATTGCTAAGAGAGAAAAAGATTTCCATCCAGAAACCGTGCTGGACTTTGGATCAGGCGTAGGAACTGCCACGTGGTATGACATCATTAAACATTAACCTAACTCAAATGAGGTTGATTTCAAATTATTGCAAAACATAACTTTCAATTCCAGGGCTGCCCATGAATTGTGGAAGGCTTCAATCAAGATTTATCAATGTGTCGATGTTTCTCACGACATGAACGAAACGGCTGAATATCTGCTTAGAAGTAATTTAGAAGTTTCTGAAGTATTCAATTTCAAACTTGCAAAGCCAATGGCGTAATCGAATTAATATTTCCAGAAAGGATAAAACACACCTTATTTATTGTCTATGGTTTAAGTGGAATAGATACCCATGCTATTCTTTTCTGACAATAAAAACCATCCCCATAGATAACGTTCCCCTCCCAGGTTAAGCTATTGCCTATTGTTTTTCGTATATTTTTTTGACGTGCAAATTCGGAAAGTGTTTGTATTTCATTGACTTGTCACGAGATAAGTCTTTATTACCTTTTCACGAATCATTCGACTGTTCACGATGATTCGTGAACTCAATCTCCTGCAAAGTTGTTTATTGTTATAATGATAATCAATCATTCGATTTATCTATTGTTAAAATGATAATCGAAAATTCGATTTATCTAGTGTTATAATGATAATCAAAGATTCGATTTATCTATTGTTTTAATGATAATCAATCATTCGATTTATCGGCAGGTAGTGAAGGATATAGGACACCGCATTATATACCTCGAATATACTTTAAAGAATATTTACCAGTCACAGATAAGGTACGAATTGCCGCATTTCTGAGCTTCGTTCTATCACAGGGAAGTTATTCAAAACCTCATATTGTTATATCCTCCTCGTTTAATCATCTCGTTTCAGATCCGGCTGGCCAGGCCCGGCATTATTAAGAGTCCACGTCTTGTTATTCTATATACGTTGTTTCAAAACCATTCTATCATTTAGGTCACGTACGACATAGTGTTGGCGTCGTATTCCTTAAGTGAAATACCCTTTAGCAGAACGAGGCTGGAATTCCTAGAAAGTCTTTGGAGGAAAACAAACCAATTCCTAGTTAGTAGCACTTTGAAGCGGATAATGCTGGATGTATAATTCCATGTCGAGAATTCTATATTACCTTTGCTAACTTCAATCTTAAGGCTGACCCTAGCACTCATCTAGATGATTAGGTTTAAGGTTTTGGTGGATTCTGCACGTGAAATTATCACGGCCATGATAGAAATATTTGAATGAACCCGGAACCCCTGGGAGCTGCATGCCACAGGGATAAATGAATGCCAATTTTGACCAAGGTTTATACGCAAACACATTTTATTCGCATTAGGTAATCGTCGAAAAAGGAAATAACGAAGGATTTGACATTGTTCTGCAAGCTAGAGATTTAGTCGCAGTAAGCAAATGACGATTTTCGATACACCTGTCCCTGATGCTATTTCCCAGATAACACCATGCACTATAATGTTAAACCTGTTTTGTACACAAAGGGCAAACAGATCGAGAATCCAGCGACAGATGAACACTATTGGACAGATGGATATGACGATCAGGGGTTTGTTTTTTCCCCGGTAAGTCTATGATAATACGCCGGTGTTAAAAAATTTGGTCTTAATATTTCTGTATTAGAAACGTAGATTTGGGAGTAGTTGTTAATATCAGCGTTAGGATTAAGATTACTTAACGTGTGACTATATTGCCGTTCACCTCTTTAGTGCCCACATGAATTCGTATGTCCTCGATCTGATGTTAACACACGTGACCATCCTTGCAACTTCGAACAACGTGTACAGCTGTCTTTCGCTCAGGTATGATCTGCTTATGATTTACTGGACATTCACTGCAGGTTCTTTAACCAGTAAACTCGGCCGTTGTCATCTCGAGTGTCTCAAACCTTATCACTTTTTTACCTACCATCCCATGAAGAGCAGCTGTTTCCTTTCCGGCCGTTTCTTGTAGTGTATAACCGCTGATTATCACCTTGACCGATTTCTTTAATATCTTGAGCGTTCGACAAAATTGATGACCGAAGCCTTGTAATATGTAGGCTGTTTTGTCCAGGGCAACAATTTGCCTGTGATAACTTTTGTGGAGTTAGGCCTTGTTCTTTGCTGGTTTGGTCCCTATAGTGTAATAACTTTGCGAAACGTCCGCGGAAGTGCTTTTAAATATATTTTGTTTTTATTCTGTCAGCGGACCACAAGTCTAAAGAAGTATGGCTGCTACAATGAAATGTTTTCATATGTTGTGCTGCGCAAAGGGGAACGCTCTCCGAAAGGTGGGCACTACGGGTGAACGCTATATGCATCTGGAGTATAACGACGGTTTAATATTATTGAAAAATATGGCGAGAGTATATTTCCGTGGATAAACAGAAGTTATAAGTTGGAGTTAACTAGGCACTGAACGCACAACCTAAAGTCAGATGATATTATGTTACTAAGCACCTTCAATTCCTTTAATACATTAAAATGGTTACGTCAGCTGTAGTTCGAATTGGAAAAATATTCCAATGTTAAGGCTAGTTTCCACTCAGAAAAATTCTCCTTTGGATCGGACAGGACAGGAAAGTTTCCTTTGTATAAACGCCGCCTGAGAACTCACCGACAAAGGAAATTTTCCTCTCCGTTCCGATCCAAAGGAGATTTTTCCTGAGTGGAAACTAGCCTTTAAGCACCTAAACCGCATGCAATCTCTATCGAAATAGAACAGGATTGTCATGTTTTTCTCCTCGTTTAGATTTGGATTGGGCGAGATTAGTGCGTCCTGTCCGTTTGCGAGAGAAACATGTGATTTGCGACTTCTGCAGCAAAAATGGTAAGCTCGGATCAGTCGATGTAAATAATTCTGGATTGCGCATTTAACTGAATTTAATCCTAGAGGTTGAGTTAGGATTAGGTTTATGGTTGATTAGAGTTAAGTCTAATCCTAATCTAGTCTCAAGGCTTAAATTCGTGTATTTAGGATTTACTGAACATGATTACTACCACAGACTCAACATTTGACCGAATAACTAAAAATACTAAACTGAATTATTTCAGGTACTTTGGGACAGAAAATTCTGACAAAACGCAAAGACAGGTTAGTACTAGCGACAGAATAACGACAAAATACCTTCAGGACTATGTTCATTTGTTAAGCCCTATTTAATTCTTTCCTAACGCTTTTATAGTGAGATATACAAATGTGTACGGCATCGCGCTAAATGGGGAGACCTTCTACCTGTCGATGTCGACAGAAAGGAGCAAGTTGACGAGGACGAGTGCACGTGATAAGACTTCAAAACTTTGTAAGGACAAAGTTTGCACTTTCAGGACTGTAATGTGTGGACGCAGTGTCTTTGAATGGTTTTCATTGAACCTGGACTAAGCGCGGCCTAATAAATATCGTGAGAAGAACTGAATATGCACTGTAGTAAGAATTTCCAAAACGATTATCAAACCAAGAACGCGCACATAAATATCTGAAATTAATGCGGATATATTATTTGTGTTATTCACGTGAATGCAGACAGACCCCAGCAGTTACAAGCCAACCCTACGTGTATATTTATTACGTCTTCTAAACACAATACAAAGTGAAGGGTTTTAAAAACTATTGTACGATGACCAATTCAATGATGGCGACGGGAATTACATACACAGCGAGAACAGAATTCATTCTATCGAATTCATGCGTACGATTTATATGTTCAAAATAAACTCCGTTCTGTTAACGTCTTCAAACGCGTTTCTGAGAATAACGTGTGCCTACCATAAACTTGAGAGTTCGTAGAGACTCTTGGACGCTAGACATTCATTGGTGCATTTAAAAAACTTCCAACCACTCAAGCTTTCTTTTTCTCGGGAGGTTCCTCTTCGTCGCCCCCAGCTGATTTTCTCTTTCTGGTGGTGCGCTTGGTTTCCGGGCTTTCCTCGTTAGGGGTGGGGGCCTCATCCTTCGCTGCCCCCGCCGACCGTTTTCTCCTTCCCCCCCGTTGTGGCGTCGGCATTTCAGTTTCCTCTTCTTTCTCGCCCCCCTGTTCGCTAGTCTCGCCCCCCTGAAATACGTCCGAGCTTTTATTATCCTCAACTTCGTCTTTTTTGTCGGCGTCTTGGTCGTTGTCGACATCCTCGTCATTCGCGCCACTTTTGTCCAATTTTTCGGCATCTATCTCAGAATCTTCGTCCTTTTTGTCACCAATTTTCTCCTTGTCGACATCTTCGACTTCCATTTCGTGATCTTCCTTTTTGTCGGCATCTCCGTCATTTTTGTCGCCTTCGCCACCCTTAACCATCTCAGCTTCAGTTTTCTGTTCTTCGACATCTTTTACCGCGTCTTCTTTGTCGCCCTCCATTTTCTCAGTTTGTTGTTCAGACTGCCCAGTGTTCGAAACTTGAGTGGCCTGAACCTCTTCGGAAGGAGTTTGTTCCAGTTTTTGCTCTGCTTTCTTGAAAGCGAAAGCCATGTACAGTCCTAGCGAGACATTCAAGGACCATTATCATAGACGAAGTGAATTAGGGCAAATTTCGCCATTCAAAAGTGTTATGAAAATAAAAGCCTAAAATAGCACTGCTGTTGGAAAACCTAATTTGTTCATCATAAATGTATTGCAATTGAGGGATGCCTCAATTGCAATATCTAGAGTTTCGAGGCTTTAAGCAAAGTTCGCTTCTAGGAGATGAGGTTGTTTATTGGTAGTTTAATAACGCAAAGCTCAGTGAAATGTTCATCGCTATAAGCTTCAGGCTGACGTAGAAATATCTTTACTGCAACTTTTATTGCAATTTTGGTCACATCGATATTATTAAAACGCATTTACACATTTTTGGATATTGTGGATTTCAAGAGAGGTGACCGCGGGAATGAGTCATGGTGTTACTGTAGCTAATGTTGTCCTGCGTGCGAGGTTAGGGCAAAAAATTTTCAATGCATTATGGCCTCTATACTAAGACCTCATACAAAAGGTAAAATATATCCTGACAATATCTACATAACAATTCATACCTGTCGCTTCCCATTCATCTTTACTTAGCGTCCCCTGGAAGAAAATCAACGTTGAAAGTTACTTTTTATTATTTCAGGGCATATTCCTTATTCCTAGTTCCAAAGCCCACGGCACCCCTAATCCCTAGGTACCATTATCCATATCCCAACAAGGGCTACCAACCCATCTTATATAGACAGCTCGGCTTTCTACTAGGAAAACAGTTTGTTATACCACTTGTTTCCTCTCGTCGTTTTCATCTGCTTCGCCTAAAAACTCCTTCGCTTGAAGATAAGCATCTTCGTTTTCTGACGCGAGTTTGTCCCCTTCCCGTCTTGGAGGATACGTCTACACAACAAGATACAATACGTTATGTTTACCATGGATCAGAAATGGTGGAGTCGATGTACATAGCGAACATTACAAAATACAATAAAACAACTTTCGACTGTTTGCTTCTATACCAACATAAAGCCATATTGAAGTGGGTTTTATAAACTCTCGTCAGCCATCTTGAAAAATAATCCCACCAACAACCATTAAATATACGTACGTGAGCATGCAGGTGACCAGGTATAGTCCACCCTTCAGGTGGGGTTAGGAATTACCCACCTCTTTGACACCGCAGAAATTGTTGTTCATGAAAATTGTTGTTCGTGGAAATGATTTTCACTTGTTCACATCGCATGCAAGTTTCAATTTTTTGTGCATAATTTGTTAGGTATTTTAGGTTTAGTCTTTAAGTCTATATTTTAAGTTTAGTCTTTAAGTCTATATTTTAGGTTTAGTCTTCAAGTCTATATTTTAGGTTTAGTCTTTAAGTCTATATTTTAAGTTTAGTCTTTAAGTCTATATTTTAGGTTTAGTCTTCAAGTCTATATTTTAGGTTTAGTCTTTAAGTCTATATTTTAGGTTTAGTCTTTAAATCTATATTTTAAGTTTAGTCTTTAAGTCTATATTTTAGGTTTAGTCTTTAAGTCTGTATTTTAGGTTTAGTATGTAAGTCTATATGAATGCAAAGCAATTTCCGCGTTGCCCACCCGCTATATATAAGTCGTTTAAACTTTAGCTATAAACTAACTTCGCTTTTCGTTACAAATCATAAAAACCTACCTCCAAAGCGTTCATTCTGTTTAAAAGAAATCTATAATCATCTTTATCTTTATGATCCTCAAAGAAATCATGAAATCCCTGCGCAAGTTCAAGCGTGAGGCCAAACTTCGTCGCCATTCTAAGAGACACGAGACATTACATAGTATCATTTGGTGCTTTCTCCTTCAATTCAAAACGCAAACACATTTTCCTTCAAACTTACTTTTCCAGAAGCGGGAAATGAACAACAAATTCCGGGCAGTCGACGACTCCTTCTAGATGAAAGTCATATTTGTGTCCGAACAAGGCGATATTCTCCTTTTCCGTGAAAGTGATCTTGTAACAATCGTTCTCGATTGACATTCCTTCGGATTGTCGCACACGGTTTCTAAGAATTTCAGGTGAAAATTTACTAAAATGATCATTTCATCCCCCATAAAGATTTTCATAAACCATTTTCAGCTGATAATTTTGGCAAATATAAGATAAAGGTTATTCCGAATAGATTCATTGTGTTAATCAAAACTTTTTTGGCAAATACACAATCAAATGTAAACTTTCATTTTTTATTTTGATATATGATTTTACATTTTGATTTTGCATTAACACAATGAGTCTTTTCGGAATAAGATTTTCGTCTCAAACTAGAAAACAACAGCATATAATTCAACTTTCATAAAGCTGTATGTTTAACGTGTTCTCTCGTACAGGACGAATGTTTAAATGAAGGCTATGTCAAACATCCTATCTGAAAGCCGTTAAACATGTATTCAATCTCTGGAAACGAGTTTTTCCTCATGGAATCGTGATTATAAACAAATTTTTTATACTCAAAAGACTTTTGGCCAATGAAGAAGTATTCAAAAAAACTCCTTTTACATTTGAGATCTTGATGAAAACAATTTCCACTCACATGATTTCGTTTGCACAAGGTATCGTTCCAATAAAGTAACCTCCAGGTTTGAGTCGTTCACAGGCGTTCTGTAGCATCCTCTCGGCCTGTTCCGGGGACTCGAAAGCGTAATGTAGAGCAAATTGACAACTGGTCATGTCAAATTCAACCTCCCTATTTCGACTGTTAAATTTCTGGCTTATGTCTTCCTAAATGAAAGAAAAGTTCGGGTTACTATGCAGAAATACGCTTAAATAGTTGGTTACAAACTTACAATTACTGTAGCCTTTCTAACGATGATGAATATCCGGCATTATGGGGGTATACGGTACTTTCAATTTTAATTTTCTTCATTGCGTTTAAAGAAAAAAAGCAACATAAAAAGCATTTTCTACGATTCAATAGACAATTCCAGGAATAAATTAAGCCTAAATTAAAGATCCCAAAAATGGCATCAAATTTGTCATCGTAAAAGGCTAATTTGTCTTCACTCATTTAACTTTAAGACCGTTTTATATATGTTCGCCTGAAATAAGGAAGGTTTATGAGCAGTGCGAAATGCATGACTTATGTAGATAAATAAGAATTCTACATACCGGTATATGTATAATACAGGAAACAAAACAAACCTTAGTGCAATCAGCCGTAATAAACTGTGCATCATATATTTTCTGTGTTTGATTATAGCGTCGATTATTTCTTCCGTATCTTAAATCCCGGTACCTTTGTTCACACTGGTTCATAGATACTTCAGCAATGTCTGCGAAATACGGTTAAATTGGTTGTGTTTTACCCTTAGCACTGCCAGTTAAATTAAATAAATGGAAGTTTTCTTTCAGCTAGAATATTGCATGACACCTTACCTGCACAAACAAGGTTTGAAATTCTTGCTTTCTGCCATTTTATCAAATCTCCTCCTTTTCCACAACCAATATCTAACACGGACAGGTTTCGAAAAGTCCTCCTGAATCATGGTAAATCAACACACAGATATATGAAATGTCAAGTGATGAGATGATGTAGAATATGCCAAGCAACTGCTGCAGCATGACCATATATATGCAATTTCTTTTAATGAAATCTAGTTTGACTGTCCCCTTTTGTTTGAAATTTGGTAATTATTAAAATTAGGCACGGTTGTCTATCTGCATAATAAAATAATCAGGTCTGGTCACACTGAACTAGTCACAAATAACATACATATTGCAAACTGAAGTGGTAATTAAAGCAAATAAATAATGTACCTTTTATATTTCTCCATAAATTCATTGATCAAGACACTTTTAACCCAGTTATTGAAGTTTCTGAGATAAAATATGGGCGAAGTTTTTCTCTCTTCACGAGTATGCTCCTTGTGCTCGTTGTAATGCTTTGCAACTGTGGCTCCGAGACCTTTCTCTTCTTCCTGCATACGAACCACAGCAAATCACTTATTGACAACTTTTGACAACAAGTAGAATCCTGGATAAAATAGCCTTACCTTGGGGTTTTCAGATGCCTTTTCTTGTGTGTCCCCGGTAGGTTTGCCTAAAGAAAATAGATTTTTAATTGCACTGTACTGTTGTCGCAGAGAAATGGAGAATGGATAAAGTTTGCACTTTTTAAACAATGAAACTATGCTATCAACTTATTTATTTGTCAACTTCTTGGCACACAGTTTTGAAAGATTGTCTTTGTCAACTCTGTCTAACATAAGTCAAAGTTCTCCATAATTGAATAAAAACCTCAAAGTTAATTAAAGCAAAAAGCCTAATTTAAACAACTTAGCATTAAATGTGGTATAACTAACTCTCCTGATGAAGGCCCTCAGGTCGAAACATAGGGAAGTGTTTTGCCTAATTTAGGCAGTTGTTATACCACATTTGATGCTAAGTTATTTGAAGATGCTGCCACACTGCTCCCTGGTTACAATGGAACTTAGTTTATACATATACCTTCAGTGGTATCTTCCTCATTTGCAACTTTATCTCCAATTTCTAAAGCCTTGCCTTTCTCCTCCTCATTTTCAACTAAAACAACAGGAATTACAACACCAATAGAGCTTATATAATGGAGTAAATAAGTAAATTATACATTATTTACCCAAGGTTTACAGTGCAGAATGCACATAAAGCAATATACCACTTAATGGAAAGCTAGAGTATTGTAAGCTCAATATCTTGAGCACACACCTTCCATGTCTTTTATATTTTAACTATTACATTTTTGAGATATGATGCGCACAATTTGCGCATTTTCTAGTTTTGTAGGGGGTACTGTAATAGATGTTTGCATATATTTACAAATCCACTTCATTCCTATTATAAGAAATACCTCGAGGTGCAGCTTCATCTGTTTCGTGTCCGTTTTCTTTCGCTTTTTGGGCGACCTCTTCAGTCTCATCTTAAGATATCGAAACAAAACATATACAAAGTACATATAAAGCAACACCAACAAGAACATAACCCGTCTGACAATGGCCATAAAAACACCAAAACTTCTGCAATCGCAGCGAAACAGGAACCCTATGATGTGAAGAAATACCTTTTGATTGTTCTTCTTCCATTGGCTTAGGTTGTTCCTCTTCCAGAGACTCTGTCGCGCCTTCCATTTGTGTTTGATCAATCTCCTGAGGATCAGCCATCTTGAATTTGCCACACGTGTGTCACTTACTCACTTTCCCCCCTAGAATGCAGCCTGCATGGCAGGCGGTCCCTAAAATCAGGCATGGAGATGACGGCGAAGACCGCCTGCCGGGGGTAGCTATGTATTTTAGAAACCCCGTCCACTGGTAGAAATGATGATTGACTGCGAGTGGACGGCGAAAAGGTAAAAGAGAATATATTTTATCTCTAATATTTTCTTTGTATTTCATACTGTCATAATTTAATTGCAATAGCCAATAGGTACTCCGTATTTGTGTTAGTGTATTTTCAGTGTATTTTAAAATCAACCCTAATGTGAAACATTTTCCCCTAATTCAGGAAGACCTGTCTTAGCACTCACTGGCACTGCTGATGAGGTGACACAGACGATTATTTGTTCCAATAGACCTTATGCATAATGACGTAATATATCGAACAGCAAAATATGCATGTCAAAATACAAATCCAATGCGTACATCTAACGGTTTCCACACCACCCCACCCCCCCACAGGCGCCACCACTGGAAGAAAAAGATAACACGAGTTGAAAACGTTATAAATTTTACTCATGACATCGAAAACTAGCAGCTGCATTTACACACCGGAAAGCTTTTATCGGAACAGATAGGAAAGGAAAGTTTGCGGAGGATATTTTTCCAAAAGCAAGATTTTTCTCCAGTGGAAAAATCTAGTTGAAAATGGCTTTAACTTTGTGGTTCTCTCCTCAGAATAGAAATATTTCCGAATGAAATTGTAAAGATTCTACTGCGCATGCGGTTCGCGGTGAATTTTCCGTTCTAGCTGGGGAATTTCTTCCATTGTGTAAATGTAGCTATACTACAGAATTTAGTTACTGTGCCTTCTAATCTACATTGATGTATGGAATTAATACAACAGTTCGAGAGACCACCCTAAAATTATAAACAATCTTACGATTTGATCGCTCAAAATTCAATGAAAAAATCGTGTTCATAATTAACCTATTTTCATTGCGAGTACAATTTTATATTCAGTCCTATTGAATTAACTATCACAAAGCAAAAAGTTCCTTACGATTTTCATGATTGCTCAAAATCCAATAAAAAAATCGTGTTCATAATTAACCTATTTTCATTGCGAGTACAATTTTATATTCCCTATTGAATTAACTATTACAAAGCAAAAAGTTCCTAATTCAAGACGCCTTGAATAAGGCTCAGAATTTGATCAGTTTTTGACATCGCATCTTCAGTATTTCTCCGATCAAAATTTTCGGCAGGAATGGACTGTTGGCGGACACCACTTTTATAATCGGGATAACGGGTTTTGATGTAATACCTTTGAAAACACTCGACAATCGTCGGAATGGAGCGAAGACTTTCATCTATTTCTGACGCTCGGTACGCCAAGCCAGTCACGTCGTGATTTTCTAAGTCGCTGCTCATAAGTCGACCTTTTGCAAACATAAGGGCTTTTAAAGCTTTCTCAGTAGCTTGTTGGCAAAAGAAGCAACTTGGGGAATAATGTCCACTTTCGTAAAGGCAGGTAGCTGCATCAAAATCTTTCTGAGCTTGTCTCATCCATCGATCAGCTTCGTCGCTATTCGGTGGTTCAGTTACGGACACTGCAGGGCTTGCTTGCCCAAAACGAATTTGAGGTATTCCAGCGACATCCAACGTATTCGAGATTTCACTCGGGAATTTGAAGCCAAGCATTATGATAAAAATCAGATAGCGCCATTGGTCATCTTTTATATGTTGCCCGGTTATCATAGAAACAAAAGAAGCCAACCTTTCATGCAGCAAGGCAGAATTGCTCCCTCCACCATGTTCAATTAGGATGCAATATCCATCAGGACGTTTCTGGCAGAAAGTAGGAACCTCTGACTTGCTGTCTGGAACCGGTTTTCCGGTCTCCTTCTTGACAAACTGTACTTTAATGGTTTTCATGCAGATGATTTCAACGCCGCTCCCAAGGCTTCTAAGGTCTTCCATCACTTTTGGAGGAATTTTGTCAATTCTTTCTTGCCATTTGTACAAACGAATCATCGCATCGCTCAGCTCTCGAGAAAAGAGTAAGTCCCGGTATGGTTTAATGAAATCACAGTTCCTATGAATACAATCTTCACAATCCGATTCGCTCAGACCATCCTCAATTACGGAACTTAACATTTTTACTTTCAAACGATCCGGCAACAATTTCACCAGTTTCTCGAGAGGTTCCGCATTCTTAATGGTTAAATCAACAAGTAACTTGAATCGGTAGTCCCCCAAACGGTCTTGCGTTTGCATTGTATCATTAAAAAATACCTTGCAAGACGGCCTCAAAACACCACCTTCAGTTGGAAGATAAAGAACAGAGACATTTACTAGGGATTGTGGGATATCCAAGACAGAATCTCCATGTTGTTGTTGGTGTTTTTGTTCTTTACGTGTTTTATCCTTGAAATTTTTATCTTTGCGTTTCTCATCCTCGCTCAATTGTTTGAACAAACATATCGCAGCACCAACAGCTGCTCTTCTTTCTTCTCTCATTTTCCTGTCTCCACAACTTTCATTAATCGTTGCCAGCACCAAGGAACACTGAAGTGGCGTTGGACGTTCCTGAGCTCCGAGACATTTCAGGAGGCGCTCAAACCCACCAAGATGACGAGGGATTTTGAACATGTATGGCTTCAAGTCATCCCAAACCCCATCGAATGCTAGCTGGTTACCGCGTACGAATGCATATTCGTTGACCAAAATAACTGGAAACTTGCGAATGGCCAACACACACTCCTCTCTTTGCTTTTTTGAACCAGACTTCAATAATTCATTAAAATAACGGTAGATCTTCTTTGTTATCTCTTGCAACTCTGAGGGAACTTTCTTTTCAGCATTTAAAGGATAAAGCTCAGAGATGTTTTTGACATGTTTGACAACGAGATCGCGGGGAACTTCGGAGAATATTCCGAGCTCGACGACCAAGTGATCTCGTGGATGCGGAACTGCTATTTCGGCTATCAAAGGCGCGCTCGACCACACCAGGTCTACATGCTCTTCGGTCACGGATCCTTTAAAACAAGTAAGTATTGATCGTGTATATGAGGCGCGGATATCAAGATACATCTGCTCCACTTTGCCTCTTGGGACAAAATGGATTTCTGAGACTTGAGAGAGAAATGGCTTTGTGTGCAAACTTTTATCTCCCAGCAGATGCGCAACTAGAATGTTCGACTTTTCCAAGATTCTTTTTGCTTCCTCTGGACTTGGATTATGGTTACTTTTACTTTCTCCCTCCAATTGTTTAGCAAACTGCTTGAAAAGTTCCTTGGTGATGTCACACTGAAGACCAACTTTTTTCAAAAATTCTTTCCACTCTATGGCATCGTACGGTTTTGGAGGAAATTCCTCCTTCGGTACGAATTGTTGGAATACTTTATTATCTGGATCGTAAAATTTTCTTGCTGGACAAAGTTGGCCTGAATGATTAGAAAGAAAGCAGATACCTTTCAAATCGGAAAGTAGGGCTTCAGGGTTGATATGCAAAAGGTGGTCCCTCACAAACTTTAAATGATGTTCTTTTTCCTCTGGTGTTAAATGATCGAAGTTCTTGAGAACTATGTCTTTGTAGAATTCCGCAGCGGAAACTCGTTTGATTCCAACGTATTGGTAGAGATCTGGTAGTTTGTGAGCCTGGCACAAGAAGATACTATTTGTTTTCGTGGAAAGGACTTGAAGACCATTCTGGGGAACGTCAGCTGGAACTTCAAAGACTTCGAGTTCATCGGAAAGCTGCGTGAAAGTGCCATTGATGGTTTTGTAGAATCGAAGATTTCGTAAAAGGCGCCTGTTCAACCCGTCCCGGGCCACTTGGCCGTCCCGGGCCACTTGGCCGTCCCGGCCACTTTGTAGAAACACGAGGAGGTCCTCGATTTCCTGACCCTCGAGTGGAGTTCCTTCGTATACCTTTTCTTCACCGCTTAAAGTCTGGCTCAGCAAACCCAGGACGTCCTCCGTTGACTGAACCATCGCAAGAAGGTCTCGACGCACTGCAGTAGCCCCTGTGGGATTTGGAGATACGGAGGATTTCAAAATTTCCTCGTTCAAAAGCGGGCAGCCGATTTTCAGCATCAATTTTCGAATATTTTCGTCTCGAGGCGAGTCTTCGTTAAGATAAGTGCTGACATTGAGAACTGTTTTGCTCTTAGAAACTGGAATGAGGCAGTTATGCGTCGTTGGAATAATATGCCAATCCGCGATTTCATTCAGGAAATCACTCATTTTTCTTTGACAATCTTCACCACTTTTGCCTTTTGAGACAGTATCGATGAACTCCCAGAGCAATACAAGCCATTCTTTGGATGGAAATGTGTCATCATCGCTCGGATTCCACTGCTGCGCAGAAGTGCTGGTAAGCCAAGCTGGTGGGAAGAGAACGTTTTGAAATTTTGCAATATCTTGTATAAGAAACTCTCGCATAACGTTGGAACACTCATTTGTTCTGCTTTCGTAATGAGTTTGGAGAAGATCGCATAAAAAGAGATCCGGTCTAGAAGGCACCAGCTCATAAAATTTGCTACAAAAAACTGTGGAATTGCTTTGAAAACATCGAAGTATGCCATCTTGGGTAAGAAGCAAAGGAACTCCCTCGAGACTCTTGAAAAAATTCTCAGCATCAGAACAATACGTGGTGAGTTCGTGAACAGTGTTGACGTCGCGAAGAAACGTATCCTTTATTCCTCTTGGTAAATTTCCTTTGGACTCCTCGTGTTTTCGAAGAAATGATATAACATGCTCTGGGCTGACGTTTCGATTATACCCAACAGCCTTGAAACTCTCGACAATTTTACTCGGCGTATCTAAAAGAAGATGGAATCCAATATCCAGCAACGTCTTTTCGAGCTCGGGCGACATCCCCGAAATGCGAAAGTATACATCGCTAACTTTACACCAGGTGACTTTTACAGGAGTCTGATCTTCCTCTGTCCTTGACTCAGAAGTGTCCTTGTTCAGTTCATCTTCCGGTTTCTTCGAGTCTGAAACTGACAAAGCGACCGGCAAAACAGCAAACGTTGACAGGAAGTTTTTGTAAAGCTCTTCTCCAACAGGCTTCCAAGCAGCATCAAGATCTTCAATAGATGGGAACAACTGATGATACCATGCGAGGCCATCCTCAGCTTCCTTCTTGGAAGAAAACGTGCCGGAAGTGTCAGATTCACTTTCATATCCGGGAATGTGGTTCTTTGCGTGACCAATCGCACTGGCATAGGCTGGAGCGATTACGTGACGTTTCATGAAGTCATTCCAAGCATCACGTTCGTCCGAACTTTTAGGATCGTACCACACGTCACGGCGCGATGGATTCAGAGCAAAATCGCCACTGATTTGAACGGGAAACTTCAAGTAAACTTGAAGTGGCAGCATGCAAAATAAGGAGTAACGGAATTGGGGAGTAGTAGTACTGTCAGAAACAGCGGTAGGTAAACGAACGGCAATACCAGCACGTGGTAACAATCCCATTGTCATACCGTTTGGGACTTGATAGTTTCTATCTCTACTCTCACTCCCCAAGTATTGTGTGACCAACCAATCACTTCTTACACCGCTCGTATCAGATATTTTAGTTATATAATGGATAGCTTGCAATGGGATTTCCGGAGTTGGAACTTTTTGGTATTCCTTGATCTTTTCAAATAATTTAGTCCGTTTATCTACGTCACTGACATCGCAATTGGCAAAGTAAGTTTTCAGTTTTCCATCCTCTATCTCGGAAACAGAGATTCTCGTAATGTTGCTCAGAAACAGCAGCATGTCTTTCGCGGATTCTCGGAATCTATCCAAGAGCTCCTTCACACTTTTTCCATCCCACTGAGTTGTGCAAATCTCGGAATGAAGATTCGTATCACGGCGAAGTGGGAAACGAAACATTGTACCTCCTTCGAGAACGAAAAAATCACCCAGAAAACCGGATAGCACATCCTGGAAATTCTTTCGGAACACCTGGTCGAGATTTCTGAACACCCGTCCAGGTTTTTCCTCGCTCGCACCAGGAATATACGCTGTATGAGGGTCGGAAACACCAATAATTTCATCGTTTGAAATAAAGTACGGACAATCAGTAAGATGGTAAACTGCTTTAAATCCAATGCCATAAGTTTTTTCAGCTAAATCGTCGACCTTGCTTCCTAAACCTAGTTTCTTAATACCTTCAATATCCTCTTCGGAAAAAGGTTTATTGGTGTAGACACAAATCGCAGGGCCTTGGAGAGCGTTCCAGTTTTCTGAGAATATACGCTTATTATGGTGGGTTCTAGGGTCAAACACAAAATGTATTTCGCTGGCTTTTGCATCATCGGCGTTTTTAAGAAGTTCCTTCAATATTCCCTCGTCAGCAGGAAAGGTTTCCAGGATATTCTTCAAACGAATGGTTAGCTTTTCATGTTGTCCGTGCGGTTGCCCAATTGGTTTGCTGATTTCTTCTACGACTTTACTTCTGAGCTGCTTTGCACCACATTTGTACACCAAATTTGCTGGGACCATCTCGTGCACAAATTTAACGTTTGCGACATCCACTTCAAGCCAAGGCGTATCGTTAATTACAAGTTCATTTCCATAATGCAACTGACAGTCCTGGCTTGGAAGAGGCAATGGATCTTTTGGTCTTTCTTCGGGTGATTTAAATACCACTTCTTCAAGAAGAACATTAAAGTTTCGGATTTCATCATCCGTCAGTTCCTTCCCATCATTGTCTTGTTGTAGCTTGTGAATTGCTTCAGTGAACTCCCCCAGGGAGAAGTTCTCTTTCACACCGTACCAGTCTATAAGTCCTTTGAACTTCGCTTGGTACCCAAGAGGCAAAGGAAACAAATATGGTGACCCATTTTCTTTCTTCCAATTCCTTGCTACGTGTTCTGGATAAACCATTCGACCTTCGACAAGCATCCAAGATCGGGAACTGAGTTGCTCGCGAAGGTATGATTGTTGTGACGTTAAATTTTCAGTAGTTACAACTTCTTGCAAAAACTCATAAATTGTCGAACACATCACTTCCTTATCTTCTCTTGTGAGCAGGTTGGAAAGCTGGACGATATGATCAAGTTGTGTAATGACATCGGATAACTGTGGTTGCTTTAAGTCAAACCCAAGGATTTTCTTCAGATTTCTATCAGGTACACTTTGGAGATGAGATGATTCATCCAGGATGAGTTGAGAGGAACCAACAAGGTGTTTATGTATTTCTGGAAAGAGATCATTCGCAGCAGCTAACTCGGTCCCAGGAATCTTCTCAGACTTCCATGGGAATGGGAGGTCTTTTGGTTTGGACAAAATTGGAAGGAATCGAGCAGCTCTTAGGCGCTCCATTTCGTCAGGAGTTATTTCGTCTTTCGGAGGCGTTTGATTCAGGTATTGAATAAGAAATCTTGCTCTTGCTGCATCACAATGATTGGAAATCCACTCAGCTCGCTCGCACAAACTGCTCCACGGAAGGAAATCAACTGTCATTCCTAACTCTTCCAACATCATTGCTCGTTCTTTTGTCAAAAACCGATCATCTAACGGGAATCTTTTCTCTTCTTCCGAGAACAAACAGGCAACGTTTCCCTTTGGATGGACCAGCTCATTTGGTTTGCGCAGAACCGTGCCATCCACAGAGCAGCTGAAACCCTGGTATGAACATAGAAGGTCGTCATACTCTCCTTTTTCGTTTGGTCGACAATCGAGAATGTGAACAAGAACTGAGTTCCGATCATGAATCGATATCCGTGAAAGGTTGGGAAAGAAGAAATCTTTCAAGAATATATCCTCAGTCAACATGTGAGCTTCAATAAAGGTAAAGGTTTCTTTCCCGCTGGATTTAAATGCTTCTATGAAGTCTTGGGGAAGTGAAAGAACATTTTCATTCAACTGATTCATGATGATGACGCTTTCATCAACTTTGGCAAGCTCCGGATCAAGGATACGACATTCATCGAGCTTCTTCCACTTTCCATTGCAATAAAACAGCTGCCATTCTTCGTCGATGATTGTTTTAAAGAATGAAAGCAGAAAAGGTTTCAATGCTTTGGGATAGTTCATCTTTGCTGGGTTGGGCCAAAGAGTGTGGAATTCATACTGCTCAGCATTCTTATTCGTCAGCTCTTTCAGTAGCTGAAGATATGCCTGAACTAAGGAATCTTTCATCAACGCCTCGTTCCACTCCACTTCAAATGGCTTGATTGATTGAGATTCACCCACAGCTTTTTCCCACAAATGACGACGATTTGAGTACATCGAAAAACAGCCGTTGACATGCACAGGAAACCCAGACTCGATAGAGAGGGGCATGAAGCAGAATACTTCTCCAGCTTCGACGGGTAATATTTTCAAACTGCCTGCATCTGAATACGCTATCTTTGCGGCTATCCCGCTGAGCGGGACAACTGCTTTCTTTTCTCCTTTTGGACTACGCGCAACTTCAAGAGAAGATCTGACACCAGCGCAGGAATTCACAAGCCAGGTTTCCTCAGATGTTTCAACAACTTTTGATTCACTAAGTCCTGATTTTACCATGGTTACTTTCATTCTTAACTCTTCAGTACGACGTGGTCCTTCCGACGTGACTTCCATTTCAGAACCGCCGATATTTTTTAACCAAGTTGATGAATTCTCCAAGATCGTTCCCTCGCCATGATTATCAGCTTCGTTAGTATCCAAGATGTTCACGATGGATTTTGTTACGCTCATTAAAGGTTTCTCAAAGCACTTGTTTACGTTAGAATTCGTCGGAATTTCAAACACCTGGACCTCCTTAACATTCTGGGTAAAAAGCAACAGAGTAGACGCACTTTCTTTTAACGACTTGATAAGATCCTCGACGTTCTCTCGCGTGTAAGGGTCTTTCGATATTTCACTCTCTTCAGCTTGTTTCGCTGTACGGAAAGGAAGTCGAAACAATGTCCCTTCGAAGTGAAAAGGCTCCGTTCCCTTCATGTCAAAGCCAAACATCTGATGATAAGGCATGAATTGATCTGGAAATCGAGACAAAGCGAGGCTGCTCTCTACCAAGTTTAACATAAAACCACCTTTCCTCTTTTTGCCTTTGATCAATTCAGAGATGTGAGTCATATTCGGATCAAAAACCACAAAGTGTTCACCACTTACAAAGCTCGGAACATCCGTGAGGTGGTAGACTGAGTTAAAGCCAAGACCAAAACGACCAACCTTGTGGAGGTCTTCCTTCTTCGTGTCGCCAGCCAACTTGTTGATATTCTCAAAGTCTGCCTCAGAGAACTTGGCGTCGTTGTACGCCCAAAGAGCTGGTCCCTGACATTCCGCTAGTTCTTCAGTTAGCAATTGTTCGCAGGGATTTTCCCTCCAATCAACAACGAAAAACACTTTAGAAGCACGTGCGTCATCTGCGTTCTGAATGATTTCCTTGAAAATCGGCATTCCTTCTTTGTACTGCTGAAGAATGTTACGTATTCTCGTGGTCAGCGGCTCGTACTGACCAGCTTCTTTGAATTCAATGCCAACTGCTTTGGCTCCTGCGAGGCAGCTCGAGAGACGAGGTACGCGAAGACGAACAGCCAAGTCATCAGGAATTGCTTTATGAATTAAATAGGAGTTTGTGGAGGCTTCAAATTCAGAGGCACCTTGTCTTAGGAATTCACGATCACAGTAAGTGCACCTGTTACACGGCTCCAGTTGCAGCTTTCCAGAGGATGTTTGGACTGGAATGAGAAGATTTGAGCGGCGTTCATCTGATAACTTACCAGAGATTGTCACAATCCATTCTAACACTGCACGACATTGATCTAAGTCTTGCATCGCATCTTCACGCGGTTTTTCTTCATTATCATGCTTTTCCTTTATGATTGACAGCATAACCAGCAGATCATCAACATTAAACTGTGGCTTTACTCCAAGTGATAGTAAAAAGTCATCTACTTGCGATATTTCCGCCTGTGGAAGAAGGAACAGGTATGGATGAAGGTTGATGCTTTTAGGAAATGGTGATTCGAAAGCAACTTTCTCGGGTGATGTAAACCCACTTCCATGCCATACCCAATGAGTTAAACCTTTGGATTGCAACAAATGCTGCACAGAACTTTGGGGTGCTGTGGAAAGATGCGCGTATATAACCGCAATCATCTCTTCAAATTTTGCGACGGACATTCGAATTCTTTGTTTTGTTGTTAGGTTTGTCCAGCATGCAATAGCCACATGAAGCTGTTTAACGACGTCTTGAGGAGGTGCATCGTGTGCCCCGGGCGTATCAAATAACAATTCTAAAAATGTATAAAAAATGAATTCATGAGCCATTTTTTAAATGTAGATTACACTAGGCAATTTTCCTTCCAACTTGCAATGCAATTCTACTCCTGAGGCATCTAAAGTTGTCAAACAAGAATCTGCTAATTTCGTACGATATGGCAACGTTTTCTTAGCATTTCGAACACTCTTTACAAATTAACATCCCTCAAAGTGATATAATTGCATTGCAAGTTGCAAGGAAAATACGCAGAAGTAACCTGTCTTTAGGCCTGGTTCACACTTGTCGTACGAATCTGGGATTCCCTTTGTCTGAGGTCACTGGTGCACAAAATTCTGTGTGTATCGGAAAATAAAACAAGTGCGAACCAGGTCTAGAAGTGCTAGTGTGAATCAGGCCTAGAAGAAGGATGTTCAACTTCCCAAAACTCCTAAAAAAATCGCATCGTTTAAGATGGTTCTAAGAAAGAAAACCTTCTTTAGTTGACACACTTAGAAAAATCATCTATAAAATCGTCAGAAAACTGTACGTACTTTGTACTTCACTTGCCACCAAGTTCTCGTCAAAGACAGGTCGTGTCGCACCAACCAGAAATGCCATCGAGTCGGGGAACATGCCATCAGGCTTGCATAAACTCATTCCACCATACCACGGCATGAAATCGGGATAGTTTATTGGGCGATCAACAACTCGTGGTAGCCATGGCACTTTGCGTAGGACATTTTTCAAGAGCCTTCCATCTGAAGTTTTTTCTTCAAGTAACTTTGGTCGCTTGTTTATAATTTCCAATAGAGCTTTTCCTTGACCTAAACAAAGCCCAGACGTTCGGTTTACAACGAACAAAATGTCTTTAAAGGTTAGATTTTCCCAGCCTCGAACTTTGAGCTTTCGTCTACGTCTTCGTACTGGCTCAGAAAACAAGCCCGTTGGAAATGCCTTGTGGTTGTCTTGTAGCAACTCCGTTAGAAGAGCGTCTGAATCGTCAAACAGTTGATTTGGGGGCACACGTTTTCCGCTAGCTGTAGGAATACAAGCCAATTGACTGATAAACGAAACAAAATCCGGCTCTTCCCGATTTAAAATGTCCATTTCTTCCAAAATCCAAAGCATGAGTTCGTTCTTCTCTTCCTTCATGATTTTAGAGTTTATTAAGAAATTTTCTAAACGAGCCATGATTAAACTAGCCATGCTTTCTATTTTCATTCCAAGTTTCCCCAACAATCGATGGTTCTCGTCTTTCGAAGAGGACAAGATCTTTGCTCGGTCAACGAGTTGCATTCCTTCAGGTAACTCAAAATTTCGTGGTGCAACCAATCGCGGTCCATCCTGCTTCGAGCGACAGTTAAGAAAATCGTTGCCATCGACTGTTTCGAAGATTGGTAGCGAAGAGATGACAGATTTATGGTTGGAATCAAGCAGGTCCAATTTCGACAGAATGCAACAAAGCTCTTGTTTGCCTTCGCGTGATGATTGAGGCAGTTGTTGAACGATCTTCTTTCCTGCCCTCAAAAATAGGTTGAGAATGCCAGACGGATTTGGTAGAGCAACATAATCAAAAATTCTTTCATGCTTCACAAAAGAGGGCAGTTTATCAACTACAATGCAACCCGAGCTTTTTAAGAATTCACACATGACTCCAGAAAGGACTTCATGGTACCGTCGGCTTTCGAATTCCCTGGCGATAATAGTGGAATTCTGTTGAAGTCTAGCTAAAGATGTTGGAGTGCTGGTGGACACAGGTATCAAAGGCATTTCTTTGAATTCGCATAAATCAGTTGGGTAATTCTTCTTGATCCATTTCCACATTAATTTTAGCCATGCTAAGGAAGGATGTTGTTCAATCTCTGGATTCCACGTCACGGTCTCCAGCTGCTGGGCAGAGCTAGTTGACCAATCTTTAGGAAGATTTTGCCGGAGTAATTCTATGATATCATGATTGGTAGCGTGGTGCAACTGTGTTTGTTTGGTAAAAGCAACCTCGCTGAGCTTCTGCTGGACTGGTTGAGAAAGATTACGATAAAGAAGACGATGTTTCATGTTTGGTAGAAGATCGACACTGACCTTCTCGGACAGAATGTAGATTTTCTCATCAGAAACCTTCGAGAACTTTATAAACTGGCGATTCTCTAACGGCAGAAGAGGGACGCCACGAAGACCATGGATATTTCTAGGAACTGTCTGCAGAGCGTATTCTAGCATGGATAATCTGTCGTCGCTGTCGTAAAAGTTATTAGAATTTGATCGTAAAACGATACACAAGAGTTCAGGGGTAACTTTTTGAAGGGTTTTCCAACCTGACATCTGATGATATTGGTCGATAATTTGTATAACGTGTTCTGGTAATGAAACAATTGGCCGGCCAGCATTCAACAACGTCTTTAGAACAACTTGCTTAATTTCCTCTCTCATATCTTTGGATTCGTCCAAGCGATCAATAATTGCAGTTCCAAGGTTGACCCAACGACAAATTCCTTTCGGAGTGGCCAGGAATATTTCACTTTCTCTTGCCAAGACTGTTTTAACTAAAGGCTCTGTGATACATTTCCAATTTGATCTGACGCGGCTGAGGTTAGGCAGAGCAGTATACACTAACTCGGCAAGCTTCTTCGGTTGGACATTGCCAGAACTCTCTCTTGCAATGTTTATGATCAAATTTGCATACACCCGACTGCCGATATTCCGCAAGAGAAGTTCATTCCACCGAGCTGTGTCATCATTCTGGCAATCAGGACCAGGCCATTTCAAAGCTCGTCTGTTGTCTGTTAGTCCGAAGTAACCATTCACTTGCACCGGCAGTCCAGTACGACAGTCGCCATCAGGGGGGAGTGGAAGAAAACAGAATATCCTTCCAAGTGAAGACATGTTGTTGTTCGCATCAAGAAGAAACGCGATGCCGATCCAGGGCAACAACTTTAGATCTCTGGCCAGCTCTATCAGCTCATTTTCATTCGTCCCAACTTGATTTGCTAAGAACCATTCATCCTTTTCTGGAGGTTTTCCTGGACTCTCCCTTTCGATCTCCAAACGAAAGAAATTTGTTTTCACGGCAAAATTCCACTCCACCGTGATATCCTGGATTAATTCTCGTCTTCTCTTCCTGACTTCAATCTTTGACTCCTCAGAAACTTTGACGGTGTAAAGACGGATAAACTCGCCTCCTTCTTCACGCTCGTACAAACTGATCGATTCAATGTTTTTCAAAAAGAGAAGAATCGCACTGGCTTCTTTTTTTAAAGAATCCAAAAGAGTGTTGACCATTTCTCTGGTGTAAATCTTATTCGACAGTTTCGATGGTTCAGTTCTCAAAGGAAATCGAAAGAGTGTTCCACGATAGTAGTTTTCCCGCAGGAAATTGCAGTGAAATATTTCGTGTTGAAAGGGAGAAAATTGGTCAAAATTTTCCTTGAGCGACTCATCTTTAGTGAAAAACGCCCGGCCAGATTCACCAGAAACAAAGTATTTTTCATGAGGGTCCAGGAATGCAACTCTTCCGCCGCTCACAACACTTGGTAAGTCTAATCATTTAGAAGATACAAGAAAAGAAATAATCAGAGGTGGAGTTATGTTGAAGATACGAGAAACAATCGTGTTGAAGATACGAGGAAAGAAATAACCAGAGCTGTATCAAAAAGCCCACTCGCACTTACACTCTGTGTGACATAGAAATTCTGTTATTACTAATCAATGAGAAAAGATTTAATCAAAGAAAAGATTTAAGGTAAAACATTAAAAATCAAGCTAACGTTTGACTGAAAATACCACCATGGAAAAGTTATGAGAAGATTGAGATCTTTGAGATATCCCACTCAATGAGTTTGAGTGTGAATGCATGAGCTTTTTGAATACAGGCGTTAGAAATCCTAAACATAACTTTCACAGCCCCATTATCAAATGTATAGTACAATAATTATTCAGTCTTTAGGGAAAGGATGGCAAAATACACAAATTTAATCTTTTTTGACCAAAAAATTATAGAATTTAAGGATACGCAAATTTTAACTTTTGAAGGAATGATACTTAATTGTTGTGACATATTTTAAATGCAAACTCGTAGAGTAGATACCCCTCGATCAAAATTCCTCTCTAGTAGAATATAGCATTTCAGAGCGAACATAAGTGTATAATTGAAGATAATGATGACATAGAGAAACAGTTAAAAAAAGTGATCGTGATCAAGAACCAGTGAATAAGAGGGGGCTAGAAGGAATACTCTGCTTGCAACATGCTTGTATTCGTTCTTAATGCATAGATATTCGCAGACAACAAGCGTAATGCGATATGCGTCTTTTGAAAATCTGCCCATGGGACCATGACGGGTCTGAAAAACAAAGCGCGCTTCGCCCGCGCGGGCGGAGCGGACGTAATGGAGAATCGCCTTATTTAAGAATCTGGGTTTCCCTTTGTCCGAGGTCGCTGGTGTGCAAAATGCTTTGTCTTAACCTCTTAATGAAACAATCTTCAGGTAAATCATACTTATATTAATATATTATATCAGTCAGGGCGGTTACCACTACGCTGAATTTTTCGATAAGAATCAGCTACAGTCGGATTCTTAACGTCCGTTTACACTTTTTTATGAGCGATTTTCTTCTTTTGATAGATGTGAACGAGTGAATCAGTTATGGATGTTGAAATAGGAGCTCGAACACATCAGAGCATTCGTAACTAATTACTCGTTCACATCTATCAAAAAAGAAAATCGCACATAAAATCTCATCAAAAATCGCAAGTGTAAACGAAGAATTTTGATCGAGAAATTCTTAAACCGTTTAAACCCGCTTATACTGGCTATACGTCGATCATTGGGTCTTTCTGTAGTCGAAACTCGGTCAGCTTATTGTGTGGACATACCTGTGATGTGATACACAGAATTGAATCCTATTCCAAAGCGGCCAACCTTCAGTGGATTATCTTCTTTGCTGCTTCTCATTACATTTTTCAGTCCTTCCCAGTCCTTGTCCGTGAACTCGGCGTTGTTGTAGCAGTACAGAGCCGGCCCTTGGAATAAAGCCAAACTGGGGGAAAAAAGAGACGTGGTTCCATACGACGTAGCATCAAATACGATTTTAACTTCACTTGCACCAGCGTCATCCGCATTTTGAATTAGTTCCTAATAGAAGAAAGGACTGACATTTACTTGCGTAGGAATGTTAACAGACTGTGAAGGCAATCAATTTCTAAATAAATTAACAATACAGAGCATAAATATATAAATGCACCACCTTTAATATCTGCCCACCATCAGAATAACGTTCCAAAACGTTTTTGAGAAAATCTGTCAGTGGTGGTTGTTCTTGCCCAAACCGAATCCCTGCAAAGTATTTTGGTATTTGATTAACCGAAGCTTTTGTAGACACCCAGTGGCAGTCCCCCCCTTCCAATATGCACCTCCACCCCTCAATAACATATGTGCGGGTTTTCTCTGAGGCAATCTTCTTAGCATATTAACAAATACTTCCGCACTGCAGGGGCCGGTTGTATCAAAGCCGGATAACGTTATCCACCGGATAGTGATTTTTTCAACCGTTCTAAAAATGCTCGAAAAGCGATAAAATTTTAGCTTGAAAGCAAAAATTATTAAAGAGGATCCTCGATTTACTGAGGAATACTGAGATTTAATCAAAGTTGTGCCAAATTACGGGCGATTTTGAAGCGATTTAAAAAATCACTATTCGGTGGATAGCGCTATCCGGCTTTCATACAACCGGCCCCAGAAATTTAATTTATAAAATAACATGTATATAACGCGTGTTCTGATTGGTCGAAGCCCACGTGTTTGGATCAGGCCATCCAAACACGGAAACCATGTAATTGTATACTATTCGACGTCTTGGCTGCCTTGCCAGTTGCCCTTGCGGCTAATGTTTGATTATGTTTCGGAAATAGAACTGAGCTTAACTTGCGATTGTAAAATGCTATATAATTATAAGCGTTGCAATTTTTCATTAATCTCTTAACCGGCTAAAACCAGTCACAAGTTCAGTAACGGTTATTCATGATGCTAGGCCGAACAGAGTTATTCATGAAGCTAGGCCGGCTGTATTTACATTAACACTGTATAAACAGTATTGAAATTGTCTGAAATTTTTTTATGTTTGAACAGAAAGACTCCTCACCACAAAGCTTCTACACGTCAAAGCTTTAATTAAGGAAATTTTCCTCCAATAATTTAAACATAGTAACAATTGAAATATACCAATAACGGTAACAATTGGATAGTATACTTCACGGAATTTTTAACAGCAGATCTATTTCACTGCAGATCTATATATTGCACGGAGTGAATTTTCGCTGCATGCTCAGTTTTTTAAATCTATTTGAAAATGTTTTAAAGAGGGAATTGTTTAAAGTTGCAACATTTTCGCAGAATGTGACAAAACTATCTTTTAAAATTGCGAAATATCATTCAATACAATTCAATACAATACAAAGCCTTTACAAGTGAAATAGAAACATTATACGCTCAAACAATCATTATTAATGTGAGATTACCTGGCAAAGACATAGCACAGAATTTTTCCTTCCAAAATAGCGTTCAGATATCTACTAAGGAAAATATTTAAGATATCATTATCGAGCATTCCACGGACACACGAGGCTGGACGATACACTTTGTAGTCTGTTAGCGTTAGCGACTTAAATGTAAACATTAACACAAGCGGAAGCGGGAAGCACGAGGCGAGCATGTCGCCGACGCGCTTGCAAAACAAAGAAATAAGGCACACGCGAGACAAATAGGTATATGCATAATTTGTGCCGAGATTTGTACTCCTACGAAAGCGTTGCCATTCTTACGACGCCTTCAAATGAGGCATTCTCACGGCTTCTCGATGACATGAAAGCAGCAGAAACGTGATAGCGGTTTGATAGCTTATATAAAACTGAAATATCAGCCAGACATCGGAGGATCCTAGCACAATTGAAACGTTTGTATGATTATTTTGAAGTCATGGCAGCATAATAAATTTCCCGTAGCTTATTTCTGGCCGGCAAAATAATTGACTAGCGCCGTCGAGGTAACCGCGTCGTAGATCGTAAACTCCCTATTATTTCAACGAATCATCACTAACTTACGGTTTGTAACACAATCGCACGGTATTTTCTGGAATACTCCGGTATTTCTGGAACACATCAAAGTTGCAACATTTTCACATTGGAAACGAAAAATATTCCTAGAAATGAAATTACGTAGTTTTTAACGCCCTTCGTACAAAGGTGTAATCACTGTGGTACAATCACGGCAGTACGATTCATTCAATGCTGTTTAAGCAGGTCTAATTTTAGTTTTTAACTTATTTTACCTTTTTCAGAGACGTTCCACAGGAATTCTCTTCAATTTTCTTCATTTCTATAGCACTGTTCTTACTTCTAGCATGTTTGTTGCCACGCAGCATGCACAAGGAATACTATCTAAAGGCCTGACAATTACAAGGCCAACGCCGACTTGTATATCAATAATAGATCATTTCTCCGAGACAAAGACGACTGCAAATGACTTATCACTTTTGATCGAATATTGAGTTGATTGAAATTACAACTTGTCATAATTATAAAGAATTGTCATAAAAAACTGCTCGTCTGTAGGGGCCGGGCTTTATTTGTACAGTCTCAAGGAACACCGCAGAAATTGGTGTTAATGAAGTTTCAACCCGAAAAACTAGTCACTATACAGGTTCACAATTGTGCATTGCTGTATCGCTATCAAAGAGAAAACTATTGAAAATTTAAAGTGCCTATATCACTTGTGGCATCTTTACGGATTTGAATAGAGCTTGAAAAATTAGTTTATAAGTTTTACAACCCTTCTTGATATAATTAAATAGTTTCGGAAATATTTACATCTAAACATAACGATTTGCCTAAATTTCCGTCGTGCTCGGGGGCCTGGGACTCAAGAACCGAGTTCTTGTAATTTTACTTCGATCTTCCAATAACCTAAAATATTTTGAGAAAAACTCGCCCAGTTGCTACAGCCATACACAACGCACCGTTCCCGCATTTTTTTCTTGAAAAGCGCAAACTATATCGCCAGTGAAACTCTTCATGTTTACATTAAAAAAGACGGCGTGTTTGCAAATCATTCCTGAGTCCCAGTCCCCCCAACCGACGTATTTTCGAAACTATTCAATTATATCAAAAAGGGTTGTAGAACTTATAAACTAATTTTTCAAGCTCTATTCAAATCCGTAAAGATCCCACAAGTGATATAGGCACTTTAATAAAAGGTTCAATTTTTCTTCTGAATACGCATTCTGCAATGTTTTGACAGTTCATCATACACATCTGACAGCTGTGAAATGACCATTTTAATTAAGGCTAAAATTATACACAAGGTTATCTCTCCTCCGCAATGGTTTTTGTAAAACCATAAAACCCTTTACAAACCCGACAAAAAAATCTGCAGAGGAGAGAGCACAAGGTTAATAATGCGATAAATTAGAGATTGTGTGAACAGATCCTTATAAAAAATAAAAGACAAATTACCGTCCGGACTTTTTTACATCTATTAAAATTACTTGTTAGCTGTTCATGACAACAGTTAATACGATTCATATCACTAGATAAAAAGCAGTATTAAAGGCTGGGTTATTGCAAACTCTCTGACAGTTATTTATCAAGTTAATAGGTTGACTCCCTGATAGCGCCAATAAGGTTTTAAACAACTAGCCCCATGGCACAGACGCACAGTCAATGCACGACTCTAAACCATGACCTTTCGAAGAAGCTGTAAAATTTCTCGTGTTTTTGCCAGGGCCTCTTCAGCGTCGTCCCGAGAAAACAACTCGGACGGAATGCTGTCATCGCCGGGATTTTCCTCTCTTGTGTAGTAAGGATAACGTGTCTTGATATAATACCTCCGTGCATGCATAACTCCGACCATTTCCGGAATAGCACGAAGGCGGGGATCAATCTCCGACGCTCGATATGCTAAACCCAGATCGTCGTGGCCATCCAAATCGCTCCTTTCCAGGAAACCTTTCGCAAGCATGAGAGCTTTCAGTGCCTTCTCAGCCGCTTGCTGGCACAGAAAACACGTGTATGAGTAATAAGATTCCTCGTCGCTCCGGAAAAGGTAACTAGCTGTATCAAAATCCTTCTCGGCTTGACGCATCCATTGTGCCGCTTTCTTGCTGTTCGCCGGCTCGGTACCGTCGTCGTGAGCGTGTCTTCTCTCGTCGCGAGGTTGTCGTCGACGTCTTGTCCGTTCCCCGTGTGCCCGGAAATATTCCCTGAAGTCGGGTCCATTCCAGGTTGGATCTCTTGCAGATTGGTGCGAATTGCCATCGTCAGGATGGTAGCCAGGCTCCCCGCCTCTTTCCAAACGCTCGACTTCGTTGAGCAAAAATTGCGTTACTTCGGTAGCAAATGATTGACGACCCAGATTTCTGTCCGGATGCCATCGTCGGATCAGACGTCTTACAGCACTCGTTCTGTCGGACACTCCAAGACTCTCCCAGATTTCTTTCAGTGCTTCGGCGACCTCTTTTTTTGCATCTTCAAGCACAGCAGGCTCATGAGCGGTAGTGGTTGACTGCCTAGAAACATCAAATTCTGTCCCATCACCTTCATAGTGGGCCACATCCATAGTCTCTTTTCTTGAACCTCTTTCATCTCCAACGGCTTCTCTACTTTCACGATCAAACTTGTAAAGCTTTAATTTGCTAACTTCAATTGGCTCTTTCTCACCAATATCAATCCTGTATCTGCTGTTGAATGCAAATTTCCCTTCGCCTAAAAATTTCAATCAAATTTAAAAGCTGTTTTGATTAAATGTACTTAAGATGAGCGACGTTTATATTCCATAATACGGCCGACTTTCTTGATCTGCTTTAGGCCGATCTCACACTAGCTCCTACGAATCGAGGATCCATTGTATTATTTTTCGATAGACAAATTATTTTGCAGACCAGTGACCTCAGACACTGGTCTGCAAGGTAATCTCAGATTCTTAGGACAAGTGTGAAACAGGTTTTGTGGCTGGTTTTCATTTAGGCGCAAATTTCGTGAACATGTCAAGGTGGTTGATTTTTTTATCACATTGAATAGAGAAAAAAAAACAAAATCAAGATTTCCGGTCCAACTGCTTTAAAAAATTACTTGTTTATTGCAATTTATGACTGAATAAAAACTAGCTTTAAGATACTATATATAGTCTTGCGTCCCATATATCCTGGTTGAAAATAGAAGATATAATCCTAAGAATAATTTGAACACAGGCATGTTTAAACTTTCAATCTTTGTAGGATAATTTCGTTTTGCGTGGCTCTTAAGCGCAGAATATCGTTATTGCTTACTATAGAGTTTGCTGTTATCCATCCGACCTACCTTGGCTTGTTTGTTCAACGATCTTGGCAAATATATATACTGCATCATCTTCCTCGCTCTCCTCCTGCATTGCATATCCAACCCATTCGCCTTCCCGCAGATGGTAATTTATATTATTCTTCAAAAAATCATGCACGTTGTCCGGGATCCTATCCCCCGCACTTGGTTCTAAGGTATTGCTGTCGATAGTTGGCACTCGAGCATCATCCAACGTCTTAGATATTTCACTGGAGTCTCTGACACCCAGTATCATCATTAGAAAACGCCAATTATCCTTGCTGATATGCTGCACTGTAACTCTGCAGATAAAAGAGCTTAACATCTCGTGTAATACACTTGGATTACTCTTTTCACCGTGCTTAATAAGGATGGAAAACCCATCCTCATTTTCTTGACAAAAAGAGAGAACGTCTGACTCGCTGTCTGGAATTGGTTCATTGGTTGCTCTCGTAACGAGGCGTACCTTAAGTGGGTTCATGCATGAAACTTTGACACTATTTTTAAGGCTTCGCAGTTCATTTTCCACATTCTTTGGAACGATGGCGACTTTTTCTTGGAACTTATACAACCGTATCAACGCCTCTTCTAATTCGTGTGAACAAATGATGTCACGATATCGATTAATGAAATCACAAGACGGCTCCATTGGATCTTGATCAGCAATACAAACGGCGCAACTCGGACACAACTCTTCATTTAGTTTGGAACTTAACTTTTGAACTTTCAAATGGCTCGGTAAAAGCTCGACCAGTTTTGCAGGAGTTTCTTGATCTCTCATAGTTAAATCGATGAGCAGCTCCTCCCGATAATCTTTTAAACGTTCTTTTCTCTCCATAGTGTCATTGAAAAAAACCTCGCAAGATCTCATCAGATAATTGTCTTCAGTTGGGAGATAAAGATTATGAACGTTTGCCAAAGATTGTTCTTCACCGCAAGTGGAATCCCTCGATTTTTCAAGGCGTCTTCTATCATAGCTCAAACCCACGAACAAACTTTTCGTTGCGCTGACTGCTGAAGAAATCTCCCCTGGGAGCATGTTTTTGTTTCCACAGCTTCTCTTGATCGCTTCTAGTACGGAAGAGCATTGAAGAGGCGTCGGATATTCCTGAGCTCCAAGACGTTTTAAGAAGTGCTCAAATTGTTGAAGAGAACGAGGGATTTTGAACATGTATGGATTCATAGAACGCCCTACTCCGTTGAACGCGAGCTGATTGCCGCGAACGAATGTATGTTGGTCGACCATTATCACGGGAACATCACGAAGCACTCTTCCAATGTTTTCACACGAACAACGAGAAGAATCCACGTTGCACAATTCTTTGAAAAAACTGTATATATTTGTTGTCACATCAACAAGGTTTGCTCGCAAATTCGCGGGAATTTCTTTGTTATTAGTAGGTGAAAAACGGCCAGAAATGTTTTTAATATGTGAGATAACAAAGTCACACGGAGGTATAAAATGTATTCCAAGCGATTTCATCCATTTTCTTCTTCCATAAGTATTATATTCTTTTGCCGCAATTATTGACGCACTTGACCATACAAGGGCTACCTTGGATTCAACCACCGAACCTTTAAAACGTGTAAGAATCGAATTTGTATGTGCAGGAAAAATGTCGAGATACAACTTCCTTATCTTGGCAGCAGGAACAAACTCGATCCTGGAAATTTGAGAAAGAAATGACGATTCGTGCAAACTTTGGTTTTCATATAAATGCGAGACCAAAAAACTTGACTTTTTCAAGATTTCTTTCGCCGGATCTGCATTAGGATGATCGCGAGCTTCCATTTCCAACTGATAGGCATACTGCATGAAATGGTCTTGAGTCACGGAGCACTGGAGACCAACTTTCTCTAGAAATTCTTTCCATCTGTCGGAATCAAACGGCTCTGGAGGAAATTTTCCACTCGGCACGAATTTCTGAAATATCTCATTTTCAGGGTCATAGAACTCGTCTGCTGGATGAAGTTTGCCTAAATGATCCGAAATAAAAGGCAGCTTCTTCATTAAAGACAATAGTTCCTCGTAACTTTCACAATGCTCATGTAGAAGTTGGTCTCTGACAAACTTTAAATGATTTACTCGTCCACTAGGACTTAAATGCTCGAAGTGCCTTAGAACTGTAAACAGGTAGAAATCCATTGGTGTAATTTCCTTTATCCCGACGTGTCGGTAAAGATCGGCCAGTTTTGGAACACAAAGCAAGAAAATACTGTCTGTAACTGAAGCAAGGACTTGAAGGTCGTCCACAGGAACGTTGTCTGGTACTTCGTAAACACCGTTGCACTTAGATATCCTTGAATATGTTTCACTGATGGTTTGATAAAATGGAAGTTCCACCAGAAGGGAGGAAGAAAGCTGGGAACAACAACTTTGCAAAAACATAAGAAGCTGTTGGATTTCGTCAACCTTAAGTATCGTTTCAACATTTTCAACGCCGTTTAAAGTGCGGTGCAACAGTCCTAGGACGTCCTCCGTTGACTGAATCATTGCTAAGTATTTCTTACAAACTGCAGTAGCTCCGGTAGGTTTGACTGATTCGGACGATTTGAAAGATAAAGGCGCAATTATTTTAAGGTTCAGCTGCGGACAACCCAGTTTCACCAACAGATTTCTTCTGGTTTTGTCTTGAAGTGTATCGCTGTTAATATAAGTGCTGACATTGAGAACTGTTTTGCCCATAGAAACTGGAACAAGGCAATTGTGCGTCGTTGGAAATATATGCCAACCAGCGATTTCATCTAGGAGATTGCTCAATTTACTTTCGTATTCTTTATCATTTTCCATTTTTTTGGAAACAGAATTGATGAAATTCCAGAGCAATACAAGCCAATCTTTCGATGGAAAGGCGTTGTCTTGTGAATTTGGGCTCCATGGTTGGTGGGAAGTGGTGCCGATCCATGTTGGCGGGAAAAGGGTCGTTTGAAATCTAGCAAGGTCTGGTATAGTGAGTTGTTGCATAACATTGGAGCACTTTTTGAGATCTGATGAATAAAATGCTCGGAGTGAATTTTCAAGAAAGAGATCAGGTCTGAAGGGCAGCAGTTTACTAAATTTGCTGCAGAAAACTGTGTCACCACAATGGTAGCTATGAAGTATCCCATCTTGGGTGAGTAGCAATGGTAGGCCTTCGAGATTTTCGAGGAATTTATCTTCTTTGGCGCAATACTTAGTGACTTCACGAACATTTTCAACACCACGAAGAAAGGTGTCCTTGACGTGCTTTGGTAGATCACCCTTAACCTCCCTATGGTTGGAAAGAAACTCTCTAACACGATCTCGGGTCGCATCGCGGTTGCATTCAACCGTGCTAAAACTCTTGTGAACTCTCCACGGAGTGTGCGAGAGAAGATGAAATCCGATATCCAGCAACGTCTTTTCGAGGCTCCACGACATCCCCGAGATGCAAAAGTATGCATCATTAACTTTACACCAGGTGACTTTTACAGGAGTCTGATCTTCCTCTTCTTTCGATACAGAAGAGGCGTCTGTCTGTAGTTTCCTCTTCCATTCTGGAACTGACAAAGCGACTGGCAAAACAGGAAACATCGGCAGGAAATGTTTGTAAAGCGCTTCTCCAACGGGCTTCCAAGAGGTATCAAGATTTTCAATGGAAGGGAACAACTGATGATACCACACGAGGCCATCCTCAGCTTCTTTCTTGGAAGGAAACGTGCCTAAAGTATCGGATTCAGCTTGATATCTGGGAATGTGCTTTCTCGCTTGAAAAATTGCATTGGCATAAGCTGGAGCTATGACTTGACGTTTCATAAAGTTATTCCATAAATGCCGTTCGTCCGAACCGTTACTATCATACCACAAAACACGGCGCGATTCGTTGAGTGCAAAATGGCCATTGATATGAACGGGGAAATTCGAATTAACTGGAAGTGGAAGCACGCATAATAGGGAAAAGCGGAAAAAAGAACTTCTAGGTACGGTTGAAGTTAAGCAAATTGCAATTCCAGCTCGCGGTAACAATCCAATTTTGGTACCATTAGGTACTTTTGAGTCACTTTCAATTCCCGTATATCCTAGGCTCTGTGTTATCAACCAATCCTCTTTTACGTTTTCCGTATCTGATATTACCATAGCGTAGTGGGTCGGCTGAAACTGGATTTCTTGAGTTGGCATTTTACTACATTCTTTGATCTTTTTAGAGAATGCAGTCCGTTTGCTACAATCAGGAACCACGCATTCCACAGCGTAAGTTTCTAGCTTGTCGCCTTTTATCTCAGAAATAGAGATCTTGGTAATATTGTTCAGGAACAGCAGCATGTTTTTGGCAGATTCTCGGAATCGTTTGAACAGACGTCTCGCTTTTTCTTCATCCCACTGGGTGGTGGAAATGTTGGGCTGGAGTTTCGCATGGCCACGAAGAGGAAAACGGAACATTGTGCTAGCTGTAGTATCAAACAGATCATCCAATAAAGAAGAGAAGACGTCACAGTAATTTCTTCGAAACTTTTGGTCAAGCTTGTTGAACAACCGTCCTGGTTTGCTTTCGTTTGCACCAGGAGCGTAAGCTGCATGTGGATCAAAAACACATATGACTTCATCATTTGAAATAAAGAACGGGCAATCTGTGAGATGGTAAACTGCATTGAATCCGATACCGTATTGTCCTGTTTTGTCAGGATCACCTACTTTGCTTCCGATACCGAGATCCTGAATACCTTTGATATCCTCTTTGGAGAATGGCTGATTATTGTAGACACAAATTGCTGGGCCTTGAAGCTCTTTCCAACCCTCAGAGAAGACGTGTTTAGTACCGTGCGTTCGAGGATCAAATATGAAATGAATTTCAGTGGCTTTAGCATCGTCTGCGTTTTGCAAAAGCTCTTTTAATATTCCTTCGTCTTCCGGATAAACCTTCAAAATATTCTTTAAACGATCAGTTAGACTTTCGTGTTGCCCAAATGGTTGACCAAAAGGTTCAGAGGAACGAGCCAAATCTGCGTTCCTGAGATCCTTTGCGCCACACTTGTAAGCCAACATCACGGGGATTTTCTCATGCACAATTTTGATATCCGTGCCATCAGTTTCCAGCCAAGGCGTTTCGTTAATCGCAAGCTCGTCTGCGTCATACAACTTACCGTCAGCACTTGGAAGGGGTAAAGGACATTCAGGTTTCGTTTCAGGAGAACTGAATACATTTTCAAGAAAAACAATAAGGGTACGTATTGTTTCATCTGACACTCTTTTGCGAGTATAGTCTTTTCTTAGCTTGAAAATTGCTTCAATGAAGTCCTCCGAGCGAAATGTATCCCTTATTCCATACCAAGAAAGTAAGTCTTCAAATTTTCTACTGTACTCCGTAGGCAAGGCGAACAGATACGGCGCACCATCTTCGTTTTTCCAGTTACACGCAACAAGTTTTGGATCCACCATTTCACCTTTGACGAGCATCCACGGTCGGCATTCCAGCTGTTTTCGAAGATAAGATTTTTGTTCTTTGTATTTCTTAGTGCATGCAATCTTTCTAAAAAACTCGTAAATTTTTCTACATAAGAACTCCTTTATTTCTCGGGTTATGTGGTTACGTTGCTCGATGACTCGATCAAGTTGTGCTATGACATCAGACAATTCAGGTTTTTTTGTGGTAAACCCAAGGATTCTCTTCAGGGACTCATTTGGTGCAGTTGGACTGTTAGGCGCTTCAGCCAGGATAAGGTGGGACGAACCAACAAGATGTCCATATCGATGGGGGTAAAGGTTATCGGCCGCAGCTAACTTCGTCTCACAGATTTCGTCAAACTTCCAAGGAAAAGGATATTTTTCGGGTTTTGACGAAATTGGAAGAAACTTTGCAGCTCGTAGAATCCTTGCTTCTTCGTCTGTAATTTCACACGACCGGGGCATTTCATTCAGGTATTGAATAAGTAATCTTGCTTTTGCTGCATCACCACGATCGGAAACCCACTCAGCTCGCTCGCACAAACTGCTCCACGGCAATAAATCAATCGCCATTCCTAGCTCTTCCAACATCATTGCTCGTCCTTTCTCTAAAAAGGGATCGTCTAAAGGAAATCGCTTCTCTTCTTCATCAAACAAGCAGGCAGCTTTACCCTTTGGATGGACAAGTTCTTTTGCGCATCGCAACACCGTTCCATCTTTAGAACAGCGGAAACTTGGACTAGTTTGTAACAGTTCATCGTAGCTCCGTTCTTTACTTAGTCGTTGATCCAGAATGTAAAGAAGAACAGAATTACGAAGTTCTTTTGGAATCCCAGAAACATTTGGAAAAAAGAATTCTCTGAGAAACCGATCTTCGGTCAACATACGACTCCTCATGAAAGTTTCTTTTCCGTGAGATTTAAAAGCTTCGATAAAGTTAGGCGGAAGTGATAGAATATTTCCACCGAGAATAGTCATAATTGCAACGCATTCGGTAACCTTGTCAAGTCGCGAATCCAAAATAAGGCAATCTTGAAGCTTTCTCCAACTTTTATTACAATAAAAAAGTGTCCACTCTCCATCGATTATTTGGTTGAAGAATGAATGAAGGAAAGGTTTCCACGCTTTGGGGTAGTTCACTTGCGGTGGGTCAGGCCAAAGAGTGTGAAACTCGTACTGCTTAGTATTGTAAGATGAAATGTCTTGTAGCAGCTGAAGGTACGTTTGAACTAAGGAATCTTCCATTATTGCTTCGTTCCACTCTGCTTCAAATGGTTTCAAGAACTTATCTTCACCCACTCCTTCTTCCCATAAACGACGACGGTTCGAATGAACTGAAAAAGAGCCGTTGACATGCACAGGAAGCCCAGAAGAGATAGGAAGTGGCATGAAGCAGAATACCTCACCAGGTATGGTAAAAACTTTCACGCCGTGAATATTCGAAAGCGTCAACATGGCAGCTACCCCAGTGACGGGAACAACAGCGTTCTTCTTACCGTCAGCACTTTGCGCCTTCTGAAGAGAAGATCCCCCACCCATGCAGGAATTAACAAGCCATGTTTCACTTGTTTTAACAACTTCTGATACTTCGCTCAGGTGAGATTTTAGCATTGATATGTTCATCTTCAATAACACAGTACAGCGTGGTACCTCAGATGCAGCCATCACCCCCGACTGTCGAATATTTACCAACCATTTCGATGAGTTTTCCAAAATCGATCCTTGAAAATTCTTGTACAATGTTTTCTCAACAGACTTTCTGATGCTAATTATTGCTCGTCCTAAAGAGGTCTTTAGATTAGAATTCCGGATCTCAAAAAGGCGAACCTCGTTTACATTTTGGGTGAAAAGCAACAGGTTTGAAGCACTTTCTTTTAACGACTTGATAAGGTTCTTGACGTTGTCTCGCGTGTAAGGTTCTTTCGATATTTCGCTCTCTTCTGCTTGTTCGGCTGTGCGAAAAGGAAGTCGAAACAATGTCCCTTCGAAGTGGAAAGGCCCCGTTCCCTTCATGTCACAGCCAAAAATCTGATGGTAAGGCATGAATTGGTGGGGGAAAGCAGTCAGGACATGTTTGTTTTCTACCAAATTTAACATAATCCCCCCTTTTCTCATCTTACCGTCCATCAATGTGGAGATGTGATTCATATTCGGGTCAAAAAACACAATGTGTTCACCGCTAACGAAACTTGGGACGTCAGTAAGATGGTAGACGGAGTTGAAGCCAATACCAAAACGACCAACCTTGTCCAAATCGTCCTTCTTCGTCTCGCCAGCAAGCTTGTTGATATTCTCAAAGTCTGCCTCAGAGAACATGGCGTCGTTGAACGCCCAAAGAGCTGGTCCCTGGCACTTAGCTAGTTCTTCAGTAAGCAATTGTTCCCGAGGATTTTCCCTCCAATCAACAACGAAAAACACTTTAGAAGCACGTGCGTCATCTGCGTTTTGAATGATTTCCTTGAAAATTGCTACACCTTCTTTGTACTGCTGAAGAATGTTACGTAATCTCGTGGTCAGCGGCTCGTACTGACCAGCTTCTTTAAATTTGACACCAAGTGCTTTGGCTCCTGCAAGGCAGCTCGAGAGTCGTGGTACGCGAAGACGACCAGCCAAATCATCAGGAATTGCTTTATGAATGAGAAATGACTTCGTGGAGACTTCAAATTCAGAGGCACCTCGTCTTAGGAATTCACGATCACAGTAAGTGCACTTGTTACACGGCTCGAGTTGAAGCTTTCCAGAGGCTGTTTGGACAGGAATAAGAAGATTTGATCGACGTTCATCTGATAACTCACCACAGCTTCTAACAATCCACTCCAACACCGCACGACATTGATCTAAGTCTTGCATCGCATCCTCACGTGGTCCGTTTTCATTATCATGCTTTTCCTTTATGTTTGACAGCATAACCAGCAGATCATCGACATTAAACTGTGGCTTCACTCCAAGTGAAAGTAGAAAGTCCTTCGCTTTGAACAGTTCATTCGGAAGGCGGTAAAAGTTTGGATTAAGGTTGATGCTTCTCGGAAAAGGTGATTCTAAAGCAACTTTCTCAGGTGATGTAAAACCTTTTCCATGCCAAACCCACCGAGTTAAACCTTTGGACTGTAACAATTGCTGCATCGCGTGTTTGGGTGCTCGGGCGAGGTACATGTATATACTCTTGATCATTTCTTCAAACTTTCCAACTGACAACTGTGTTGTCCTTTTCCAGGAGGCGACGGCTAAATTCAGCTGTTCGATGACCTCTTGAAACGCGTTCTTTTCCTCTGACATACCAAGCAGTCCTAAAATCAATAATTTTTTATGTGACTTCGGGAGGCGTATATTGCTAAAAGTTCAAAATATAGGCGTTTTGATATAGACTTTTAACAGGACGAGAAATTCAACATAAAAGGAAAATAGGACTTTGCCAAAATCGTCGACCTCTTTGCCAGAATGGGTACGTACAGAAGTCCCAAAAATGGTTATACGTAAAATTCTATAAGTATTTACGGAAAGCATCACCTAAAGCATCACTTAATAATGAAATTTAAGTTATCTTAAAGAAATATGAGAGGAAAGGGGCTAATCCCCCTCCTTTGATACATTTTGTCGTCTTTCCCGGGGGCTTACCACCAAGGATACTCGAAAAAAATTGAAGACGAATGTTGTTTTCTTATGTAGGCTAGTGTAATTAGGACAGTAAACACGTTGAGGTTCTTCTAGTGGTTTACGTACCTTGAACTTCATTTGAGACCCATGTTTTGTTAAAAACAGGCACTGTTGCTCCAACTAGGATTGCCAGCGAGTCAGGACACATGTTGCTTGGTTTACATAACTTCATTCCATCATACCACGGCATCAATTCAGGATAGTTCTTCGGACGATCACACACTCTTGGTAACCATGGCAAATCGCGTAAGACAACATTCAACGGCCTTCCAACTTCAGTGTATTCCCGAAGTAACTGTGGTCGTTGGTTTAAAAGCTCCACAACAGCAATACCTTGTTCTAAACTTACGTTTGTCATCCCGTTCACAACCATATGAATATCATGAGCAGTGAGGTCTTCTCTCCTTCGAACTCTTAGCTCATATTTACGTCTTTGTATTGGCCCTAAAAACAGGCTTGTCGGAAACGCGTCGTTGTTCGACCGTAGCAACTGCGTTAGAAGTCCGTCAGAGTTGTCAAACAATTGATTTGGGGCTAAATATTTCCCGCTATCGGTAGGAATACAAGTCAGTTGAGCGATAAACGTGACAAAATTTGGCATTTCTTTATTTAACATGTCTATTTTATCCAAGATCCAAAGCATAAGCTTGTCTTTTACTTGCTTCTTATTTTTAGACTTTAAGAAGATTTCCAAATGATTTCTTATCAAACTTGCGGTGCTCTCTGCTCGCATGTTCAGTTTTTCCAACAAACGATAGCTTGCCCCATTGGACGAAGATATGATCTTTGCTCGGTCAATAATTTGGATTTCGTCTGGTAAATCGAAATTTCGCGGTGCAACAAGACGTGGTTCGTTTCGCTCCGATTCGCAGGACAGGAAATGGCGTCCATCCACTGCTTCAAAGATTGGCAACGTACGAATGAATGCGTTTTGAGTCGAATCGATGCGATCCAGCCTCGACAGAGTTTGGCAGAGTTCACGTTTAGATGCATTTGACTCAGTAAAATCCAGTTGTTGAACGATCTTATTTTGTGCTAAGGAAAGGACGTGGAGAATACCTGCAGGTCGTGGAAGAGAAATATATTGAAATATATTATAATGTCTCACAAAGCAGGGTAGATTTTCAACTACGATGCAATTGGATCTTTTCAGAAGTTCACAAAGGGTTTCTGAAAGTTTTTCATTGCACAGTGGGTGTTCGCTGACAATAATGGCCGAGTTCTTGCGAAGTCTGGCCATGGATGAAGGTAAACTGATCGACAAAGGAATCAGTGGCATTCCGTTAAACTCGCTCAAATTACTTGGGTAATTCTCGTTGATCCATTTCCACACCAATTCTAGCCAAGCTAAAGAAGGATGACCTTCCGTATGCGGATTCCACGTCACGGTTTCCAGTTGTGGAAAATAATTACACGACCAACCCTCAGGCAGGTTTTCCCAGAGTAATTCCTTGATATCATTACAGGTAGGGTGACGCAACTGCGTTACTGCGGAAGAACCAAGTTCGTTGAGCTTCTGTTGCAATGGTTGAGAAAGGTTGCGATATAGAAGACGATGCTTCATGTTGGGTAGAAGATCAACACTGTGCTTCTCGGATGAAATGTAGATCCTGTCCGAAAAGATCGAGAAATTTATAAACTGACCATTTTCCAAAGGCAGAAGAGGGACTCCGTGCAGACTATTGCTATTTTTTGGAAGAGTTTGCAAGGCATATTCCAGGTCCAGCAAACCGTCTTGGAAAGAAATTCCGAGGTCATAAATATTGGAATTTGAGCGCAAGACGTTACACAGAAGATCTGGGGTAACTTGTTGAACGTTTCCCCAACCTGACACCTGATGATATTGATCGATAATTTGTATAACGTGTCCTGGTAGTGAAACAATTGGCTGGCCAGCTCCCAACAACGTCTTTAGAACAACTCGCTTAATTTCCTCTCTCATATCTTTGGACTCGTGCAGGCGATCAATAATTGCAGCTCCAAGGTTGATCCAACGAGAAATTCCTCTCGGAGCTGTCAGGAATATGTCCTTCACCAATACTGTTCCGAAAAACGGTTGCAGGATGCATTTCCAGTCTTCTCTAACACGGCTGAGATCTGGCAAAGCGTCGTATACTAATTTAGCGAGCAGGTTCTGCGTGAGACAATGTGATCTTTCTTGTACCATATTTGTGATCAAATTTGCATACACCTGACTTCCCACCTTACGCAACAGAAGTTCATTCCACTCGGCTGTCTCATCATTCTGGCAATCAGGACCAGGCCATTTCAAAGCTCGTCTGTTGTCTGTTAGTCCGAAGTAACCATTCACTTGCACCGGCAGTCCAGTACGACAGTCGCCATCAGGGGGGAGTGGAAGGAAACAGAATATCCTTCCAAGTGAAGACATGTTGTTGTTCGCATCAAGAGGAAATGCGATACCAATCCAAGGTAACAACTTTAGATCTCTTGCCAGCCTAATTAGATTCTTTTCATTCGTTCCAACCTGATTCGCTAAAAACCATTCATTTTTTTCTGGAGGTTTTCCGGGACTTTCTCTTTCAATCTCCAAACGAAAGAAGTTTGTTTTCACGGCAAAATCCCACTCCACCGTGATATCCTGGATTAATTCTTGTCTTCTCTTCCTGACTTCAATCTTCGACTGTTCAGAAACCTTGGCAGTATAAAGATGAGAAATTTTTCCACGGTGCTCTCGCTTGTACAAGCTTACGGAGTCGACGTTTTTTAAGAAGAGGAGAATCGCACCTGCTTCTTTCTTGAATGAATCGAAAAGATTATCGACCATTTCTCTCGTGTAGATCTTATTTGACAGTTTTGATCGCTCATTTCTCAACGGAAAGCGAAATAGTGTTCCTCCATAAGATCTTCCCTGTTCTAGTCTGCAGTCGAAAAGCTGGTGAAAAGGCTCGAATTGGCTAAAATGTTCAGCTAGTAAAGGGTCCTCAGTAGAAAAAGATTGACCTGGTTCTCCACGACCAAAATACTTCTCATGTGGATCTAGAAATGCCACGGTTTTGTCACTGACAACACTCGGTAAGTCTACAAAAACATATATCATCATTGCTCCAGCACATTACTCATAATAATTCACCAATATGAAAATCATTTGTTTCCAACCATTAAAATGACACGGCATCATCACATGATCAGTTTCGCGGGCTTGCGAGCTGGGGTATTAAAATATAGTATAACTTTGGGTGAGGGTTAGGGGGAGGGGGTGACGTTAGGGCAATTTCCTATGCAAAACCAAGGATATTCAGTCGAGGGGAAATGACGTCCTGTTAATTTTGGCGGTTGGAAACAAGTGACGAGCTGCTGATAAGAAGACCACGCGAAAATCCCAGACTAAGCAACATCCATGCAGCCATCTCTCTCCCCCACACACCCCTCCCCCAGTCCCTATAAACCAACCGCCCCACTCACCTCCACACACTCCCCAAGCACAACTACTTCCACCCCCAACATATATATTTGGGATTGGGCACTGGCACGTAGCCCTGTCTGTTCCCTTGGGTTAGCGATGATATCAGAAAAATGCAAAATTACGAATGTTCACGTATATATATACGACGATTGTTTTCACGTATTAACGAGACGATGTATACAGTACTTCCGACCACGCCGACCAGTGCCTAATCCCAGATACTTTAGTGGGTGTAGCCACAAAGTAATCGTTATTACCTGTGATGTGGTACACAGAATTGAAACCAATACCAAAGCGACCAACTTTCAACAAGTTATTTTCCTTGTTACTTCTCATAAGACTTTGCAGCCCTTTCCAATCCTCGTCCGCAAACTTGGCGTTGTTGTAGAAGTACAGAGCCGGTCCTTGGAATAAAGCCAACTCAGGGGAAACAAGGGAGTCGGTTCCATATGACGTAGCATCAAATAGGATCTTCACTTCATTTGCACCAGCGTCATCCGCATTTTGAATTAGTTCCTATAGCGATTTGTACACGCAATGAATAATGAACAAAGACGTTCGGGGTGATTATCGATGTGTTGTCAAGAATAGTAATTCCTACCGATTATCGATGTGTTGTCAAGAATAGTAATTCTTACAATGGCATTTAAGTACTTAAATGGTTATATTGATATTGAACTAGACGTGAAGTTGAATAGAAACGTTCACAACCATGACACCAGAAGACGGAATGATGTGCGATTACCATTAAGTAAACGTAATTGGGGACAGCAAAGGTGTGTCTATCACATTTTTAAGGACTGGAATAATCTCGATTATTCTCTTAGAGAAATAGATTCTTTAGTGAATTTTAAACATTCTATTAGGAATATTTTTAAATAGATGGATTTTTTACACTCTTCTTTAGTGTTTTTATAATGTAATGCTAGTCAATAGATATGAACTTTTTAAATAATGTATTATACATAGTAATTTAGTAAGCAGGACCTTCATGAAAACCACGTATCAGTGATTGTAGCTTCCTGTAAAAATATTACTATAATAATAATAATAATAATAACTACCAAAGTATATAATATTCAAAAAAGAAAGTAATCAGTTTAAGAATAAATAAAAGATGACAAGTAAACTGGGCATAATGATATATTTGCGATATAATTTGACATAGTGTTTTTACACATTCAAAACTATTGGTCATTTTGTATTTATGAATTCAGAAAAGTCATTTATAGTGCTATAAATTATTTTAAAATGTACCGCAATATTTTGAAGTTAACAATTATAAATTGCGATTAAGTTTGATTGCATTTGTACAAAATCTAGTGATACCTTCAATATCTGACCGCCATCGGGATATCTCAGCAAAATATTCTTGAGAAGATCCGTTAAAGGAGGTGGTTCTGGGCCAAATGAACTGCCTGGAAAAATTTCAGCACACCGAGTTCAATTTTGTACAATTGGACAATTCTTCCTACGACTAGAAATCTTGAATGTTGATAGTTTATTCTATAAAGTGATGATGAAATTTCTACAATCCGCAAAGGTTGTTGCAGTTTCACCGACTCAAACCTATCCAATCATCTTGCACGATTAAACGAAAACGTTATTTCAAAAACAGCCGGTTATTGTAAAACTCTCTCGGCAATCCGCCCTTGTTTTAAGCGAAAGTCTACCCAGTATATTATATGTAGTGGAAGTAGATGCACAAAATAAGAATTTCAGAGTAGATATAGTGGTAGACAAGAACGTTTGGAATATATATAATTATTTTGAGATATAATATAAATATATAAATATTTTGAGATAATTATTGCTTGAGAAAAATTTTCTTGCCGCCATTTTAGATTAAGAATTAAAAAAATTTTGTGCTAGTGGCTAGTCCTCTCCCGTGTGTTCAAACCGGGACGTCACAAGAGTGCAAGGCGCGCTAAGGAGAACTAGGGACTAGTCTGGTTGTCCGGTCACACAGAATATCAATCCCGTTCCCCGAACCCGCGATTCCTCTGGCGAGAAAACAAAGGCTCTGGGATAATCCAAACTGTTTGTTTTCTATATTTCAAATCAGAGTCATTTATGATTTCGATTATTCCAGAGCCTTTGTTTTCTCGCCAGAGAAATCGCGAACTCGGGGAACGAGATTGACAGAATGTGACAGAAACCCTGGGAACGAGTATGCTGCATTTCTGAAATTACCACTTCCGCCAAAGTCTATCGCTTATATTCTAATTCCTAAAAGCTCACTCACACTCAAACTCATTGATGTGAAGATCTCAATCTTCTCATAACTTCTCTATGATGGTATTCTCAGTCAAACAATAGTTTGATTTTCAATGTTTGACCTTAATTCTTTTCATTGACTAAGAAATAACTTTCTCATTGATCAGTAATAACAAAGTTTATATGCCACACTCAATGAGCGTGAGTGATCTTTTTGAATACAGGCGTATATCACAGAACATCAATTGGTCAAAGTGACGCGCAAACATTTGTCATTTTACTTGTCCCACGTGACAGTTATATACATGCAATATCAGCAGTGTGCTATACATGAGAAATATTGATAAAGTCAAATATAGCCATATGTTTTTGAATGTCTACAATAGAATACCAGCATATACGGAAGTATTCAATGGGTATTATATACGCCCACTGCGAAGTACATTTCACGATAGTGTATAGAAATGCTTTGCCCATTTCAGTCTATAGCTATTCTGCTGTAAAATCACTAAATATTCAATATAGTATATTAACTATAGTTTCTAGGAATACTCTAAAGTTGCAATTGATATATTTTTCACACGCAGTCTTGACGTAGAACGTAAATTGATCTCCTTGACATTTCAATTTATGTCGTTCTGCACAAAAGCATAATTTCACAACAAAGATCGTCAAAGTCAAACGTACTACAATCTCTCTCAAAATAATATTCCTCATTATGAATTCCATACCTTTTACCGGCATTTTCTTTTCCACGAAATCTCCTACGAGATTTATCTACAAGTATATACGTCTCTCGTTGTCAGATCGCAGCAGACATTGCTCTAGGCAAAATAAAAGCATTCAGAGACATAAATTTTAATAATTAATTAGATAAAAAGGTCTCTGAATACATATATTTCATAGATAATAGGAAACTTCTTTGACTTCCCGCTCGATCCTCCCAATGAATTTAAAAAGTACACATTTCAACGCGAAAACTTAATAGTGCCACCGATCTTCAAGCAATTTTCGGCCTGGCAAAATTATACAGTAGATACAGTAGATACTAGTCCAATTAGTCGTTTTACAAGGCTATACCTATATATATGTACAATTTTCAGTGAAAATGTAAGCAAATTTTGCTTATATTAAGTTGCGTTTTCACCATTTTTTCGGCTAGTTAGCGCTACTCTTTAGTTCATCCGTTTATGGGGGTTGCTACAAAGCAATGGATAGCATGGCTAAACCTGCATATTCCGATACTGGGGTGCTTCTAGATGGAGGTATTGACCTCAACATGACATCAGGAATGGCAGAGTAAGTAGCATGCCATAATAGCAAATATTGTAATTGCTCTAATCACGTGCTCTAATGTTCTAATTTTTAATTACCGAGCGAAAAACAAAGAGATTGGAAACTACAACAAAGATGGCGGTGAGTTTTGTTGGTTTTTAAACATTTTTATGTGAAAATAAATAAAACATCCGTGTATACAAACTGAAAATAAGATCCGTCTGTAAGCAATTCAAGCTTCTGTTTTCTTGAACAAATTTCATTCCCTTCCGTTTCAGCCTGCGAAAGGAAAACAGCCGACTAAAGGCAAAAAGGAAATTTTACAAGGCAATAAGGACACGTTGGGTTTTTATGGGAAGATTATGGCGGCTTCCATGGTAGAAATATTTCATGAAATTGATTTGAATTAAGTGAGGGAAGTTTTGATGCGATTTCACTTCTAACAACGTGTACATTTTTGTACTTCTAGGCGATATACGTTGTTGTTTGTGTTTTAATATTGTACAATTCTTCAGGATGGCTTACTGTTGTAAGTTATTTTATAATAAGCAGTGAAAGAAACACCACAAGATAGGAGAAGCAAGAGTAACACTAGGCCTGGTGTTATCTCTACCTATAAGAGGGGCAGCATAGTTCAATATAGTTGTGCACTGAGGCCAAAGTTGGAAAACTCTCGCATGCAAAATTACGAATGTTATACAACGATTGTTTTCACGTATTAACGAGAAGATGTATCAAATTATCAATGGCCTTCTGCATGCTGGTCAGTCCATGCTGGTGGAGATTCCACAGCTCTACCAGCTAAACCAACTGAAATGTTTACTAGCGATAGAATATATTCCTAAATGGTCAGTCAACTTAAGTTTCAGTCTCCCTTTTCTTACCCTTAGAAGGCACAATGCATTAGATAATGCATTTAAAGTTACACTATAGTTATACTGGCAATAGGTTTTATATAATAAACCCAGCAATATTTAGCATTGGGTTATATGTAAGATCATTCATAGAAATTCTTTCACTTTTTTGGCTAGTTAGCGCTACTCTTTAGTTCATCCGTTTACGGGGGTTGCTACAAAGCAATGGAAAGCATGGCTAAACCTACTTATTCCGATACTGGGGTGCTTCTAGATGGAGGTATTGACCTCAACATGACATCAGGAATGGCAGAGTAAGTAGCATGCCAAAAATGGTTGGACCAATTACCATGCAGAGTTTATTGTATGAATTACCTCCAAAACATTGTATTTCTCTACATTTTCTTCATAGACATTTAAAGGACCTAATTCTACTTACTGCGATAGTGCAAGTTTTAAGTATTATATCAAATTTTTTTTGGCTTCTATGGTTGTTGGTAGGTATTGTTAACTTTCAAGTGATATACGGTATAGACCTCACACCCAAAAAACATGATTTGCTGCACTTACTCTTGGTTTGTTATTTAGGCACCAGGCCGGGCATTTTACATGTTATGGACCAGTATATTAGCACCGTGGATATTTGCCGAAGCACCAATACAAGAGGACCTCGACCCTAAACAACAGAAAAAACTAGAAAAGAAAATGAGAAAAGAAAAGATTATTTATAAATAAGTTATTTTAAATAACATGTCATTCACTAATTGTAAATTACAGAAATAAAGTGTGTTCAGTCTCTCACCTTAAAATGCATTTGGCATTTATGTATCAGAGAAGACTGAGAAGTGTCAGATAGGTTCCTAATATATGAAATAGTTGCTGGAATAAAAGAATCATCCAACTTGAAAAAGATTTTTTCTAATGAAATTTGATTTCTTCAGAAAAAATGAAAATGTTATGAACCCAGTAATTGATATCTAAATAATCATTCAAATGAAGTGATGACACAAATGTTTTGTTAATTTTCCCCATACAAATTGTTACTTGCACGGTTACAGACTTACAGTTATTCTTATACATCATTACATAGTTATAAAAGCTTTTGAGCTAGGTGTTAACGTCCCCCAACATTGGATTGATTCTTTGAACCTCTTATTTATCTCCACAAGTAAAAATGCTCATTCAAACTAGCAAAGCTTCTTCTGATAAAACCTTTTGAAACCTTACTGAATTTGAAGCAAGTGTTGACTTATGCCAAGTACTTGTATGTCACCAACAGTCTGTGATATTACTTGTAAAAATTATCTAAGCCACAAGCAATGCATAACAGACAGTTGATGACATTGGTGAAAGGGCTTTACAATAGGCATCCTATCAAGTTACTATGGCCAATAAATTATGAGAAACAGTGTAATAGTAATTATGGCTAATAAGTTATGAGAAAAAGTTTCATAATAACTTGATAGAATGATATTGCTAGCTTTATCTTTCTAATATCTTTTGGATACAAGGTAAAATTCTATAGTCTTGTTAAAAATATGAAGGTCAACAATACCAATGAAGGAGACAGCAGCTTTTAGCATTTGAATGTACAGTGTGTATATATAACAGACATCTAATATAAATCTATAGACATGACATGTCGGGTTGTATACAGTAGTTACAAAATAAAAACTTCAAATTAATTTGTCTCCTCTTGGTTGGATTCAATAAGAGGTTGTGTATCATTGGTCTGCTCAGACCGTTCTGTATAAACAATAGGTTGGACCTCTTCCCCAGTGGGGACATAGGGTGGTGGGGGGTATTCTATTTTGCCAGGGTCTTCTTCAGCATATGCAGGAAGGTTCATTGGGTAAGGACCCCTTGTTCGACCTTCTGTACTAAACATGAATGCCGGTTGCGGCATCGCTGGTTGCTCTTCATACTGACAGTTATTTAAACCCTGAAAAAAAAAGATGGCGAATGTAGATCCAAGAAATGCTACAATTATACATCCATTGCCATAACTTAATTTTTAATACTGAATATGCTTTTCAGTATTAAAAATAGGAAGAAACATGCTTTGAAAAACTGAAAAACAGCAAGCTTGCAAAATTATAAATATTCACATTGGTTCAAGAACAACTCTAAAATAATTTAAAGTCAAAATATCATGGCAAAATGCAAATTGTTGTCTATTTTACATATATATCTAACTCATATCTTGCATTAACAAACTGTTGTTTTTGGAGCTTGTTTCTTGCTTTAATAACCTTATTTTAATAACCAAATACTATTAAATGCTAATGTTGTAACAAACTAAGCAAATAAAATCATCTATTTAAGTCAACATATTGAAGAAATATCTGAAAAACATAAAAAGGGGTTAAGCTTCCCCTCCTGTCCAACACACCCATGCCCTGGCGATTAATGCAATATACTTACGGCTCCCTGTACTTGTGTTATTAACCTTTGGATTTCTTTGCGTTTATAACGTGAATAGAAGTAAAATACCCAGAATATTACTTTGAGAATGACAATGATCACAATCACCCTTGAAAGCATCAAGAAAAGAATATGAACATTTTGTTGCACATAAAAAACATGATCCATGAGTCAATAAATTGAGTCTGAATATCCAGTACAACTTACACATAAAAGAACAGATCCATGGTGACTCTCCTACTTTCTTCTTATCATGATCAGAATGTAATATTTTCAAACAAAATCTAAATGATTTCAAGAATTTAAAACAAAAAATTCAATATATATTTGTTATGCTCAACACACATATATATTTGGCATAGCAAAGATGTTTTGTGAATGTTGTTGTCATGTACAATATACTTAATTTATATATATGGAATCAGTGAAAGCGATAATTTTTACTCCCAGTCCATTTAGAAATTGTGTAAAATACTAACATTAATATAACATATTAACATTGGTTTTAGGATACACGAGACACACTGAACAGCTTTCAGACCAATCCCATGAAGCCTACTTCAGTATTTGTAATATCAATTTACTGAGATGATATTTGATCAGTTCTCTACAATTCCCAGAAAGAATTAACTATGTGTCATATCATTGAGGAAAAACAGAAGTTTTCCTGATACATAACCAGGGGCTGAATAAAACAGAGTCAGACTTTGTGGCTATGTTAACCCAAGCCTTTCAAGAAAAATATTTTAAAGTTTCTTCAGTTCTCTATCCATTCAGATCTCTAAAACTAAATTCACATCACATGCAACTCGCAAGGAGATTAATGCAATTGTTTAAAGATACAACTAATGACCTTATAAACTCTCTTATGCCAGCCTCACACCAGTTCAAAGGTGTACAATGAGCATGCTTTTGCCTGGCAACAAGTTCAAACAACACCTACTTTGATCAGTAATCTACACTGTCTAAAACAAACAGGCAGCATTATATAGATCAAGAAATCTTTGACTCAAACAATAATTTGATTCAACTGCAAACGTAACTCGCAGAAATAATGAATAAAAAGACTTTGGCACAGAAGTTTACAAGATAGCAATTATAAACAATTAACTTTGTAGTCTACTGTATTTTTTTAATTTGTAGTACAAATTTCGTGTTATTTATGTTTTATCTCAAGGAGAAGTAATTTTACGCCTCCACAAGCCGACTACAGAAGAATTATCTCTTTTAACATTTCACGCAATCATTCTACAATATAGCGGCATCAAAATATTTGGTTGAAAGTTGTATTGATCAACAAGCATGATAGCGAAAATGCAGATTCCCCACTCGCCAGCTGCCTCGATAAGTAGTGCCCCGTTTCAACGTACACACACGAGAAAAACGCATATTATCTGTCGTTTTCTGTTTACTTTCCAAAATAATTTGACATCACGCTGAGCCGCTATTCGAAGATCTTTTGCCATGGATGATTATAATATACATATCTGAAATTAACTGCACTTGTCTCTTTTCAAAAACCGCATAATATTCTGTCTGATTCCATAGGTTCTTGACATTGCCAATTATAAAATGACTCTTTGTCATTCGCAAGCTATACCTTTGAAACCTCAGCAAGAAATTTCAAGGTGTATACAATTTAACATTGTACCGAATTCGCAAGTATGTTACAGTATGTACGATATGAGCTATCCAAGCGTTATATTTCTCCTAAATTTTGCACTCAATACGTCCTTGTAAGAAATAAAGTAAAACAATGCGACTAGTTCGCTTTGATATTACATAAAAGTCATTCAAATACCTCAAAAGAGAAGCCAAAAATCCCAGATGAATGCCACACTTCGACTATTCGTTTGTTATGTTTTGGCCGGCTGGTCTCGTATTACTGATCTCGACGCCAACTGGATGGTTCATTCAAAAACTCATTAAAAGTCTAGAGTTTTCTGTCTGGGTTTTAGTTTTTTTTTAAGATAAAGTCGATAAAGTGATAAAATGTTATCTTCTTTGCACGAATTGATCATTTTTTAACTCTAAAATGAATTAAACAACGAATTAATTTCGTTTATCCAGAGAAATACCCACTGAGCTATAGAAATTCCTGGACTTTTTTTATACCACTCCGAGGAAATCCGATTGTCTGATCGAGAAATCCGATTACATTGTCGGGCGTCGCTCGGTCGCCTGTCGCCACGCCACAAGATGGCGCGCAGAGGTAGTATGTTTTTGTTGTTGTTCTTCAAATTTATCTTGTTTTTAATATTGTTTTGTAGCGAATTTTACTCTTGTTTATCACAGACTTATTATCGATGCTTTCTTTAGGACTACGATCTATAGATCTCGAAGAGGATTTAGCAATCGGCAGGTGTGTTCAATTACGCAAAACTATGTTGTCGTTGTGGCAGTTGTGTTTATATTCAGTGCTAATAGAAAATGCAAAATTCAAAATTGTAAATGAAAATTGTACATTCCTGCCTGTCATACTCAGTAGATTTTAATATAAACACTGTGAATCAGAGAATGGATCAACTGAAGCGCAGTCATTATTATGTACTCCGCAAAAATTCACAATGAATTACATGAACTTTAGTTTTCTTGGCAAATGAAAATCGTATTGTTTGTGAAAACGAGAGAGTTTTACGGTCAAATTTATAGGTTTTATTCTTCAATAACATTGCAATGTTTTGCACAATTTTTTAATTTGACTTGTTTATTGCTGTTTTTTATGCTGGTACAGGTCAACCCGTTCAGACAAGAAATTTGATGTCACAGTTGGTCATATAGAAGACATTATAATGGGTATAAATGTGGATATACACTTCGCAGAGCTTTGCCCCACCGGACCTAATTTTTAGGGCTGGATTTTTAGGACTGCACATCTCATTGCAAAATATGGTGTGATACACTGATCAGACACATCATGTTTTTTGATATTATATAAAACAAATCATGAATGTTTTCATTCATGCAATGGAAAGAATATTCCCATTAAACATTTACTAGTATAGAATCCGGTGTATTACTAGCTCAGTAAATACACTCCCTAATTTTCTTAAAATCTACCATTTTAAGTAAAATTTTTTGTATTCTTCACATTTGAGGCATCATCATAATACAATGGTTTTGTGATTCTAACTCACCTAAACCTTTCATCCCAGTTGGCCTTTAATGTGTAAACAACAATGCTTTGACAATATTTTTGGCTTACTTGATTATGGTTCTGGTGGTTTTGACATTGTTACCATTACTTTAATTTGATTACTGGAGTTTTTCAATGACACTTTTCCATTTAGAGGACACATTCCAGGAACTGCAAAATGAATTCATGGAAAAACATTACCACCATTTTGAAGATGTAGAAGAAAACAAATTGATATATACAGATATTTTTTCACAATATGTAAGTTGCATGCAACATTGTGAAAGTAGGTTAGAATAGCACATTCCTACTCGGGAATATTGTCTCTTACGTGGGGTGTTAGTGGATATTGTACATAGTGAAAAGCACAAACAATGCCAAAAACACAAACCATATACAGTACTGATTGGCTTCACTTTACAGACAAATCTAATCGAGAAACACCTTGAGGAATGTTTGAAGCAAAGGATGCCAGATTTTTCAATGGAAGAATTCATGAAATCTTTACAGTATGTTTTCAATAAATGTACCATTTTTTTACCGATTTCTGGGTAAAAGAATAATTTACTTGAAAGAATATGGTTCACAACTTTTTTTCCATTTTGAATGAACTTTATTTGCATTTTTAAGGTCAAGAAAAGATCAAATTGGAGGAGACATATTTGACATTTTGCTTAGTTTCTCAGATTTTATAACTTTTAAACAGATGTTCCTTGATTACAAAGCCGTAAGTTTGCAACTGATATATTGTTGTGCTATAAGCCATAATCTCACACCATAATTAATAAGTCAAATTGTGTTTGAAAACATAGTTTTTAAAAAACAGCCTACCTGAAAATTTGGCTCTCATTTCAAGATGACAACAGTAGCTAAAACCAAAGTGCTTGAAAATGTCCAAGTTTCAAATGATCACATCATTTTCCTATAGGACAAAGAGGGGAAAAATATTGATTTAGGTGGCTTGATAATTACTCCATTGTCGAATGAACATCTTGATGGTGCAGAGGAAATGATGATCGATTCAGATTTATCGCCAGACAGACAGACTACATCTAGCACTTTGTTAAGCAGTTAAACCATCCATAAGAGACAAACCATACATATACTGATATACTAAAGTCTTGTAATATATTGTATAAAAGTTGTAAAACTATGAACGTTGGAAATAACGTGAGAAAGTACATCAAAAAGAATCATGTTACCTATGAAATTGGTCACCCAATTTCAACCATCCATGACAGTAGTTGATAAACCATTCCAAACTCAAAGACTTTGATCATGATAGATCTATGTGTCAAAAGGAAAATAAGCATGTTTAAAATGACAATGTTATTTAGAGGTATACTGTAGTGGTGAAAATTAGACACTGTTACACTCCAGGCTATGTAAATCTAGGGTCCTTTAATTTACACGGCTCCTGCAATCTATTCCTCTTGCGACTCGCAATGCAATTCTACTTTTAAGAGATTTGAATTAGTAAAGAACGTTCAAAATATAAGTGTAAGAAAAGGCTATGGAAATTGATGAACACAAAAGTTTCGTACTGCCAAATTTACATCTTTCAAAAGTAGAATTTTATTGCAAATTGCTTGAAAAATTGCAGCGTATAAGAACTGCCTTTAACCAACACCCACCTTTTTTGTCAAAATTGCTTTTGGTGCACTTTCTCATCGAACCTTGAACACTTTTTAACACAAATTGCACACCAAAGTTGCTGTAAATATAGTGACATTCATTAAGAGTTATGCTGAATAATATATTTTTGCCACATTCCTGGCTTAAAGACGACAACCTGTAGTTTATTAATAGTTCAATATGTATTATATTTATCCCCCCTAAGTAACGTTTATCCTTTTTACCATGTGTTTTAAAAAACAAGACCTATTTTTGGATTTCACCCTTCTTTTGCAGTTTTAATTTCGGCAGAAATTGATTGTTCCTGCGGATGTTATCATGTTAACAGGAATATATGAATAAGGCAGATATTTTTTTAAGAAGTATTCCACTCTCAAGATTTTAGCCCTCGACACACAACAACATTTGGATTTATTTCGTCTAATAACTGAAATCTAATCAAGATTGAAAAATGACAATTCTTAGAGTTTTGTTTTTTTAAGGTATGCAAGTGATGACTGGCACGCCATTAATTTCTTTCAGTTTCATTTTTTTGAGACACCCGGTTGGTATTTGGGTCACCTGGCCATACCCATGGGACTTTTTCAAGGACCTGTCTGTAACTGTGCTCTGCGGTCATTCAAAGTGTACTTGAGACAATGCTAAATATTCAATTAGTAAGCGTCAGCGCCACTTAGCTTGGCCAGCTTCAACCGGAGGCGAAGAATTAACTGGGTGTGAATAACTTCGAGTAATTTTGGTCAGCAAATTCCTGTTTTTCCAGGTGAGCTCGCGTTTTAGCGAATCAGCGCTCAGAGATTGGTTGTCGAAATAGACCTTTCTTATAATGACGTCAAACGCGGAAAGTTTGATGTTACACGGAATTTGATTGGCTCCACAAAACTATCGAGCCAATTAAACTTCGTGTAACATCAGACTTTCCGCGTTTGACGTCATTATGTAATAGGTCTATTGAAATCCATTCTGCAGAATTTAACTGGTTATAACTTGTTATTCTTTATATATGAAATCTGCCGAAATTTTGCAAACAAAAAGTTCAGTTAAAAAACTATGACTCTCACATATTTCAATTTTCAAAAGATATTAGGCTGCTTTAATCAAGATTTCAAGAAATGGATTTTTTATTTGACAACTGGTTCCAGTCCTTCAGGCCGTGTTTTAGGCAATACGCGTGCCCCATCAATGTTTGTCGTCCTATAATTATATAAATAATGCTTACGATTCATATTATAATATTAATATTACAATATTACTATAATAGTAGATCAAGTAGATTTCATAATAATTTTATTCACTTATACGATGATAAACATTCATGGCGCTTTTCTAGCTGTCTGAACCACTGGCCATGGTCTGAACTATGTTTTTCAACCTCGTTCCCAGAGCCTTTATGTTTTTAACCGTGAAAACGGTTTGCATCTGTCTGAAAATCTTTCAATGAAAAACAGTAAAAATCTTCAACTAAATATTCGCAATTAGATTGGAGTGCCAGGCCTGCAGTTGTTCAAAAGTAGTAATATTCCCATGTTCAGTAAATCCTAAATATACGAATTTAATCCTTGAAATTAGATTAATCTCAGTCGTGATCCTAATCTAATCTGGAAGATTAAATTTGTATATTTGGATTTATTTAACATGGAATCTATCACCGCACGCCATATTTGTCCGGAAAGGGACCTGCGGAGGAGGTAGACATGGATTGTATCAAAAAGTGACGCGGAAATAGGGCGAGGCAACAGCAGACACAAAGCATGTGTCAACACAAAGACGCTCGTGTTACTAAGCTCAGAGCAGGTATAAGAACCCCTGTGCAGAAGTAACATTTATTAGGAATGCCTGAAAAACTGCAATAAGCAAAACATGCCTGTAACAGGTAAGCATTTAAACATTATTACTTTTACGAAAAGAAAAACAGATCATATTGTATTTTACATTTGCATTTGCATGCAATACAAGACAAACATGTTGTTGTGAAATCGCTGAGCTGCAGTGCAATTTAATATTCTATTCCAAGAAAGGTATTTTGTTCTAAAAATATGTGCAAATTGGCGCTCACGACTTGAGTCACGACATTCCAAGAATCGTTCATAGTTTCGCGTGGTACAATCAGACGATTCTATGAGACCAGAGCGTTCACAAAATTTTTTGCTACAAAACGAAAGTACTTTGTATTCGGCGGCATATTTTGTTACGCTTGAGTGTAAACAGTGCAACTGATCGTGCATGTCGTTTGTTTGCTTGTGGTTAACCACTAAGCGACTGTGCCGAATCAGTCAGATTAGATACAGAAAAATTGTCTGGGGCAAAAGTGCCGTTTAATTAACATGGATTCCGGCACGAAGAAAATCTAAACTTCTTACACAATTAAACTCGACGCGTATAAGGTTACTAGGTTAGATAAACAGCAAGACAGGAATGCTGTACTATTAGAGAAACTCTATAAAATTATCCGGCGTCTCACAAGATTATTTGTCTAAATTTATCGTCCCTGAATTCATATTCTGACGAGTTTTCACAGTCCTTGAATGCCGAGTTCGGAGACTCCTTCCCTAATACAAATTTGGCTAAGACTTTATACGCATACATGCTAATTAATATATAGTGAACATAACTTTGTAATGAAAGCATGCAAGACTGTATCAGCAAACTAGCTAGAAACTGGCATGATGGGGATTACTGTTGGACTATTGTTGTCATTTTAGTGCTTTGAAGTTTATCAGTATAAGAAGTAATTATAAATAGGGAGCAATCAAATTAAAAGTGCGGACATGGGCACGCGGACATAGAGACACAGAATTTATGAACGTTCAACCATGCGGCGAACTTAATATATATTACTATTCGTTCATGTCAAAAATATCCAGCCTTTTATTCTTGTTTTCCAGTACATTACGAATGATGTTCACAGTCAAATCAGAATCGTAACAATTTTAGTTAGAGTCTCTTTGAAAATGGGTTTGTAGGAAAGCCGTTTGGCCAAGAACGACCACCTTTAACCGACCTTTTGAAGAACATTTTGCTGCGATATCCCGATGGCGGGCAGATATTAAAAGTAAGTTAACTAAATGCCTGCTAGAAAAATTGTATTTCTGAAAGCTTTGCTTAATTAAGACTATAACAAAGTTTTTCTTAATTAATGGTTGGATATTATAGAATTAAGTATATTTAATGTAGATAAGTTCCAATATAACCAAGGAGCAGCGTAAGGAGCACAAAACACTTCTCGACATTTCGAGCTGAGGGCCTTCGTCAGGAGAGTTAGTTACTAACTCGTCAGGCCCTCAGGTCGAAACGTCGAGAAGTGTTTTGTCTATTTAGGCAGTTGTTATACCGCATTTGATGCTAAAATATTTAATGTATTCCAATATTTATTTAAGCATGAAATTTCTGTTTAATTTGGTAGTGATTGATTTTTCTATACATTTATTAAAGTGTGAGCTTTGATTTTACGTTTATCGTTTGAGATCGAGGCTATTTCAAACAACCACATGATCTTTGCTATTGTGCGATGTTCCATTGCTGTAGGAACTAATTCAAAATGCGGATGACGCTGGTGCAAATGAAGTCAAGTTTTTATTTGATGCCACGTCATATGGGACCACCTCCCTGTTTTCCCCTGGGTTGGCTTTGTTCCAAGGGCCGGCTCTTTACTGCTACAACAACGCCAAGTTCACCAAAGAGGACTGGGATGGACTGCAGCGTCTTATGAGAAGTAACAAGGCAAATAATCCATTGAAAGTTGGTCGCTTCGGCATTGGATTCAATTCTGTGTATCACATTACAGGTATTATAGTAATAGAACGATAAAATATACCATTTGCTACAGTTTATTATTAATTAATTTTTGCAACTGAAAACTTCCTCTCTACTCCGGATCTAATGCTAGGTGCAAAATTATTTTATCAGTTGCCTTCTCCCAAAATTTTAACAGCTACCATGTGCGAAAACATTGTCGCAGCTCCTCGCAAGAATGATTTTCATTGGCTGAACTTTACAATACATTTCTGTTTCAACCAACAGCATAGCTTTGTTCTTTAGAAAGCATAGAAAAGCATTATCTAATTGGACGAGAGCTTCCGAGAGCTGCGACATGTCCCAAAGCATTAGCTCAATTCCTTGCACAGAAGGTATGACTAGTGCAATGTTTCTATTTATCTCTTCAGATCTTCCAAGTATTGTGAGTGGAGATATGGTGGCTTTCCTCGATCCACACGAGACATATTTTTTTCGTGGTGAACCAGGCCGAGCATTTTCTACTAGAGAACCTTTACTGGCTGAACATTTGAATCAATTTGAGCCGTTCCAACACATTTTCGACTGCAACCTTGACCAGGGAAGGTCTTATGGAGGAACACTATTTCGCTTTCCATTAAGAATTCAACCATCGAAGTTGTCGAATAAGATCTACACGAGAGAAATGGTCAACACTCTTTTCGATTCATTCAAGAAAGAAGCCAGTGCGATTCTCCTCTTTTTGAAAAACGTCGACTCGATCAGCTTGTACGAGAGAGAAGCACGCGGTGAAATTGTTCATCTTTATACAGCCAGAGTTTCTGAGCAATCAAAAATCGAAGTTAGGCGAAATAGGAAAGAATTGGTCCAGGATATCACCGAAGAGTGGGATTTCGCCGTGAAAAAGACCTTCTATCGCTTGGAAATCGAGAAAAAGAGTCCCGGAAAACCTCCAGAAAAGAATAAATGGCTCTTAGCGAATCAGGTTGGAACGACTGAAAAAAGACTAATTGAGCTGGGTATGTCTGAAAGTCTGAAACTACTACCTTGGATTGGCATCGCGTTTCCTCTTGATGCGAACAACAGCATGTCTTCACTTGGAAGGATATTCTGTTTTCTTCCACTCCCCCCTGATGGCGACTGTCGTACTGGACTGCCGGTGCAAGTTAATGGCTACTTCGGACTAACAGACAACAGACGAGCTTTGAAATGGCCTGGTCCTGATTGCCAGAATGATGAGACAGCCGAGTGGAATGAACTTCTTCTGCGTAATGTGGGAAGTCAGGTGTATGCGAGTTTGATCATAAATATGTTGCAAGAGGGTTCCGGAGTAGGTTCACCGGAATTGCTCGCTAACTCAGCGTACAGTGCTCTACCACGCCTCGACCGTGTCAGGCAAGATTGGAAGTGTATCATAGAGCCTTTTCTAAAAACAGTTCTAGCAGAAGAAATATTCCTGACTGTTCCAAGAGGAATTTATCATTGGGTCAACCTTGGAGCTGCAATTATTGATCGCATGAACGAGTCCAAAGATATGAGACCAGAGATCAAACGAGTTGTTCTAAAGACGTTGCTGGGAGCTGGCCAGCCAATTGTTTCACTACCAGAACACGTTATACAAATTATCGATCAATATCATCAGATGTCAGGTTGGAGAAACGTTCAACAAGTTACCCCTGAACTCTTGTGTAACGTTTTGCGATCAAATTTCGATTTTCACAGCCTCGGCATGCCGTTTGAAGACAGATTGTTTGTGTTGGAATACGCTCTGCAGACAGTTCCTGGAAATAGCCATAGTCTTCGTGGCGTCCCTCTTCTGCCGTTAGAGAATCGTCAGTTTATAAAGTTCTCAATTCCTTCTGATGAAAATATTTTCATCCCATCCGAGAAACACATCGTAGATCTTTTACCCAACATGAAACATCGTCTTCTACATCGTAATCTTTCTCTACCAGCGCAACAGAAGCTTCACGAGCTTGGTGATTCCAGGGTAACACAGTTGCATCACCCTAATGTTGATGATATCAAAGAATTGCTCTGGCAAAACCTTCCTAGCGATTGGTCGTGCGATCATCTTCCACAGCTGGAGACCGTGACGTGGAATCCAGGGACAGAAGGCCATCCTTCTTTTGAATGGCTAAAGTTAGTGTGGAAATGGATCAACGAAAATTACCCAGGTAATTTGAACGAGTTCCACGGAATGCCACTGATTCCTGTGTCCGTCAGCTCACCTTCGTCTATGGTAAGACTTCGCCAAAATTCCAGCATTATCGTTAGCGAACACCCGCAGTACATCGGGAAACTTTCAAATGCCGTTTGTGAATTTTTGAAGAGATCCGGTTGCGCTGTAGCTGAAAAATTACCCTCCTTCGTGAAGCATGATCAACTACTTCACTATATTGCTCTACCAAATGCTTCTGGTCTTCTCAAAGTGCTTGGTATAGCGAGAGAAAAGGCTGTTCAACAACTTTCTGTTTCCACACCCTTAGTGAAACGCGAACTATGTCTCATCCTGTCGTGGCTAGATTCCATTGATTCGGCTCAGAAATCATTTATTCGTACGTTGCCAATCTTTGAAGCAGTCGACGGACGGTTTATGTTATCCTGTCAAACGGAACAAGGTGAACAGAGGCTTGTTGCTCCACGGAATTATTCACTACCCGAAGATATCGGAATTGTTGATCGAAGTAAGATCCTATCCTCTACAAAAAACGAAAGCCATCGCCTGCTGGAGAAACTTGGAATGGTAATGGAGAGCACCGCAAGCTTGATCATGATTCACTTGGAGAGTTTCTTAAGCTCGGAAAACGGAGATGCAGAAAAGGACAAGCTTATGCTATGGATCTTGGAAAGAATTGAAATTTTAAATCATGAAATGCCCACTGATTTTGTTGCGTTTATCCGTAAACTTCCCTGTATTCCGACTGCTAGCAGCAAACGTGTGGCCCCAAATCAACTGTTTGACCCTTCTGACAAACTTCTCACCCGGTTGCTTCAAGACAACAACGAGGCATTTCCAACGAGACAGTTTTTAGGGCCAATACTGAAACGAAAACACGAGTTGCAAGTTCGACGCGTAGAAAACCTGACAACTGAGGATGTTTTGCTTGTTGTGAATCAAATGACAAAGGAAAGTTCAGACAGAGGTATTGCCGTCGTGGAACTTTTAAACCAGCGACTAGAGTTACTTCAAGAATACACCGCAGTTGGAAGGCCATTAAATTCCGTCCTACGTGAGTTGCCATGGTTACCAAGAGTGTGTGATCGTCCGAAGAACTATCCTGAATTGATGCCGTGGTATGATGGAATGAAGTTATGCAAACCAAGCAACATGCGTCCTGACTCGCTGGCAATCCTAGTTGGAGCAACAGTGCCTGTTTTTAAAGAAAGGTTGATTTCAAGTAAAGTTCAAGGTATGTAAACAAGAAAATTACTTTCTCCCCCCCCCCCTCAAGTTAGGATTGCTTTTGACCAGAAAATGAACACATTACTCATAAACGTACAAAGTTAAAATCCAGAATTCAAACTATTACATCTGCACGTGTTTGATAAGTGTCCGTATCATTTTAGAAAAGCTTGGCATTTCTGTGGATCAACAAAACATATCTCAAGAAGTCATTCAACAGCTACATCTGGCCGTTGTTTCTTGGAAAAATCAAACAACAACACAATTGTCTCTTGGAAAATTTGAAGAAATGGTCAGAAAAATATACATGTATCTTTCCACAGCACCCCAAAGTTCTGTGCAAGATTTGTTAAAGTCCAAAGGTCTAAATCAGTGGGTATGGCAAGGAAATGGTTTTACATCACCCGAGAAGGTTGCTTTAGAACCACCTTCAAATTTTCCTAGAAGCATAAACCTTCATCCATACTTGTTCCGTCTTCCAAACGAACTATACAAGGTAAAGGACTTTCTACTTTCACTTGGAGTGAAGCCACAGTTTAATGTTGATGATCTGCTGGTTATGCTTTCAATCATAAAGGAAAAGCATGATAATGAAGACGGACCACGTGAAGATGCGATGCAAGACTTTGGTCAATGTCGTGCGGTGTTGGAGTGGATTGTTAGAAGCTGTGGTAAGTTATCAGATGAACGTCGATCAAATCTTCTCATTCCTGTCCAAACATCCTCTGGAAAGCTGCAACTCGAGCCGTGCAACAAGTGCATTTACTGTGATCGTGAATTCCTAAGACGAGGTGCCTCTGAATTTGAAGTCTCCACAAATTCCCATTTAATTCATAAAGCAATTCCTGATGATTTGGCTGGTCGTCTTCGCGTACCACGTCTCTCGAGCTGCCTCGCAGGAGGCAAAGTTCTTGGTATTCAATTCAAAGAAGCTGGTCAGTACGAGCCGCTGACCACGAGATTACGTAACATTCTTCAGCAGTACAAAGAAGGTGTAGCAATTTTCAAGGAAATCATTCAAAACGCAGATGACGCACGTGCTTCTAAAGTGTTTTTCGTTGTTGATTGGAGGGAAAATCCCCGGGAACAATTGCTAACTGAAGAACTAGCTAAGTGCCAGGGACCTGCCCTTTGGGCGTACAACGACGCAATGTTCTCTGAGGCAGACTTCGAGAATATCAACAGGCTTGCTGGTGAGACTAAGAAGGAAGATTTGGAAAAGGTTGGACGTTTTGGTCTTGGCTTCAACTCCGTCTACCACCTCACGGATGTTCCAAGCTTTGTGAGTGGTGAACACGTTGTGGTTTTTGATCCGAATATGACTCACATCTCTAAGTTAATGGACGGAAAGATGAGAGGAGGCGGATTTATGTTAAGCTTGGCGGAAAACAAGCTGGCCTTATCTGCATTTCCAGATCAATTCATGCCTTACCATCAAATGTTTGGCTGTGACATGAGCGGAACGGGACCTTTTCACTTTGATGGGACATTGTTTCGACTTCCTTTCCGTACAACTGAACAAGCGCGGGAAAGTGAAATATCGAACGAACCTTGCACGCCAGAAAACGTGAACAACCTCATCAAATCGTTGAGAAAAAGTGCGCTTACATTGTTACTATTCACCCAAAATGTCAAGGAGGTTCGTGTGTTTGAGGTTCCGAAAACATCCAACCCAAAGAGAAGTTTGGGGCGTCCCTTGATGAGCATAACAAAATCCATCAAGCAAGTTATCTACACCAACGATGCAGACAAACATGGAAACGGAGCAATCCTAAAGAATACGTCAACTTGGTTATTGAACATCCGGAATTCAGAAACGGTCATTCCATCAGAGGGACCCCGCCGCACGGAATTATTAGGAATGAATGTTTCTATGGCGAGATCAGACCTAATCAAAGTTTCAGATGCTTTTCAGAAAGCGGAAACATGGCTTGTTAATTCCAGCGCTGGGTCTAGGTCCTCACTCCAGGTTGCGCAGAGTGCTGATGGCAAGAAGAACGCAGTTGTTCCCGTCACTGGAGTAGCAGCCAAGATCTCTCAGCCAATAACGGCTGTACGTGGAGAAGTATTCTGTTTCATGCCACTTTCTATCGAGTCTGGGTTCCCTGTGCATGTCAACGGTTCCTTTTCGGTTTACTCGAATCGTCGTCGTCTGTGGGAACAAGGCGTGGGTGAGGATGAATCATCAAAACCATTTGAAGCAAAGTGGAACGAAGCATTGATGGAAGATTCTTTAGTTCAATCATATCTTCAGCTGCTTCAAGTGCTTACGACCTGTAGTGCTAAACAGGATACGTTTCATAGCCTTTGGCCGAATCCATCAAAAGTAAACTACCCTAAAGCGTGGGAACCTTTCCTTCATTCATTCTTTAATAAAATAATCGATGAAGAATGGCAACTGTTTCACTGCAACGGGAAGTGGAGACGACTTCAAGATTGTCTAATTCTTGATCCAAAGCTTGCTGAAGTTTCTGCATACGTCACCGTCATGAATCAGCTGGTTGAGAATGTCCTTTCACTTCCGAAGCACTTCATGGAAGCGTTCGAACGTAGTGGGAAGGAAGCCTTTATCAAAGATCACACACTGACTGAGGATAAATTCTTAAGAGAGTTCTTCTTTCCCAACTTATCAAAGATACCGGTCCAGAAACGAAATTCGGTTCTTGTTTACATTCTTGACTGTCGACTGAACAAGCATCGAAACTATGATGACCTTTTTGAGACCTACCCAAGTTTTAGCTGCTCTGAGGACGGAACGTTGCTGCGCAAACCAAATGAGCTGGTCCATCCAAAGGGAAAAGTTGCCTCTTTGTTCTCGGAAGAAGAAAAAAGATTCCCATTAGATGATCGGTTTTTGACAAAAGAACGAGCAATGATGTTGGAAGAGCTAGGAATGGCAGTTGATTCTCTTCCGTGGAGCAGTTTGTGCGAGCGAGCTGAGTGGATTTCCAATCACTCTGATGCAGCAAGAGCAAGATTTCTTATTCAATACCTGAATCAAATGCCTCCGAAAGACGAAATAGCTCCTGACGAAATGGAGCTCCTAAGAGCTGCTAGATTCCTTCCAATTTTGTCCAAACCAAAAGACTTCCCATTCCCATGGAAGTCTGAGGAAATTCCTTTGACTGTATTAGCTGCTGCGAATAATCTCTTTCCCGAAAGATACAAAAACCTTGTTGGTTCCTCTCAACTCATCCTGGATGAATCATCTCATCCCCCAAGTGTACCTGATAGAAATCTGAAGAAAATCCTTGGGTTCGACTTAAAGCAACCACAGTTATCCGATGTCATTACACAACTTGATCATGTCATCCAGCTTTCCAACCTGCTCACAAGAGAAAAAAAGGAAGTGATGTGTTCGACAATTTATGAATTTTTGCAAAACGCTGTAACTACTAAAAGATACAAGTCTCTGCAATCAGATCTTCGCGAAGAACTTAATTCCCGATCATGGATGCTGGTTAAAGGTCTAATGGTTAACCCAGAACTTGTAGCAAGAAATTGGAACAAAGAAAATGGATCGCCATATTTGTTTCCCTTGCCTCTTTGGTACAATACGAGGTTTAAAAAACTTATCGACTGGTATGGAGTAAAGGAGGACTTTTCACTGAGAGATTTCACAGAGGCAATTCATAAACTACGACAAGACAATGATGGCAAGGAACTGACAGTTGATCAAATCCGCAACATTATCGTTCTTCTTGAAGAAGTATTTAGATTAGCCGACGAAAGACTCCAAGATCCACTGCCTCTTCCAAGCGAGGACCATCAGTTGTATGACGGAAATGAGCTTGTGATAAACGACACGCCGTGGCTGGAAGCTGATGGTTCAAACAAGTATGTCCACGAGATGGTCCCAGTACATTTGGCATTTAGATGTGGTGCAAAGAAACTCAGAAACGCTGATTTACTTCGTTGCTCTAAACCAATTGGCAAACCGTTTGGACAGCGTGAGGAACTAACTGATCGCTTGAAGAATATTTTGAAGGCCTATCCGCCCGACGAGGGAATATTAAAGGAACTCTTGCAAAACGCAGACGACGCAAAAGCCAGCGAAATTCATTTCATATTTGATCCTCGAACGCACGGTAATAAACACGTGTTCTCTGATGGTTGGAAACACCTTCAAGGCCCTGCAATTTGTGTCTACAACGATAAACCATTCACTGAAGAAGATATCGAAGGCATTCAGAAGCTTGGTATTGGAAGCAAAGTGGATGATGCCGTGAAAACAGGACAGTATGGCATTGGATTTAATGCAGTTTACCATCTTACTGATTGTCCGTACTTTATTTCGAACGACGAAATCATTTGCGTTTCTGACCCGCACACTGATTATGCACCCACAGCAGATGAAATGAATCCTGGACGGTTGTTCGACCAGCTTGATGAGAAGTTTCGACGGAATTACAGAGATGTTTTTTCAGGGTTTTTGGCTGACATGTTCAAACTTGAAGGTAGCACGATGTTCCGTTTTCCGCTGCGCTCGCATACAACGCCTCAGTCAAAGATCTCAACAACTCAATGGGAAGAAGAAAAGGTGAAAAAGTTGTTCAAATTATTCCGAGCATCCGCGAAAGATATGTTGGTATTTCTGAACAACATTACCAAAATCTCTGTCTCCGAGATGAAAGATGGCATACTCGAAACGTATTCTGTGACGTGCGAAGTTTCTGATATTGCAAAAAGAACTGAATTTTTAGAGAAAATTAAAGCTTCCAGTAAAATGCCAACTGAGCAAATCAAATGGCATATTACCTCCTATTGTATGAAGATAACCGACACGAACAATGTGGAGAGTAATTGGTTGGTTACACAGAATTTGGGTTTTGCCGAGGAAAAAAGTGGCTCTCCAGTCCCAAATGGTACAGAAATGGGTTTGCTTCCACGCGCTGGAATTGCCGTTCGTTTACCCACAGCTGAACCTCGACGTTTTCCAATTCGCCATTCTTTATTTTGCGTACTTCCACTTCCAGTCAGGTCGGAATTTCCCGTTCATATCAATGGCCATTTTGCCCTGGACTCAGCTCGCCGTGGTCTGTGGGATGATCAGAAACGCTCGGACAAACGAACAGTTTGGAATGATTTTTTGAAGCGTCAAGTAATCGCTCCAGCTTATGCCATTACAATATTGCATGCCAGAAACCGCATCCCTGGCTATCAAACAGGGTCTCCGACTTCAGGCGCATTTTTGTTTGCGAAACACGCCGAGGACGGTCTCAGATGGTATCATCAATTGTTCCCTTCTATTGCAGAACTTGATGCTGCTTGGAAGCCCGTTGGAGAAGCACTTTACAGAAACTTTCTGACAAGGTTTCCTATTTTACCTGTTGCTACATCAGTTCCGGAATACAAGAAGCCCGATAAAAATGAGGGACGTTACTCAAGATTTAATAATGCTGCAGAAACAAAGACGGGACTGACCCCCGTTTTTGTCAGATGGTTTAAAGTCGGGGATACGTACTTTTGTACCACCGAGATGTCGTGGTTACTCGAAAATGCACTTTTGGCCCTGGGATTTTGTCTTCTTTCACACACTCCGAACAAAATTCACGAGAACTTTAAAGCTGTTGGTCGTTCACAAGATGTGAGTCCCGATCACGTACGAGTATTTCTTAGCCACCAAAAACCTTTTAAAGACAGTTTACCCAGGAAGGTTAACGACACACCACTTCAAGATGCGAGTAGCATTTATGAACTGACGAAGTATTGCGCTAAAGCTGAAAATTTTTTCGAGAATCTGGAAGGCCTGCCTCTGCTTCTGACACAAGATGGCATACTTCGTTCCTTTGACCATGAAAACATAGTTTTTTGCAGTAGATTCAGTCAACTATTGCCCTCCAGACCTGATATTTTCCTTTTCCACTTTATTCGAAGTTTGTATGTAGGCAACATAGAGAAATGTGTCCACGTGCGAGAATTTTGCCTGTCAGATCTCGCCACATTTCAAGCGTTTCTTTTTCCACCATCGTGGATTAACTCATCCTCCCACGAACCATGGAATCCAAACGAGCAGGAAGACACATTTCCATCAAAAGAGTGGCTTATATTACTTTGGCAGTTTATTGATGTCATTTCCAGTGACAGAGAAAGTAGAACAAACATCTTGAAGGATATTGAAAGTTGGCATATAATCCCAACAACGAAAAATTCTCTCGTTCCTGTTTCCATGAGTAAAACTGTGCTCAACGCCAGCACATACGTCAACATTGATTCATCTCGAGACCAAACCGTACAAAAGCTGATGGTGAAACTTGGCTGTCCACAGTTAAATTATACAATTTTGAAATCAGCATTTTCAAGTTTTGGTGGAGCTAGTGCAGTGCTCGACCACTATCTTGCAAAGGTTCATTCGACAAAGGACATCCTGAGTCTTCTTCAGGAGCATTTGGCCGGCAACACGAAAGAAGTTGGTCTTCATGATCTCGAGATTGAGCGGCTTCTGATGTTTCTACAAAGTGACTATTCCAACCTGTCGCACTCGCTTCTACGAAATCTACCATTTTACCAAACCATCGACAGCACATACACACGGCTTTCTGCCTTCAATACAGTTTATGAAGTTCCGGCTGGGATCCCTGGAGACGGCCTTCAAGTTCTTTCCACGGTGACAAACAGCATCTTCTTACGCTATCGTCCCAAACTCGCCGACCTTTACAAGTATATTGAAATCAAACCAGCTTCGTCTGTGGAGTTTTATACAAGCATAGTTCTAGAGTACTTCGATCATTTAACACCTAAAGGAAGAGTAAACCATTTGATATATGTCAGAGATCACCTTTTAAATTACCAGCATGATGGCTATAATGCTGTCCTGGCTGTTATGAAACAATTACCATTTCTTCCCGATCGTTCAGGTGCACTTCACCCTGCAAGAGATTATTACAAACCAGACCAAATAGTGTTTAAGACGTTTGTACCAAAGGAAAAGTTTCCTCCTTCTCCGTTCAATTCTGTCGAATGGAAAGACTTCCTAGAGAAAGTTGGTCTCCAGTGTGTTGTCACTGAAGACCATTTCTTGCAGTATGCCAAACAACTGGAAGAAGAGGCTCGCAGTCTTCAAAAACCAACTTCAGAGAAGGTCGAAAAAATTTTAGAGAAGTCAAACGTTCTGGTTTCTCATCTATCTTACAACAACAGTTTGCACACTTCTTCATTTTTTTCTCAAATTTCGGAAATCTACTTTGTCCCTGCAGCAAAGGTGAAAAAGTTGTTTGTCGATATTCATCCTTCGTTTACACAATCAATCCTCACGTGTTTTCGTGGATCCGTGACTGCAGAGCATTCGCCCCTTGTGTGGTCAAGTGCATCTATGGTAGCAAGTTCAGTGGTGCCCCACCGCAAAAAATCGATTAAAATGCTTGGGATACATACCACTCCTCCACACGAACTTGTTATTACCCACACCAAAAACATTTCTGGGCGTTTCCCTGCAGCGGAAAAGAAAGAAGTTCCCGAGAAATTGCAAGCCATTCTTTATGAAGTAATGACAAAGATATACAACTATTTTAGTAAATCTTGCCATTCGAAACCCGGTCCTCCTGATGAAAATTGTTCCCAAGAATGTAAAACAACAAGGAATGCCCTTCTTTATACTCCCGTGATATTGGTCGACAGCCATACCTTTGTACGCGGCAACCAACTTGCATTCGAAGGTTTCTGGGAAAGCATGAAGCCGTATATGTTTAATGTTCCTCGAAATCTTCAACAATACGAGCACTTTTTAAAATGCCTTGGAGCTCAGGAACGTTCAACACAACTTCAATATTCATCACTGCTTGAAGTAATAAAGAAAAATTGTAAAGACAACCAAATGCATCCAGGAGAGATTCCTGCAGCAGTCGATGCCACGAAATGTTTGTTTAAACGTTTAAGCGAAGATGCCAAGCCCCTCCAAACACATGAGCGAAGACATGCCCCAGATGCAACCCAATCTCTGGACAATGTTCGCAATCTTTATCTTCCAACTGAAGCCAAATATTTGAAGCCATCTTGCGAGGTTTTCGTTAATGACACTATGGAGAAGAAAGAACGTTTGAAAGATTATTGGAAGGAGCTGCTCATTGATTTAACCATGAAGGATCAAGAACCTCCTGCAAAACTAGTCGAGTACCTGCCGAGCCATTTGAAAGTTCAAAAGTTAAGTTCTAAGCTAAATGAAGAGTTGAGTCCAAACTGTGTGGATCAACTCTGTGTTGCTGATCAAGATCCAACCGAGCCATCCTGTGATTTCATCAAACGATATCGCGAGATCATTTGCTCTTCAGAGTTCAGCGAGGCGTTAATACGCTTGTACAAGTCCCAAGAAAAAAAGCCCAAGATTTCGGAAGAGGTGGAAAATGATCTTAAGAGGCTTGAAAATGGTGTCCAAATTAAATGCATGCAGACTATTGAAATACGGCTTGTCACGATGGCTACCAAGGAACCGGTTCTCGGCAGCGAGTCACAAGTTTCTACTTTTTGTCAGAAAAACTCCGAGGGATTTTGTATTCTAATTAAACATGGCGGTGGAAAAAGTGGTGTATTGCATGAAAGGTTGAGTTCGTTTATTACAAAGATCACTGGAGAACATGTGAAGGAAGTTAGTTGGCGTTATCTTATGATGGTGCTTGATGCCAAAGATCCTAGTGAAATATCGGAGACTTTGGATGAAGCTCGCGTGCCACAAAATATTAGCAGTCGTTCTGGGGAACCAAATCCTGGCGATAAAATCCCAGAGCACTTCCACTATCTCTTGAAAAACGATATAAATCACCATCTTCGAGAAGGTGAACTCGTCGGATATGAAGTGAGGGAAGAGGACGAAGAAAATGAAGCGGTGTATGTGTACGCCAAAATTATTGAAAAAACCAGTACAGGTTTGTTTTAATTATCTCGATTTGCAGTTGACATGTACACTTGTGACATTTTTTTCCATCATCCTGGTTCACCACTCATAACACCGTTAGCAACAACGTTAATTCCCATATATAATGCGATTTCATAACAGCATGTATATCTATCTACATTGTAGTTGTAAAATGGCCATTAATTTTATAAGCTTTTTCAATTACTCGATCTAGGGCAAATTATATTATGCATTTGGGGCATTGAAACCCCGGCACATTAAACAACATTCATGAACTCTTATTTTTATTGATACTTATATTTTTTAGGCGACGGAACATTTGCATTTAACAGCCGATACAAGATTGATATAGGTGAAGACGAACCAATTGAAGTCAGCAAATTGAAGCTTTACAAGTTTGATCGTGATGAAAGAGACGTAAAAAGGGGCGACGGGGTAAGCTTGGTGCCTTATTTAGGCACAGAAACAGAGAATTCTAGCCAACAAGATGCACAACGCGAGCCAGTGACGCTTGAAGAGGCCAAGAAAGAGGTCGCTGAAGCACTGAAAGAGATTTGGGAGGGTCTTCCAGAGTCCGAGAGATCTAGTGCTATTAAACGTCTGATCCGACGTTGGCACCCCGACAAAAATCCTCATCGCACGCAACTTGCTACAGAAGTAACACAATTCTTGCTCAACGAAGTTGAACGTTTGAAAAAGGGTGGAATTCCTGGTTACCATCCGGAAACCGACAATTCAAGAAAGCCATCGAGATCCGGTGGCCATGGTACTAGCACTTGGGATGCTGGTCCTAACTTCTGGGACTTCTCCAGCAGATACCAACAACGATCGAGACGTCAAAGAGATCGCTATCGTGATTGGTCGGATCACCGGTACCGAGGCACGGACGACTACAGTGGAACAGCGTACCGCCGACGTACGAATAACGAGTTTGAGCCAGCCAATAGGGATGAAAGTGAACGATGGATGAGACAATCTCAAAAAGATTTTGAAGGAGCAAGCTGCTTATTACAAAATGAATATTATTTCCTTGCTTGTTTCCATTCCCACCAAACCGTGGAAAAGGCTCTGAAGGCTCTCATGTTTGCAAAGGGTCGTTTTAAAAAAAGCGACCGAGAATCTCACGACTTGCTGGAATTAGCATATCGAGCGTCTGGAATAGACGCCAGTCTTCGCGTCGTTCAGATGATGGTTGGGAAAATACAGGGATATTACATCAAGACCCGCTATCCCGATTATTACAATCTCTTCTCCCAACATTCCATTCCAGCCGATTATTATACCCGGGATGATGCTGACGAGGCAATCTTAAAAGCCAGAGAAATTTTACGTCTAATCCGAGAGGTCTTGAATTAGAAACTTTTGGATTTTTGCTCGAAAACTTTCTTCTAAACTTTTGACTGTAATTATTTTCAGGGAAATATTCTTTTAATGATGAGAGTGGAATATTTTAAACCGATCTATTTCTAATACATAACATATTCGTCGTATAGTTCATCTAAAGCTTTCATTCGGAAATATTTCTGTTCCGAGGAAAGAACCACCAAAGCCACGATTTAAAGCCATTTGAACTTTTTCCACCAAAAAAAATTTTCCCCCGAAAACTTTCCCCTTTCGTTCCGTTCCGTTAGTCAACAGTCATAGGATAGGTTGATTCAAACACACAGGAAACTAATAATTTTTTCAATGAATGTATTGATTAAAATTAGGTTATGGCTGGTGATGCAATATTTTACCAACACTATTCCAACGACAGAAAAATTTTCATATTTCGTCGCTTCAACAAGGGATCAGCACGACTAAACCTGGGGCCAGTTGTATAAAAACGTAGTTAACTTTTAACTACAGCTAGTGACAGAATTGACCAATCAGAGTCCTGTATTTCTTAGTTATCTGCGATTTAACGACGCAAAATGTAGTTAAGAGTTTCATACAACCAGCCCAGAACATTAATTAATATTAATGACAATTTGATTGGATTTTTAATTTGGACCCCAGAATTCTTAAATTGCGTAGATATCAAGCGCGTCGCATGTAAATTTTGAATAGATCATAGTTATGAATAGATAGAATTTTCCGATTTTTAACCAGTCTCTCCTGGACACCGAACAGTTTGAGACTTAACTATGATTTAGTTTTATTAATACTAAAGACAAAATTATGTAAGTTTTTTAGCAAATATATTAGTTAGCAATCTGTTACAAAATGTAAGGGTTTTAGCTAGGCCATGCAAGCACAGCTCAACTGCTCATATATGTTACGGATTGGACTCATTGGAACGAATTGCCTCATGTTTTTAATGCCGTATTATTTCTAGTACAAATAATATCAACTCATCACACCGACAACCGATTTGTGCATATCTGTCAACACGGTCACTACGAAAATACAACAAAAGTCAGAGAAACTTATTTACTAGTTTTATTTTTAAGTTTTTCAAGTTCAATCATTTCAAAAATTTTCGGCTGAAAAATAACGAAAATCACTCTTGCATGGAATAGGGAGAATCGTGATGAACGAAAGCCTCCAAGTTTTGGGGGCTGAACTTCAAAATTAATGATGTATTGTCTGAAAAAAACCCAGATATCCTGGCTATAAAATTTTGTTTTGAGAGTAAAGTGGTTTAAGTGATAGCTTTTCAAAAGCTATATTGAATATTATATCGCTAAAAATTTTCATTAATTTTTCATTTTGGATTTAATTAGCGAAATATTTGCATATTTCCTTTTGAATTGAGAACATTCAAGTTGAACTAATTTATTTATGCTATTAAAATTCTAAAGAAAATACGCAAATATTTCGCATGCAGTAAAACACGCACAAACGTTGAAAGCGGAAGCTAAAGCCTAAAGTATCGCAAACGCACCGCCTTTAAGTGCGTATGCACGCCTGTTTGATGTGTCAAATTCCCAATCATTAACAGAAATATTGCGAAGCGAAATGCTGCTGACAATGTTATAGGAGAAATATGCCTGTGACAGGTAAGAAATTCTAATTATACAAACTATCATTGTTGCAAACTGAGAGGGAACGATAATACAAGCACTTCAATGATAATGCAAATAAAAATTTTATGAGATTGTTATCGGAAGTGCGATTCGTCGAAAATTCATGAAATTTAGGAAAAGTGAAATCCAATCGGAGATAGCAGCTCGAAACTTCATTCTATGCAGGAAAGAGTAATAATTACATTGATTTTACGACAGAGAAATCCTGGATCTACCACGAGCAACCGAAATAAATAATCCTTTCAGTACAAAACGAAAGTACTTTGACACCACAGCAGCGCTGACAGACGATGCTATATTCGTTAATAGTTAAATATTTAATCGCCGGAGTAAAAATTTTTTATGCTTTTACGTATTAAGCTTTTATAGATTAGATAGTTTGCATTACTTCATATATATTGCTTTATATCTGGTATATTTATTGTAACAAAGCCTTAGATTTGCTTTTTATGCCTCTGTCATTCTCAAGTGCTTACGCCGGAAATTTCGATGAAAGCAATTTCCGGAATTGCCGTCTTGTTTCAAGAGGCCACCATCGCGCCCACGCATTCGGATGCGTTAGGGGCTGCTTGCATGAGCCCGGTTATCCGAGATTCAACGAAGCATGAGAGGACTTTGAGGTATTGAAATAAGTCTTTATTAAGACACCAAACAAGCACATGCTATTGTTGTGGTGATTATGCGACTGCCAGGACCATGTTATCTGCTCATTTCAATACCTCAAAATCATCTCACGCTTCGTTGAATCTCGGGTAAACGGGCTCATGTAAACAGCCCCTTAAAATTTACTTGGTGCATACATTTTATCACTTGCAACATCAGTGAAGTTAAAACCAGGGGGCTGTCCGCTGTGTAGCCGTCCCGCCTCCCCCCTAACGTTTTGGCGCAAAAGCGCGTATTCAAAACTATCGACAAAGAAACGAAACCTTTACTGTTACAGAAAGTATAGGAAATCTCGTTACTGTCGTTCCCGTGTTTCAGTGTTAACTTTTGGCCAACAGATCTTTTTTCATTCTTCAGGATCTGATCTCAAGTTGCTAATTTAACTTAAGGAGGTCTGGGACAAAACAATTTTCGCATGTGTTGTTTTTCTCATATTATTTTCTCATATTAATTTTGCTTAGTTGACACGACATTTTGTGACGCTTTAAATTGTTGTTGCCATAGTTTTTTTTGCCACTACGCTACAAAATTGATTTCGTTTGCGCTATCACAGCGGTCAAGCGGCGCAGAATATACTTTGCAAAGTGCATACAACAAGACACTGTGAAGTTTGATGGATAATTACCTGTATGCATGTTGACTAACTGGCACCCAATCTTGATAGACTTCATAGCGACGATATTACTGCAAAATTGCCACAGCTGTCAGCAAGCCAAGGGCTCTTAAAATTGTATTTTTAGGGACGTCGTTTGGTCAGAAACGGCCACCATTAACAGATCTTCTAAAGAATATTCTGCTGAGATACCCTGATGGCGGACAAATATTAAAAGTAAGTTGGTACGGTTAAAAAGTGACCGTACTGAATGATACATAATATATTATGCATACTTAAACCATTGGGGTGCAAATGCGTGGTTATATCTAGAATACATAGTTGACATTACACTGAACGAGGATAGTCAGATTCAGAAAAATACATTGCTCATAACTTAAAGTTGGAAAGCCTGATGTTAAACGAAGTTTGATTGGCTCGTGCTTTTTCCGGAGCCAATTAGACTTTGAATAACATTTGCATTTCGCGTTTGACTTCATTATAAGCAGCTAAGGTCTACTAAATTCATTCCTATTTTAGCAATTGCAATTAAATGCAACATTGCCTTGTCTGCAACTGCAGATTATACAAATTCTTAAATTCTCCACAGAACTTTTGCAATTTAGCCCGTAACAAATGTGATTTAAATTTGATTAGAGTTTTTTAACTTTTCCTAAACGTACGATAAGCTCAACTCTTAAATTTTATCGACCAGGATCTAGCCATCAAAATCTGTCTGAGATAGGTATAGAAAAATTGTATTTGGTCTTGGTAAGGTATATATATTAATTGGCAAAACCCTACTAGTTCATTTAGAGCCTAGACAATTTCTATCTCAGTTCAAAATTACGTGATTTGCCAGGAACTAATTCAAAATGCGGATGACGCTGGGGCAAATGAAGTGAAGATACTATTTGATGCTACATCATATGGCACCACATCTCTGGTTTCCTCCGGGTTGGCTTTATTCCAAGGACCGGCCATGTACTTCTACAACAACGCCGAGTTTTCAGATGAGGACTGGGAAGGACTGCAGCGTCTTATGAGGAGTAACAAGGCAAATAATCCCTTGAAGGTTGGCCGTTTTGGTATCGGATTCAATTCTGTGTATCACATCACAGGTATAATAGTAGATTTACTATTAGTATCAGTGAAGTAAGTTCCAAATAAGGTTGCTTGAAAGGCATTTGACCATTCTTCGCTAAAAATTGGCTAAAGAATATAGAGCATACACATACTATAGGTGCAGACGAACGAAGTAAAAGATTTGGTTGCATTTTTTAATTGCCTTTTCGAGATTTATGCTTAGCGTGCTTTACCAGTATCTCTCCATTTGTTTAGACCTTCCATCTATTGTGAGTGGAAACACTGTGGTTTTCTTAGATCCACATGAGAAATATTTTGCTCCAGGTGAACCAGGACGAAGGTATTCCACTGAAGATCCTCTGCTAGCGAAATATTTGAATCAATTCGAGCCGTTTCAACACATTTTCGACTGCAATCTTGACCAGGGAAACTATTATCGTGGAACACTCTTTCGATTTCCATTGAGGACTGAACCATCGAAACTGTCCAATAAGATATACACGAGAGAAATGGTCAACACTCTTTTTGAATCATTAAGAAATGAAGCAACTGCGATTCTTCTCTTTTTGAAAAGCGTCGATTCGGTCAGTTTGTACGAACGTGAAGAGGGAGGTGAATTATTCCATCTGTATACCGCTAAAGTCTCCCAGAAGACAAAGATGGAAGTTAGGAGAAAAAGACAAGAATTAATCCAGGATATCACCGTCCAGTGGGATTTCGCCGTGAAAACAACTTTTTATCGTTTGGAAATCGAACAGATGAGTGTAGGAAAACCTCCAGAAAGGAACGAGTGGTTCTTAGCAAATCAGGTTGGAACGAATGAAAAGAAGCTAATTGAGCTGGCCAGAGATCTAAAGTTGTTACCCTGGATCGGCATCGCGTTTCCTCTTGATGCGAACAGCAACATGGCTTCACTTGGAAGGATATTCTGTTTTCTTCCACTCCCCCCTGATGGCGACTGTCGTACTGGACTGCCGGTGCAAGTGAATGGTTACTTTGGACTAACAGACAATAGACGAGCTTTGAAATGGCCTGGTCCTGATTGCCAGAATGATGACACAGCCGAGTGGAATAAACTTCTCTTGGAAAAGGTTGGAAGTCAGGTGTATGCCAACTTGATCACCAATATGGTACGGGAGGGTCCTAGCATTGTTTCAATGGAATTGCTCGCTAAGTTAGTGTACAGTGCTTTGCCAGATCTCAGCCGTGTGAGACAAGATTGGAAGTGTATCATAGAGCCTTTTCTTAAAACAGTCTTGGCAAGAGAAATATTCCTAACTACTCCAACGGAAAGTTCTCGATGGATAAACCTTGGAGAAGCCATCATTGATCGCTTGGACGAGTCCAAAGATATGAGAGAGGAAATCAAGCAAGTTGTTCTAAAGACGTTGTTGAATGCTGGCCAGCCAATTGTTTCATTACCAGGACACGTTATACAAATTATCGATCAATATCATCAGATATCAGGTTGGAGAAACCTTCAAAAAGTTACCCCTGAACTCTTGTGTAACGTTTTGCGATCAAATTTCGATTTTCATCGCGTGGTCATGTCGTTCGGAGATAGATTGTTCGTGTTGGAGTATGCTCTGCAGACTGTCCCCGAAAATATTTCTTATCTTCATGGAGTCACTCTTCTGCCACTAGAAAATGGTCACTTTATAAAGTTCTCAAATGCTTCCGATGAAAAGATCTTCATTCCGTCCAACAAGCACAGTGTCGATCTTCTACCCAACATGAAGCACCGTCTTCTCTATCGAAAACTGTCTCTACCAGTGCAACAGAGGCTCGACAAGGTTGGTTCTTCTAGAGCAACACAGTTGCATCATCCTACTTCTAATGACATTAAGCAATTACTCTGGCAAAACCTCCCTGAGGATTGGTCTTGCGATCATCTTCCGCAACTGGAGACCGTGACTTGGGATCCAGCGGCAGAACGACATCCTTCTTTAGCTTGGCTAGAATTGGTGTGGAAGTGGATCAACGAAAATTACCCAAGTGATTTGAGCGAGTTCAATGGAATGCCCCTCATTCCTGTGTCCGTCAGTTCACCATCATCTATGGCTAGACTTCACCAAAATTCCACCATTATTGTCAGCGAACACCCACTGTACAATGAAACACTTCCAAATGCCATTCGTAAACTTCTGAAAAGATCTGGTTGTGTCGTGGTCGAAAAACTGCCCTCCTTTGTCAAACATGACCAACTCTTTCACTATATTTCCCCACCGAATCCTTCTGGTACTCTAAAAGTTCTTTCTCTAGCAAAGGAAAACGTTGTTCAACAATTGTCTGTTTCACCAGCCGAAGTCAAACGCGAACTCTGTCACATTCTGTCAAGATTGGATTCCATTGATTCAACTCACAGATCATTTATTCGTACGTTGCCAATCTTTGCAGCAGTCGACGAACGGTTTATGCTATCCTGTCAAACGGAACAAGGTGAACAGAGGCTTGTTGCTCCACGAAATTATTCATTACCCGAAGATATCCGAATTGTTGATCGAACTAAGATCCTATCCTCCACAAAAAACGAAAGCCATCGCCTGTTGGAGAAACTTGGAGTGGTAATGGAGAGCACCGCAAGCTTGATCATGATTCGCTTGGAAGGTTTCTTAAACTCCAAGATCGGAGATACGGAAAAAGACAAGCTAATGCTATGGATCTTGGAAAGAATTGAAATCTTAAATCATGAAATGCCCACTGATTTTGTTGCGTTTATCCGTAAACTTCCTTGTATTCCGACCGCAAGCGGCAAACGCGTGCCTCCAAATCAACTGTTTGATCCTTCTGACAAACTTCTCACGCGGTTGCTTCAAGACAACAACGAGGCATTTCCGACGAAGCAGTTTTTGGAGCCAATGCAAAAACGAAAACATGAGTTGGAAGTTCGGCACATAGAAAACCTGACTGTTCAAGATGTCTTGGCTGTTGTAAACCAAATGACGAAGATAGATTCTGATATAGGTTTAGAAGACAGAGGTATGGCTGTCGTGGAGCTTTTGAACCAACGACCACAGTTACTTAAAGAATATACTGCAAACAAATTGCCGTTGAATTTTGTCTTACGCGAGTTGCCATGGTTACCAAGAGTCTGTGATCGTCCGAAGAACTATCCTGAATTGATGCCTTGGTATGACGGACGGAAGTTATGTAAACCAAGCAACATGCGTCCTGACTCGCTGGCAATCCTAGTTGGAGCAACAGTGCCTGTTTTCAAAGAAAAGTTGATTTCAGACGAAGTGCAAGGTAGGTAAACTAATTATAGGCAAGTTACATTGCTATATTAGGCTTGATGTTTTACACTGAAAAATTAGATGAAGATGATGATCATATTGGCTTTGATCGACACAGAAATTGAGAAAAATAATGTGGGATGGTATTAGATATATTGCCGCAATGCACGTTGAAAAAAATTAGTTTAATTTTTTAACAACAATTTATAAAGGCGTATAAAATATGTGAACAACTAACATCTCTATTGTGTTTTAGAACTACTTGGCATTTCTGCGGATCATTCGGTGTTTCGAGAAGTCATTGAACAACTACATCTGGCCGTTGTCTCTTGGAGAAATCAAACAGCAACACAGTTGGATCTTGGAAAATTTGAAGAAATGATAAAGAAAATATACATGTGGCTTTCCGCAAAATCCAAAAATGCAGTGGAGCATTTGTTACAATCCAAAGGTCTAACTCAGTGGGTATGGTACGGAAATGGCTTTACATCACCCGAGAAAGTTGCTTTAGAATCACCTTTTCCTAAAAGCATCAACCTTTATCCATACTTGTTTCATCTGCCAAACGAACTATACAAGGTAAAGGACTTTCTACTTTCATTTGGAGTAAAGCCGCAGTTTACAGTTGATGATCTGCTGGTTATGCTGTCAATCATAAAGGAAAAGCATGATAATGAAGACGGACCACGTGAAGATGCGAATCAAGACTTAGGTCAATGTCGTGCGGTGTTGGAGTGGATTGTGAGAAGCTGTGGTCAACTATCTGATGAACGTCGGTCAAATCTTCTCATTCCTGTTCAAACAGCCTCTGGAAAGCTGCAACTCGAACCGTGCAACAAGTGTACTTACTGTGATCGTGAATTCCTAAGACGAGGTGCCTCTGAATTTGAAGTCTCCACAAAGTCATTTCTGATTCATAAAGCAATTCCTGATGATTTGGCTGGTCGTCTTCGCGTACCACGACTCTCGAGCTGCCTCGCAGGAGCCAAAGCACTTGGTATCAAATTCAAAGAAGCTGGTCAGTACGAGCCGCTGACCATGAGATTACGTAACATTCTTCAGCAGTACAAAGAAGGTGTAGCAATTTTCAAGGAAATCATTCAAAACGCAGATGACGCACGTGCTTCTAAAGTGTTTTTCGTTGTTGATTGGAGGGAAAATCCCCGCGAACGATTGCTAACTGAAGAACTAGCGAAATGTCAGGGACCAGCTCTTTGGGCGTACAACGACGCTATGTTCTCTGAGGCAGACTTCGAAAACATAAACAAGTTGGCTGGCGAGACAAAGAAGGAAGACCTCCACAAGGTTGGACGTTTTGGTCTTGGCTTCAACTCCGTCTACCATCTTACTGACGTTCCAAGCTTTGTGAGTGGCGAACACGTTGTGGTTTTTGATCCGAATATGACTCACATCTCTAAATTGATCGACGGCAACAAAAGGAAAGGTGGACTCATGTTAAGCTTGGCAGAAAGCAAACACGTTTTATCAGCATTCCCTGATCAATTCATGCCTTACCATCAGATGTTTGGCTGCGACATGAGCGGATCGGACACTTTTCACTTCGAAGGGACATTGTTTCGACTTCCTTTCCGTACAGCCAAGCAAGCAAATGAAAGTGAAATTTCGGAAAAACCTTCCAAACCAGAAGACGTCAAATTCCTTATTCAATCTTTGAAAGAAAGTGCGTCCACTCTGTTACTATTCACCCAAAATGTAAAGGAAGTACGGCTGTTTGAGATTCCGAAGAAATCCAACCCGAGGATGTGTTTAGGGCGGCCCTTAATAAGCATGAAAAAATCTATCGAGGAAATTTTGCACACCAATGATGCCGATAAAGGTGGCAAGGGGACAATTTTGGAGAATTCATCAAACTGGTTACTGTACAACAGATCTGGAAAGATGGTAACATGGGAAGGACCCCGCCGCAGTGAAAAGTTGAAAATGAATGTATCCATATCCAAATCAGATCTTCTGGGAGAACCTGAACCTTTTAAAACTGAGGAAATCTGGATTGTTAATTCAAGCACAGGGAATAGGTCTTCCCTTCAAGTTTCCCGAAGTGCAGATGGCATCAAAAACGCGGTTGTTCCTGTAACAGGAGTTGCTGCAAGGATGAAAAATTTGACAAAACATAGCGTTGAAATATCCGCTGTCCCTGGAGCAGTTTTTTGCTTTATGCCGCTCCCTATCGCATCTGGGTTTCCCGTGCATGTCAACGGATATTTTTCGCTTTATCCAAATCGTCGTCGCCTGTGGGAAGAAGGCGTTGGTGAACATGAATCATTCAAGCCGTTTGAAGCAAAGTGGAATGAAGCATTGATGGAAGACTCCTTAGTTCAAACATACCTGCAGCTTCTTCAAACATTAACTTCATACAATGCTAAGCAGTATGCATTTCATAACTTGTGGCCGAACCCAGCAGAGGTAAACTACTTCAAAGCGTGGAAACCTTTTCTCAATTCATTCTTTAGGAAAATAATTGATGAAGAATGGCCGCTGTTTTATTGCAATGACGAATGGAGAACACTTCAAGATTGTTTCATCCTTGATCCAAAGCTTGCCAACGTTACCGAATGCGTGGCCATCATGAAACAGCTGGGTAAAAATGTCCTATCACTTCCAAAACACTTCATGGACGCCTTTACATCTAGCGGAAAAGGAGACTTCATAAAACGTCAGATGCTGACTGAAGATAAATTCTTGACAGAGTTCTTTTTTCCTAACGTATCACAGATAGCGATCCAACATCGTAACTCAGTTCTTGTTTGCATCCTCGATCGTCGACTGAACAGTCATCGAAACTACGACGATCTTTTACGTACCATTCCGAGCTTCAGCTGTTACACGGATGGGACCATTTTGCGTAAACCAGAGGAGCTGGTTCATCCAAAGGGAAAAGTTGCTTGTTTGTTTTCCGAAGAAGAAAAACGTTTCCTATTTGACGATCGCTTTTTGACCAAAGAACGAGCAATGATGTTAGAAGAGTTAGGAATGGCAATCGATTTGCTCTCTTGGAGCAGTTTGTGCGAGCGAGCTGAATGTATTTCCAATCAATGCGATGTTGCAAAAGCAAAATTACTTATTCAATACCTGAATGAAATGCATCCCAACGAGCGAAACAAAATTGCTTCCGACGAAGAGAGACGCCTACGTGCAGCCAAATTCCTTCCAATTTTGCCCAAGCCAAGAGACTATCCATTTCCTTGGAAGTCTGATGAGAACCGTGGGATGCATTTAGCTGCTGCAGATCATCTCTTTCCCGAGCGACATAAAAATCTTGTTGGTTCTTCTCAACTCATCCTGGATGAATCATCAAAAGATTCAAGCGTACCCAACAGATCAATAAAAAAAATCCTTGGATTTACTGAAAAGCAACCAAATTTGTCCGATGTTATAGCACAACTTGATCAAGTAATTAGGATTTCTCAGTTTACTGGAAATAATGAGCGTACCGAGACATGTATTATAATTTATGACTTTTTACAAAAGTTTGTGAACTCTAACCAGAACAAGTCAGAATGGTCCTATCTTCGTAATGAACTAGAAAGCAAACAATGGATCCTCATTAAAAATCAAATGGTAAAAGCAGATCGTGTGGCAAAAAACTGGGACAAAGAAATTGGATCGCCATATTTGTTTTCCTTACCTCCTGAATACAATACGAAATTCACAGTACTTATGCGCTGGTACGGAATAAAGGAGAAATTTGGTTTACAGGATTTCATGCATGCTATTGGCGAGTTTCGAGAAGACATTGGTAACAAGAAACTAACAGATAATCAAATCAGTACTCTAATTGTTTTCTTGGAAGAAGTGCTTCAACTCAACACGAACCCTTCCGCTCCTTTGCCACTTCCCAGTAAGGATTCTCAATTGTATGACGCAAGTGAGCTTGTAATTAACGATACACCATGGCTTGAAACAGGGGGTTTGAGAGAGCGTGTACACGAGAGGATACCCGAGACATTAGCCTACAAATGTGGTGCAAGGCCGCTCAGGGAAGCAGATTTGGCTGACATTTCGGATCCTATTGGGACACCGTTTGGACAACACGAGGAGCTAACTGATCGTTTGAAGAATATTTTGAAGGCCTATCCAGCCGACGAGGGTATATTAAAAGAACTTCTGCAAAACGCGGACGATGCGAAAGCCACCGAAATTCATTTTATATTTGATCCACGAAAGCACGATACTGGGCACGTGTTCTCTGATAGTTGGAAGGAACTTCAAGGCCCTGCGATTTGTGTCTACAACGACAAACCATTCTCCGAAGAGGATATTGAAGGCATTCAAAAGCTTGGTATCGGAAGTAAATTTAACGACCCCACGAGAACAGGACAGTATGGTATTGGATTTAACGCAGTTTACCATCTTACTGATTGTCCGTACTTTATTTCGAACGATGAGATCATTTGCGTTTCCGACCCTCATACAGCGTTCGTACCTGGTGCAGACGAGAGGAAGCCTGGACGTTTGTTTCACAAGCTTGACCAAAGGTTTCGACGAAATTACAAGGATGTTTTGTCTGGTTTCCTGGGTAATTTGTTCCAACTTAACGGAGGAACAATGTTTCGATTTCCACTTCGTTCCAGATCGACACGCAAATCCAAGATTTCAGATAGTAAGTGGAATGAAAATGAGGTGAAAAAACTGTTTAAATTGTTCCGCGAATCCGCGAAGGACATGATGTTGTTTCTGAACAACGTCACCAAGATATCTGTTTCCGAGATAAACAGCGATGGTAAACTTGAGACGTATTCTGTCAAGTGCATCATTTCAGATGTTGATAAACGAACTGAAATTTTCAAAGGGATTACAGCATGCGCACGCAGCAGAGTACCAACTCCACAAATCAGTTGGCAAGAGGTCCATTACCGTATGGAGATATCAGATACGAATAACGTGAAGAGGGATTGGCTGATTACACAGAGCTTGGGAAGTGATAACATAGAACTTGATACGCAGGTTCCAGATGGTACCAGCATGGGCTTGTTACCACGCGCTGGAATTGCTTTCTTGTTACCTTCTTCTAACCGTCCATTCCTTCATTCCATATTTTGCCTACTCCCACTTCCAATTTATACGAGATTTCCCGCTCATATTAACGGCCACTTTGCTCTGGATTCCACCCGCCGTAATGTGTGGCATGATACAAAACGTTTAGATGAACGTGTTGTTTGGAATGACTTCATGAAACGCTGCATAATAGCTCCAGCCTACGCCAGTGCAATTCGACAGGCCAGAAAGCACATTCCTGGCTATCTACATAACTCTGAAACACTTGGCAAGTTTTCATCTGAAAACGAAACTGAAGACGGTCTCAAATGGTATCATGAGTTGTTTCCTTCGATCAAAGACTTGGACGCAGATTGGAAGCCTGTTGGAGAAGCGCTTTACAAGAATTTCATACCGTTTGCTCCTGTTTTGCCTGTTGCTATGTCAGTTCCCAAAAGAAAGATGCCACGTACAGAGGCACTTCTCTCATATCTCTCCGGGATAAATCAAGAGATTGAGCATATTCCAGTCAAGGTTACATGGTATGAAGTCAGCGAAGCCTACTTTTGTACTAATGGCGTTTCCTGGTCACTCGAGAAGACGCTGCTGGGAATCGGATTCCACCTCCTCACACACACGCCGCTAAAAGTTCACGAGAGTTTCATAGAGGCAGAACGTAACCAAGACGTGAGCCCAGAACAAGTTTGGAAGTTCCTCCGCAACAGCAGGGAGATTAAAGGTAATTTACCCAAGAATGTCGAAGCAACTTCTCTTCATGACGCCAGAACTGTCCATGAACTCACTTCCTACTGTGCTCAAGACGACAAATTCGCGGAAAATCTTGAGGAAATTCCTTTGCTTCTTACACAGGATGGCATACTTCGTTGCTTCCATCGCAAACCTATAGTTTTCTGCAGCAGATTTAGTCAGCTTTTGCCCTCCAAACCCGAGCTTTTTCTACACCATCGGCTTCTAAATATTTTCGCGGGCAACCTTGATAAGTGTTCAAATGTTATGCAAAAATTTTGTTTATCAGATCTTGCCAAATTTCAATCAATCCTTTTCCCGACAAGTTGGATGAACACCGCTTCCCATCAACCATGGAACTCAAACGGGCAGGATGAACCATTTCCATCACAAGAATGGCTCAAATTAATCTGGGAGTTCATTGACAACGTCTCGGCAAGCGTGGGAAGTAATGACGAAGCCGAAGAAGATAACACGAGTAATGCCCTTCAAGATATCTCAAGTTGGCATATAATCCCCACAACTCAAAACTACCTTGTTCCAGTCTCCATGGGTAAAACAGTTCTCAATGTTAGCACGCCTCTTAATAGCGATTCACCTCATGACAAAGCCATTCGCGAGCTCTTAGTAAAGCTAGACTGTCCACAATTGAACCATACCATTTTGATATCTACGTATTCGCGTTTTTCCCCAACAGGGGGAGCTACAGGTGTACGCAAACACTATCTTGCAAAGATTCAGTCGACGAAGGATGTCCTGGGTCTCTTACACGAAGCTTTAAATTCCAACACGAGAGGTCGAGCTACACTCACAATTCGTGAAATTGAACGACTCCTGACTTTTCTGCAAGGGGATTTTTCCTGCCTGTCACTCCCTGTCTTGCGGAGTCTCCCATTTTACCAAACCATCGATGGCACTTATACACGGCTTTCTACAGACAATACAGTTTACGAGGTGGCAGCCGGTGTTCCTGGGGATGGCCTCCATGTACTTTCCGAAGTAACGAACAGTATCTTCTTACACCAGAATCCTAAACTCGCAGACCTTTACCAGTATATCGGAATCAAACCAGCTTCATCTATTGAGTTCTACATAAATATAGTTCTAAAGTACTTCGATCGTTTAACACCCGAAGGAAGAGTAAACCATTTAAAATTCGTAAGAGATTACCTCTTGCATGAGCATTACGAAGGTTATAGAGTTTTGCTACCGGTTATGGAGCAGTTATCATTTATTCCGGATCGTTCAGGGGCACTTCTTCAAGCGAGAGAGTTTTATAACCCAGATAATACAGTTTTCAAGAAGTTTGTGCCAGACGAAAAGTTTCCACCTTCGCCGTTTGACTCTGTAGAATGGAGAGATTTTCTAAAGAAAGTTGGTCTTCAATGCGCAGTCACCAAAAACCATTTCTTGCAGTATGCCAAACAACTGGAAGAAGAGGCTCGCAATCGTCTAAATTTGACTTCAGACAAGGTGGAAGAAATCTTGAAAAAGTCGGACGTTCTGGTTTCTCATTTATTTGACAACAACAGTTTGCACACTCCTTCACTCCTTTCCCAAATTTCAGAAATCTGTTTTGTCCCTGCGGCAAAGGTGAACAAGTTGTTTCTTGATATCCATCACTCGCATACACAATCAATTCTAACGTGTTTTAACGACTCCGTGATTGAAAAGCACTCAGCTCTTGTGTGGTCGAGTGCATCTTTGATAGCAAGTTCAGCATTCCCGTACAGAAGGAACAATTTGGTTAAAATGCTCGGACTACGTACCAGTCCTCCGCACGAAGTTGTAATTTCCCATGCCATAAACATTTCTGCAAAGTCTGACGTTCCCACACGATTGCAAGCAACTTTTTCTAGTGTTATGACCACGATATACAGCTACTTAAGAGAATCTTGCCATTTGACGTCTGGTCCACCTGTTGCAAATTGTTCACAGGAATGTCGAACGACAAGGCTTGTCCTTCGCGATATTCCCGTGATATTAGTCGACCAACAAAGATTCGTGCGGGGCAGCCAACTAGCATTCAGTGGTGTACTGGATAGTTTGAATCCATACATGTTCAATATTCCTCGTCCACTTCAACAATTCGAGCACTTCTTAAAATGCCTTGGCGCTCAAGAATATCCAACACCACTTCAATGTTCATCCATTCTAGCAACCATTAAAGGAAGTTGTGGAGACAACCAAATGACTACAGAAGAGAAAACTGCAGCCGTCGACGCAACAAAATGTTTGTTTAAACGTTTAAGCGAGGATAAGCGAAACCCTCCAATAAATAGAGGTTTAGATTTGAATCTTTCTCAATCTTTGCGGGATGTCCCTACACTATATCTTCCGACTGTAGGTGATGTTTTGAAGTCATCTCGCGAGGTTTTTGTTAATGACATCGCGGAAAGGAAAGAACGTTTAAGAGAATTTCGGAACAAGCTACTTGTTGATCTAACCATGAAGGATGAAGACCCTCCTGCGAGACTGGTGAAACTGTTGCCGAAAAACTTGAGGGTTCAAATATTAAGTTCTATACTAACGGAAGAGCTGAGTCCAGATTGTCAACCCTGTATTCTTGACGCTGCAAACCGTTGTGATGTCGTCAAACCATATCGAGTGATGATGTGTTCTTCAGAGTTCAGCAAAGCATTATGTCGCGTGTACAAGCGCCAAGAAGAAATTGATAGAATTCCACAAGAAGTAGAAAACGATCTTAGACGTCTTGAGAAAGGCGTTAAAATAAAATGCATGAGGACCATAAAAGCTCGGCTTGTTCGGAAGGAGACTGGGGAGACAGTTCCCGGCAGTGAATCAGACGACGTTTTTACCTTCTGCCAGAAAAGTTCTGCTGGATTTTCTATCCTAATTAAACATGACGGAGAGGCTAATTCTGCATTGTTGCACGAGAGGTTAAGCTCCTTTATTTCGATGATAACTGGGCAACATATTAAGGAAGCTCAGTGGCGTTATCTCATGATAATCCTTGGCTTCAGATATCCTGAAGAAATACCCGCGATAATTGATAGAATTGGAATACCTCGAATAGATGGGCCGCCAGATGGACCAGTAGGTCAAATAGTTGAACCAGAGAGTGCTGAAGAAGCTAAACGTTGGTTGAGGCAAGCGCAGGAAGATTTGGATACAGCAAGGTCCCTACACCAAACCCAACATTACTCTTCTTCTTGCTTCCATGGCCAACAAGCTACTGAGAAAGCTTTAAAAGCCCTCATGTTTGCCAAAGGTCGTCTTAAAAGCAGCGACTTAGAAAAACACGACGTGATGGGTTTAGCATATCGAGCGTCTGAAATAGATCCACGTCTTCACTCCATTCCGACATTGGTTACCTGCATACAGGGATATTACATCAAGACCCGCTACCCCGATTATCAAAGAGGTTTTCCTCAACGCTCCATTCCAGCAGACAAGTATACACAAGATGAAGCGAATCATGCGGTTTTAAAGGCTGGTGAAGTTTTACTTCTTATCCGTGAAGTCGTGAATTAGGCTATATACGAATTGATTCGTATAAATACGCGAGGTATATTGCTTATTTCATAAGAAACATTTTGTTTGCGATGAAAGTAGAATGAGTGATTAATTGTGACCTGGATTATTATTTTAAATAATTCAAATTGTGAATGAGTCGAGAGTTTTCAGTCGGATTAACCATGCATTATACTCGGTGTATGTAAATATACAACGTAACGTTTTCCCTGCATGGTATATTTTTCATTTCCCTAATGTAACGTTTTCCCTGGTATAAAAAACTACCCATTGGTCTATCTCATTTCTCTTCTATATCGATGACTCAATGTAACCACGTAATTAGCAGTATTACAGAGTCAATATTTTATATGTTATTTACACATAAGTTTCAAGTTTTTTAACCGAGTTGATGCTCCGTTCCGACTAAAAATCTCCCGTATTCATATCGCAAACATATATCGTCATATTTTTGCATGTTTAGATTTTCCGGCTATAGCTTTGCTTTTTAATTTCATATATTCATTTTGTAACAGCTAGCTTACTTTATATAGTACTATGACATTTGCCATTTCCCAGATCGTTTATGAATTATGAATACCTATGAATATGCATGATAACCAAATTTCTCAACTAATTTTATATACTGAAATCTTGATTTAACTTGACTCGGAAGAAGAGGTTATATAGGAATATATTGAGTAATCGACGTGTAATTCAATTTAGAATAACTATTACCTGTAAAACCAGTGACATTTCTTTCAAACTATTTTTTTAATTATATTCTTCAAAGGAGTTGGATGATTTGAGCCTCTTGTAGGCCACTTAGTTTAAAATTGCATAATTTTGGCTATTTCTGTTTTGTTATTGTAGTGCTATAGTATATATGACTTTGATATTGATAAACACGAGATTTGTAGCTATATAGTTGAACAAGACGAGAACCAACACTCTGTCTTTGGAAATCAATATTGTTTTGTAATTAAAGATTTGTTTTGTAATTAAACGGCACTAGAATTTTTTAAGAATGGTTTCCGTTGTTTTATATTACACAAATATCAATGACCTAGAGGCTTGAACTTTGAAATTTGTGTTGAACCAAAAACTGTTCACAATATCGGATGTATTGTTTTTGTGTTCAATGTTAACTGTCTATCCACGTTCATCAAGAAAGATCTCGAGTTCTTACTCTTTCATGCGCTAATTTCTTTACCTGGCCTAAATTTCTTCATCACTAGGCACTGGTTTCAAATTACCCCCAAAAGTAGGCTATTGGGATCTCGTTATCTCGTCAATATTGAGCAGCGTGTGGAATACAAACCAAGAACATTTATTTTCAGCGCGTACACCGTACATAACATGATTTCGCGCAACAAAAACATATTCACCAAGAGGACATATTTTATAACTAAACAGTGGTGGATTTAGGCTAATATAATTAAGTCAGAACTGAAATTACACGGCCCTTCATTAATGTTCTTAGGAAAGGGTTTGTGACATTAAAAATTTGTCGTGTTGTTTCTCAATGCCACTTTCCCCGCTTCTAATTTGTGAGTTTTACCCTATATTACCCATAGTGCATCCTGATTAAAGATGGCGTCGCTATCGACGTATAAGTTAATCTTAAATTTATCAAATTTATCAAGCTCGTTAGATGATTAGATTCTGAGCCTAATGTAAGGTAATTGTTATACCGTATTTGACGTGAAGTTGTTTGAAGACGCTGCCACGTTGATCCCTGGTTTTATGGCTGGATATAGTTTACGCTATTTTGTGTGAATAAAATAAGGTTGTGGAATGCTACCCTAACTCAAACGACAAATTTTAATACCTTCTCATACATCACGTTTCTTCAGCGCACGAGAAATTGTGCTGAGGTAGGGCTTTTCCGCGCAGGCGCAGTGCAGGAAACCATTTGCGAACAGGCATTCACTTCATTGCGGTTGCCAAGTTAGTATCCATTTGCCTTGAAATGCCATAGTCGGAAAATGCCTGTAAAAGGTAAGAAATTTTAAAATTATTTTGGCGACTTAAGGAATTAACTATTTAGTTTCACTACGAACAATACAGTGTATATAGTCTATATATAGTATTAGTAATATAGGCGGATTGCAAATCATGAAGGAAGCGTGCAATTCGCTTCCTGGAATGGACTTTTGTTCTACTAGTTAAAATGTATCAATTACAAATTCAATTCCAATAAACAGCAGTTGTTTCTAGGAATTTACGATCGGAAAAACATGGATTTACAGCGAAACAAGCTAAATTTTCCTATAACTACAAAACGAAAGTACGGCGGTTCACAGCGACATGTCGTTACGGCTGATTGCCTTCTATAAATCAAGGATGCGGTTATATAAACATTGCATGTGTTTTTGTATCACCGAGTGAACAGATCGGGAGAATTTTTTAATATTAATCGCTTTAAAGATCTTAAACTCTTATATTTTGGCTGTTGTCGTTCGCTCGAGTTTCGTTTCGTGCGTTTTCCCAGAACGATTGGTTCCTGGAAGAGCGAAGCGTTTCACCGGATGTGTATAATACTGTAGTTAAACGCTTTCGTTATGTGTTGTACCACAGTGGCTGCATGTACATATACGAGTCTTTCCAAATTAAATCTTTAATCGACCAAGAGTGATTGTTTCCGATTATAAAAATTGCGAGTTATATAGTGTACCATATAGAGTGGGGTTGTTTTAAAATTTACCTTATTTTAGCTATATTTTACACTAGATTTTGTCTGCGTATACGACTTTTCTAAAAAAATACACAACTGTCTCGTATATAAATGCGGCAATAATAACATTATTAGCTGTATAGATACAGCCTTTTACAGGTTATATTATACATAAGATATAGAATGATAAAATAACACCATATCATATGATATAGAGATTTGAAAAATTGTCAGAAAAAAGTGCAGTTTTATAGTCCACTCGGTATACATAATAGTTGACTTTGGAGACAGTAAAATAATCAGAATTAAAAATATTTACACTAACGGCAACGCATTAATCGATCCACCTGCATTATAAAACCAGTAAATTCAATTGATCTAAGAAAGAAGTAACAAAAGCTGAAATGAGCACATAAAAATTGATAAACTGACGCGGAAGTTTGTTTGCGAAATGTTGTAAAATGCTGAAGGTACGGGTCTGGAAAAGATTGCTGCGTAATTGTTACCACATCAGTCATTGATTCGACAGAGAAGTTTTCAAATTATCGCCGAAAATTATGCTATGAACATGCAGTAGTCACCTTTTATGTTGTTATAGCCAATATGTCATGATTTTTGTTTTTAGCATTAAAGCACTAACAAGCGGAATATATTACTTAATGTGTTTGCTTTTTCTCCAATACACGCGCGATTGCAGCAGATGCAACTAATATTACGCGCTTATCACTGTCAAAATTCTGTGTTTAGGAAGGTCGTTTGGCCAAGAACGGCCACCATTAACAGACCTTCTGAAGAATATTTTGTTGAGATACCCTGATGGTGGACAGATTTTAAAAGTACGTTTTTTGTCAAGATAAATTTGTACGAAATAGATCTGTTCATAATTATCGTAATTTGTGAATATGCGACTTGCTGGTAAGGTATCTAAAGGTCTGTTCACACGATCCAATTTTGTTGGATCCAATTCACTTCTGATGGATGTTTTAAAGTCTGTTGTCTTGTAATGTATACGAGCAGCAAATCCACTGAAGCCAATGCAGTACTGCTTTATCAAAACCGAATATATTTCATACGTCAAAAAAATTGGATCGTGTAAACAGACCTTAATTAAACTTTGGCGTTATTCATCAAAGGAATGAAAATAAACAGTTAAGCCATGGCAAATTAAAGGCTCTGTTACACTATGAGACTTTCCTTTCAACTTGCAATGCAATTATAATTTTGAGTGATGTTAATTTGTAAAGAGTGTTCAAAATGCTCAGAAAACGCTATCGGTTGTAAGAAATGTTCGTTTTTGTCAACTTTATAGATGTCTCAGGAGTAGAATTGCATTGCAAATGTTAATGGTGGAAGGTGGCATAGTGTAACACCGCCTTAAGGGCCTCGAACGCATTTGTATAACTAGGCCGAAACACTATTGTGTGATAAATACACAGTGACAAACGGCTGAGTTATGGGATGCTGGACAATCTCGTGCAATTGCTTTGTTAAAATGAGTGTTTGCTATAAGCCTACAAATATATTCAGATACGATAGTCAATCAATGGTTTTCAAATACGGATAATACAGTAGCATTCTAGGCGTTTCAGGAAACCAGAGGAAAATAAATAATGTGTCATTGCTACTGCCAGTGTCATTCGCATGTCCTGAAACCATAAATCCTAATTTTCTCCTTCGAAATATTAATATTACATTCCTCTATGAATGACTACTGATTTGAATACAAGTATATACCATGGTTGTATCATTAATACCAAGTTACGTTGAATCACTTACATGTCGTTAATCCTAAATACACGACTTTAATCTTTGGGATTAGGTTTGGATTAGAGTTAGATCTGAGATTAGAGTTGACCCTTATCAACGATAAACCCTAATCTCAAGGATTAAATTCTTTATTTCGGATTTACAGAACATGCAATTAGTACATGCATGTCCTTCTTCACTTAACGTTCAACGTCGTAATTGATTCCATTAGGAACTAATTCAAAATGCGGACGACGCTGGTGCAAATGAAGTCAAGTTCTTATTTGATGCAACTTCATATGGAACCGACTCTCTGGTCTCCCCGGGGTTGGCCTTATTCCAAGGGCCGGCCCTTTACTGCTACAACAACGGCGAGTTCACAGATGAAGACTGGGATGGACTGCAGCGGCTTATGAGAAGTAACAAAGCAAATAACCCCTTGAAGGTTGGCCGCTTTGGTATTGGATTCAATTCTGTGTATCACATCACAGGTATAATGGTGGTTTAACAGTTTGTAGAGTGTTTTAGTTTGACGTTTTTTCTTCAACAGCGAGCCGCTAACCGCGGCTTGACGTTGAAATTTTGCCGTTTGACGTTTGCGTTCACGTTTTCAACAGCGCTGGAGGTGTATTCTCACGACTCACGTAGCTCATTTACCTCAGCGAATTGTCATTGCAATAGTGTTTCGTTTCACGAATAAGCATTGCTAGTAGACTTATTGGATATCGAATTTTCTTTGTGGTAATTTTTCAGCTTGTTTTCAATGAGTTTTCTTTAAAAAAGCGGCTACTTGACTGTATCTGAAGAGGACTTTGTAACAAAGTCAAAAATCAGCACTCAAATGTTTGCCATTTTGTCTACATCTTTACTTTCAAGATGGCTTTATTCTTTTCAATTTATTTCCTATATGTCGTGTAATTTGACATAAACGTGAATACGAGTTTTAAGGCAAGCTACGTGTGCGAAAGCATTGCATTAGCTTAATTCTTTGCGTGAAAAGGTATGACCTGTGCTATGTTCCCACTTCTTTCTTCAGATCTTCCAAGTATTGTGAGTGGAAACACAGTGGCTTTCCTCGATCCACACGAGAAATATTTTGTTCGTGGTGAACCAGGCCAAGCGTTTTCTACACAAGAACCTTTACTGGCTGAACATTTGAATCAATTCGAGCCGTTCCACCACATCTTCGACTGCAACCTTGACCAAGGGAACTATTATCACGGAACACTCTTTCGATTTCCATTACGGACTGAACCATCGGCATTGTCGAAAAAGATATACACGAGGGAAATGGTCAACACTCTTTTCGATTCTTTTAAGAACGAAGCCAGTGCGATTCTTCTATTTTTGAAAAACGTCGACTCGATCAGTTTGTACGAGAGGGAAGCACGCGGTGAAATTGTTCATCTTTATACAGCCAAAGTTTCCGAACAGTCAAAGATTGAGGTCAGAAAGAAAAGACAAGAATTAATCCAGGATATCACGGTGGAGTGGGATTTTGCCGTGAAAACAACCTTTTATCGCTTGGAGATTGTGAATGAGAGTCCGGGGGAAATTACAGAAAAGAATGAATGGTTCTTAGCGAATCAAGTTGGGACTAATGAAAATGAGCTGATAGAGCTGGCCAGAGATCTAAAGTTGTTACCCTGGATCGGCATCGCGTTTCCTCTTGATGCGAACAACAACATGTCTTCACTTGGAAGGATATTCTGTTTCCTTCCACTCCCTCCTGATGGCGACTGTCGTACTGGACTGCCGGTGCAAGTGAATGGTTACTTTGGACTAACAGACAATAGACGAGCTTTAAAATGGCCTGGTCCTGATTGCCAGAATGATGACACAGCTCGGTGGAATGAACTTCTTCTGCGTAAGGTGGGCAGTCAAGTTTACGCCAACCTAATCTTACAAATGGCAGGAGGGAGTCCCGGCAATGTCCCGCCGAAGATACTTGCCGAGTTGGTATACAGTGCTCTGCCAATTCTCAGCGGTGTCAGACGTGACTGGAAATGTATCATAGAACCTTTTCTCAGAACAGTTTTGGCAAGAGAGATATTCTTGACTGCTCCTGGAGGAATTTGTCGTTGGGTCAACCTTGGAACTGCAATTATTGATCGCTTGCACGAATCCAAAGATATGAGAGAGGAAATTAAGCAAGTTGTTCTAAAGACGTTGTTGGGAGCTGGCCAGCCAATTGTTTCACTACCAGGACACGTTATACAAATTATCGATCAATATCATCAGATGTCAGGTTGGAGAAACGTTCAACAAGTTACCCCTGAACTCTTGTGTAACGTTTTGCGATTAAATTTCGATTTTCACAGCCTTGGCATGCCGTTCGAAGACAGATTGCTCGTGTTGGAATACGCTCTGCAGACAGTTCCTAGCAAAAGCCACAGTCTTCACGGAGTCCCTCTTCTGCCGTTAGAGAATCGTCAGTTTATAAAGTTCTCCAATCCATCTAATGAGAAGGTTTTTATCCCGTCCGAGAAACACAGTGTTGAGCTTTTACCTAATATGAAGCATCGTTTTCTATTTCGTCACCTTTCTTTGCAACTACAGCAGAAGCTGCATGCGCTTGGCTTTTCAGGAGCAACACAATTACACCACCCCACGGCTGCTGATATCAAGCCATTACTCTGGGAAAACCTTCCCAGTGATTGGTCCTGCAATTATCTTCCACAGCTGGAGACCGTAGCGTGGAATCAAGAGGCGGAACGTCATCCTTCTTTAGCCTGGCTAGAATTGGTGTGGAAATGGATTAACGAAAACTATCCAAGCAGGTTGGGTGACTTTAATGGAATGCCACTGATCCCTGTATCGACAAAATCCCCTTCCTCCATGGCTCGACTTCGCCAGAACTCCACTGTCATTGTCAGCAAACACCCAATGTGCAATGAAAAACTTTCTAACGCCGTTCGTGAACTTCTGAAAAGATCAGGTTGTGTTGTGGTCGAAGAGCTACCCGCCTTTGTAAAGCATGACCAACTCCTTCACTATATTGCTCTGCCAAATCCTTCTGGTGTTCTTAGCGTTCTTTACGTTTCAAGAGGAAAATTTGTTCAACAACTGTCGGTTTCATCACAGGAAGTGAAATGCGAACTCTGTCACATCCTGTCAAGGCTAGATCTCATTGATTCGAATAAGAAATCGTTTATTCGTACGTTGCCAATCTTTGAAGCAGTCAACGGACGGTATATGCTATCCTGTCAAACGGAACAAGGTGAAAAGAGGCTTGTTGCTCCACGGAATTATTCATTACCCGAAGATATCCGAATTGTTGATCGAACTAAGATCCTATCCTCTACAAAAAACGAAAGCCATCGCCTGCTGGAGAAACTCGGAATGGTAATGGAGAGCACCGCAAGCTTGATCATGATTTACTTGAAAAGTTTCTTAAACTCGGGGATCGCAGATGTCGAAAAGGACAAGCTCGTGCTTTGGATTTTGGAAAAAATTGAGATCTTGAATCAGGAAGTGCCTAATTTTGTTGTGTTCATCAGTCAATTGGCTTGTATTCCGACCGCTAGCGGCAAACGTGTCGCCCCAAATCAACTGTTTGATCCTTCTGACAGACTTCTGACGCGGTTACTTCAAGACAACAACGAGGCATTTCCAACAAGTCAGTTTTCAGCGCCAATATTAAAACGAAAACACGAGTTGCAAGTTCGACGCATAGAGAACCTAACAGCTCAAGATGTTTTAATGGTTGTAAACCGATTGACAGGCAAGATAACTTCAGGCGTAAATTCAGACAGAGGTATGGCTGTTTTGGAGCTTTTGAACCAGCGACCACAGTTACTTCAAGGGTACACTTTGAATGGAAGGCCGTTGAATGTTGACCTGCGTGAGTTGCCATGGTTACCAAGAATGTGTGATCGTCCGACCAACTATCCCGAATTAATGCCGTGGTATGATGGAGTGAACATATGTCAACCAAGAAGCATGCGTCCTAATTCGCTGGCAATCTTAGTTGGTGCGACAGTTCCCGTTTTTGATCAAAGATGGATTTCACATAACGTTCAAGGTATGTAAACCAATTTACGACGAATTATACATCTTAAAGGATTAAGGATTGCTCATGTATTATTGAGTATTTTGACATTCTCGTGTTGTAAACTAGTCGCAACTGTGTACATACTATCGTTTAGAAAAACAAATTTAATTTCTCATCATTCAACATTCTTGTCCACTGACTTCATTATCGAATTTACTAATATCTATCAAACTAATAATTTTTTATTCAAGAGTATAGTGCATGCACATTGGATATTGAAAAAAATTGATGTAATTATTGCATTTTAAAGGGAGCCCTATTTAGACCTTTCCTATCTCTTAAAGTTTAAATCTTATATAGTGTTTATGTCATTAGGCATTTATGCTATCTATATGATTATGGCATTTATGTCTTTTTTAGTATCACTTTGTATGTCTGCGGATCAAATCCAGCTACATGAAGTCGCTAAACAGTTACACTTGGCCATTGTCTCCTGGACAAACCAGATAACAACAACACCGTTATCCCTTGCAAAGTTTGAAGAAATGGTCAAGGCGATATACATTTATCTTTCCACAGCGCCCCGAAATTCTGTGCTGCATTTGTTACAATCCAAAGGTTTAACTCAGTGGGTTTGGCATGGAAATGGCTTTACATCACCCGAGAAAGTTGCTTTAGAATCACCTTTTCCGAGCAGCATTAATCTTCATCCATATTTGTTCCGTCTTCCAAACGACCTGTTTAAAGTGAAGAACTTTCTGGTTTCCCTCGGAGTAAAGCCGCAGTTTTTAGTTGATGATCTGCTGGTTATGCTGTCAATCATAAAGGAAAAGCATGATAATGAAGACGGGCCACGTGAAGATGCGATGCAAGACTTAGGTCAATGTCGTGCAGTGTTGGAGTGGATTGTTAGAAGCTGTGGTCAACTATCTGATGAACGCCGCTCAAATCTTCTTATTCCTGTCCATACAGCCTCTGGAAAGCTGCAACTCGAGCCGTGTAACAAGTGCACTTACTGTGATCGTGAATTCCTAAGACGAGGTGCCTCTGTATTTGAAGTCTCCACGAATTCCCATTTAATTCATAAAGCAATTCCTGATGATTTGGCTGGTCGTCTTCGCGTACCACGTCTCTCGAACTGCCTCGCAGGAGCCAAAGCACTTGGTATCAAATTCAAAGAAGCTGGTCAGTACGAGCCGCTGACCACGAGATTACGTAACATTCTTCAGCAGTACAAAGAAGGTGTAGCAATTTTCAAAGAAATCATTCAAAACGCAGATGACGCACGTGCTTCTAAAGTGTGCTTCGTCATTGACTGGAGGGAGAATCCGCGAGAACGCTTGCTTACTGAAGAACTAGCTAAGTGCCAGGGCCCTGCACTTTGGGCGTACAACGACGCCATGTTCTCTGAGGCAGATTTCGAAAATATCAACAAGCTGGCTGGCGAGACGAAGAAGGAAGATTTGGAAAAGGTTGGACGTTTTGGTCTTGGCTTCAACTCCGTCTACCATCTTACTGACGTTCCGAGCTTTCTAAGTGGCGAACACGTTGTTGTTTTTGATCCGAATATGACTCACATCTCTAAATTGATCGACGGAAAGATGAGAGGAGGCGGGTTTATGTTAAGCTTGGTGGAGAGCAAGCTGGCCTTGTCTGCATTTCCTGATCAATTCATGCCTTACCATCAAATGTTTGGCTGCGACATGAGCGGAACGGGACCTTTTCACTTTGATGGGACATTGTTTCGACTTCCTTTCCGTACAACTGAACAAGCGCGGGAAAGTGAAATATCAAAAGACCCTTACACGCGAGAGAACGTCAACAATCTTATCAAGTCGTTGAAAGAAAGTGCGTCTACTCTGTTGCTTTTTACCCAGAATGTTAAGGAGGTTCGGGTGTTTGAAATTCCGAAGAATTCTAACCCAAAGAAATGCTTAGGACGACCCTTGATTACTGTAACAAAAACCGTCATGAACATCTTGGATACTAATGAAGCTGATAATCACGGTAAAGGAACGATCTTGGAGAATTCATCGACTTGGTTGAGAAATAACCGCAGTTCAGGGATTTTTGTTGCAACGGAAGGACCGCGCCGTACTGAACAGTTAAAAATGAACGTATCTATGGTAAAATCAGGACTTAGCGAATCATCAGAAGTTGTTCAATCCGAGGATACCTGGCTTGTTAATTCCTGTACTGGTGTGAGATCTTCTCTTCAGGTTGCGCGGAGTGATAAAGGAAGAGAGAACGCCGTTGTGCCCGTAACTGGAATAGCTGCCAAGATGACGCACTCAAACATACATGGAGTGAGAATATCCGCCGTTGCAGGTGAAGTGTTTTGCTTCATGCCACTTTCTATCGAGTCTGGGTTCCCTGTGCACGTGAACGGCTCTTTTTCGGTCTACTCGAATCGTCGTCGTCTGTGGGAAGAAGGCGTGGGGGAACATCGAGCGTTGAAACCATTTGAAGCGAAGTGGAACGAAGCATTGATGGAAGATTCCTTAGCTCAAGCATACCTGCAGCTGCTTCGAAAAATTACGACCTGGAATGCTAAGCAGTACGAGTTTCATAGCCTTTGGCCCAACCCCACAAAGGTAAACTATCCCAAAGCGTGGAAGCCTTTTATCTCTTCATTTTTTAACAAGATCATCGATGAAGAATGGCCGCTGTTCTATTGCAACGGAAAATGGAGACGGCTTCATGACTGCCTTATCCTTGATCCAAAGCTTGGCAAAGTTGCGGAATGCGTCGCCATTATGAACCTGCTCGATGAAAATGTCCTGTCGCTTCCTAAACACTACACGGATGCCTTCGTCTCTAGTGGTAAAGAAGCCTTCATCAAAGTTCACATGCTGACCGAAGACAGATTCTTAAGAGAGTTTTTCTTTCCCAACATATCACAGATACCAAATCAAAATCGAAACTCAGTTCTTGTCCACATCCTCGATCGTCGACTGAGCAAACATCGAAATTATGACGACCTTTTACGTAACTACCCGAGTTTCAGCTGCTCTAAGGATGGAACGTTGCTGCGCAAACCCAATGAACTGGTCCATCCGAAGGGAAAGGCGGCTAGTTTGTTTTCCGAAGAAGAGAAGAGATTCCCTTTAGACGATCGCTTCTTGACAAAGGAACGAGCAATGATGTTGGAAGAGTTAGGAATGGCAGTTGATTCCCTTCCGTGGTGTACTTTGTGCGAGCGAGCTGAGTGGATTTCCAATCATTGCGATGTTGTAAGAGGAAAAATGCTTATTCAATACCTGAATCAAATGCCTCCGAAAGAGGAAATAACAAGTGAAGAAAAGAAACGCTTGCGTGCAACTCAATTCCTTCCAGTTCTGTCCAAACCCAAAGACTACCCATTTTCCTGGAAGTCCGAGAATATCCGTGGGATGCAGTTAGCTGCCGCAGACTATCTCTACTCTGAACGCCATAAAAACCTTGTTGGTTCCACCCAACTTATCTTGGATGAGTCATCTGATCACTCATGCGTGCCTAACAGAAACCTCAAAGTCATCCTTGGGTTTATCTCAAAGCAACCAGAGTTACCCGATGTTATTGCGCAACTCGACCAAGTCATCCAACTCCCCCAACTGCTCACAAGAGAAAAGAAGGAAACGATGTGCTCCACAATTTATGAGTATTTGCAGAGGGTTGTAACTTCTGAACAGTTCACGTCACAACAGTCGTATCTTCGCGAGCAATTGGATTTGCGACCATGGATGCTCGTTAGAAATCAAATGGTCCATCCAAAATTCGTTGCAAAAAATTGGAACAAAGAAGATACATCGCCATATTTGTTTCCTCTTCCTCCAGGATACAGCACGAAGTTCAAACGACTCATCCACTGGTGTGGAATAAAAGAAAACTTCTCCATTGTGGATTTGATTGAAGCAATTCGTAGAATACGAGAAGACACTGGCCGCCGAAAGCTGATAGAAAAACAAATTAGCACCATTATTGTTCTCCTTGAAGAAGTGTTCAAGCTATCCAATACAAGGTTAGAAATTCCTTTGCCTCTCCCAAGTTCGGACTGTCTGTTGTATGACGGAAATGAGCTCGTGATTAACTATACGCCATGGCTAGAGACGGATGGTTCCAATAAACTTGTTCATGAGAAGATTCCTCCAATGCTGGCTCACAAATGTGGTGCAAAGCAACTCAGAAAAGCAGATTTACTGCGTTGCTCTCAGCCTATCGGTAAACCCTTTGGACAGCATGAAGAATTGACTGATCGTTTGAAGAATATTCTTGCAGCTTATCCACCCGACGAAGGAATATTGAAGGAACTTCTGCAAAACGCAGACGATGCTAAAGCCAGCGAAGTTCATTTTATATTTGACCCTCGAAAGCACGGTACTAAACACGTCTTCTCTGATTCTTGGAACGAGCTTCAAGGCCCAGCCATCTGCGTCTATAACGATAAACCATTCTCCAAAGAAGATATTGAAGGTATCCAGAAGCTTGGTATTGGAAGCAAGGTGGACGATCCCATGAAAACAGGACAGTATGGCATTGGATTTAATGCAGTTTACCATCTTACTGACTGTCCATCCTTCATTTCCAATGATGAGGTCATTTGTGTTTCTGACCCACACGCTGTGTTTGCCCCAGGCGCAGACGAAAGGAATCCTGGACGGTTGTTTAACGAGCTTGATGGGATGTTTCGACGTAACTACCAGGATGTTTTCGCCGGTTTTTTAGGTGATTTATTTCCACTTAAAGGAAGCACAATGTTCCGTTTTCCACTTCGTTCAAATTCCACACGCGCATCTAAGATTTCATCTACTCGTTGGTATGAGAGGAAAGTGAAAGAACTGTTTGATTTATTCCGCGCGTCTGCAAAGGACATGTTGCTGTTTCTCAATAACATCATCAAGATCTCTGTTTCCGTGATAAACGATGGTAAACTTGAGACGTATTCAGTGAAATGTGATGTATCTGACATGGGTAAACGAATAGAATTTTATGAAAAGATCAGAGCTTGCAGTAAAGTGCCGACTCGACAAATCGAATGGCAACAGATCCATTACGTTATAAAGGTATCAGATACGAATAACGTGAAGAAAGATTGGCTGATAACACAGAGCTTGGGAAGTGTTAACAAAGAAGGTGATGGGGATGTTCCAGATGGTACCAGAATGGGATTGTTACCACGTGCTGGAATTGCTATTCGGTTACCTTCAAATAAATCTCCATTCCGACATTCGATATTCTGCGTTCTTCCTCTTCCAGTTTCCACGAGGTTTCCTGTCCACATCAATGGCCACTTTGCTCTGGATTCGGCTCGCCGCGGCCTGTGGTATGATCCCAAATCCTCTGACGAACGAGATGTTTGGAATAATTTCATGAAGCGCCAAGTAATAGCTCCAGCCTATGCCAAGGCAATTCATTACGCCAAAGAACACATTCCTGGATATCAAGCCGAATCTGTCACTTCCGGCATGTTTTCCTCCAAGAAGGACACCGAGGATGGCCTCAAATGGTATCATCAGTTGTTTCCTTCCATTGAAGATCTTGATACCGCTTGGAAACCTGTTGGAGAAGCGCTTTACAGAAATTTCCTGCCGATACTTCCTGTTTTACCTGTGGCCATGTCAGTCCCTGAGAGCAAAAAGCCAGTTGACCCTTTAAATGGTTTGTTCTCGTATTTTTCTGTTACAAACGCAGACACTGACAAGTTTCCTGTTAACGTGACGTGGTTTAAAGTCACCGATGCCTACTTTTGCACATCCTCTGTCTCATGGTATCTCGAAAATTCGTTATTAAGTATAGGATTCCTCCTGCTTTCACACGCTCCGCGGCATATTCACGAAAGTTTCAAAGCTGTTAAATGCTACCAAGACGTTAGTCCAGATAAGGTATTCACATTTCTCAAGAACCACGCGGATATTAAAGCGAGTCTACCGAGAAGCGTCGAAGACACGATTCTCAAAGATGCAAACAATGTTATTCAACTTACTAGATATTGCTCCAAAGCCGAGGAATTTTACAATCATCTCGAGGGCTTTCCTTTGCTTCTCACACAAGATGACGGGCTTCGTTGCTTCGACCTTCATAACAAAGTTTTCTGCACCAAATTCAGTCAACTATTGCCCTCAAGACCTGATCTCTTCATGCACAATTCCCTTCGAGGAATGTATGAAAGCGAGATTAAGAAGTGCTCTAACGTTTTGTCAGAATTTTGCCTTTCGGATCTTGCCCAATTTCAAGCAAATCTTTTTCCACCATTCTGGATTAACTCTACTTCCCATCAACCGTGGAATCCGAACGAGAAAGAAGATTTATTCCCATCAAAAGAGTGGCTTATATTGCTCTGGCAATTCATTGATGATATATCCAGTAACATGAAAAATAAAAGCGATATCTTGAAGGATATTGTGAGTTGGCACATAATTCCCACTACACAAAACTGCCTCGCCCCAGTTTCCATGGGTAAAACAGTTCTCAATGTTAGCACATACCTCAACAGCGATTCACATCAAGATAAAGACATACGAGAGCTGGTTATGAAAATTGGCTGTCCACAGTTGAACCACACCATCTTGATATCTACGTTTTCAATTTTCGCAGGTTCTGGCGGAGCTACTGAAGTACGCAAGCACTACCTTGCAATGATCCAGTCAACGAAGGACGTCCTGGGGTTGCTGCATAACAACTTAAATCACAACAGAAGAGAGGTAGTGACACTTGAGAATCACGAAATTGAGCGGCTCATGATGTTTCTACAAACTGATCTTTCCAATCTCTCGTGCCCATTTCTACGAAATCTACCGTTTTACCAAACCATCGACAGCACATACACGCGACTTTCTACCTTTAATACAGTTTATGAAGTTCCGGCTGGGGTTCCTGGGGATGACCTTCAAGTTCTTTCCACGGTGACAAACAGCATCTTCTTACGCCATTGTCCCAAACTCGCCGACCTTTACAAGTATATTGGCATCGAACCAGCTTCCTCTGTGGAGTTCTACTTACGCATAGTTCTAAAGCACTTCAATCGGTTAACACCTGAAGGAAGGGAGAACCATTTGAAATATGTCAGAGATCACCTTTTAAATTACCAGCATGATGGCTATAACGCTGTCCTGGCTGTTATGGAGCAATTGCCATTTCTTCCCCATCCCTCAGGCGCACTGTATCCAGCAAGTGAGTTTTATAACCCGGATAATAAAATCTTCAAAACATTTGTCCAAAAAGAAGATTTTCCCCCGTCGCCGTTTGATTCTCATGAGTGGAAAGACTTTCTTAAAAAAGTTGGCCTCCAGTGCGTCGTTACCAGCGATCATTTCTTACGGTATGCACAACAACTGGAGCAAGAATCTCGCAATTCAACTCCGGATAGAGATAAGGAAATCTTGGAAAAGTCAAAAGTTTTGGTCACTCACCTATTTGACAACAAAAAATTACAAAAGCCTTCGTTTCTTTCGCAAATTTCAAAGATCAATTTTGTTCCTACAGCTAAGGTATTGAAGTTGTTTCGTGAGATCCATCCTTCGCATACAGGATCAATTCTCACGTGTTTTAATGGCTCTGTGGTTGAAACACATGCAACCCTTGTATGGTCATGCGCATCTTTGATAAGAAACTCGGCACTTCCATACCATGGAGGTAATCTGGTCAGAATGTTAGGAATACACACCACTCCTCCACACCAACTAGTGATCGCACACCTGAAAAACATCTCTGGTCGTTTCCCTGCAGCGAAGAAGAAAGAAGTTCCCGGGACATTGCAAACAACTCTTTCTGAAGTTATGACAAAAATATACAGCTATTTTGAAGGGTCTTGCGGCGTAAAATCTGGTCCACCTGGTGAAAGTTGTTCACAGAAATGTCATGAAACGACAGATGCACTTCGCAATGTTTCCGTGGTATTGGTCGACCGCCACACGTTTGTACGTGGCAACCAGCTTGCATTCGCGGGTTTTTGGGAGAGCATGAAGCCATACATGTTCAATGTTCCTCGAAATCTTCAAAACTGCGAGCACTTTCTAAAATGCCTTCGAGCTCAGGAACGTCCAACACAACTTCAATACTCGTCGTTACTCGAAGTGATCAAGAGAAGCTGTGAAGACAACCAAATGCATCCAGGAGAGATCACTGCAGCGGCTGGTGCGACGAAATGCTTGTTCATGCGTTTAAGCAAAGATGCCAAGCGCCTCCAAACACGTGGGCGTCCTGCCCCAGATGCAACCCAATCGCTGGCAAATGTTCGTAATCTTTATCTACCAACCGAAGACAATTATCTGAAGAGATCTTGCGAGGTTTTTGTCAACGACACTATGGAGAAGAAAGAACGTTTGAAAGATTATTGGAAGGAGCTGCTCATTGATTTAACCATGAAGGATCAAGAACCTCCTGCAAAACTGGTCGAATTTCTGCCAAGCCATTTGAAAGTTCAAAAGTTAAGTTCGAAACTTAATGAAGAATTGTGTCCAAGCTGCACCGAAAAGATTTGTATTCTTGATCAAGATTCAAACGAGAATTTTTGTCCTTTCATCAAACCATATCGCGACGTTATTTGTTCTCAGGATTTTAGCGAGGCGCTGGTGCGATTGTACAAGTTCCAAGAGGATAAAGTCAAGATTCCAGAAGAGGTGAGAAATGACCTAAAAAGCCTCGAAAATGGAGTCCAAATCTCATGCATGCAAACCATTGAAATACGGCTTGTCACAAAGGAAACTGCAGAACCAGTTCCTGACAGCATGTCGGAGGTTCCCACCTTTTGCGAAAAGAATTCTGATGGCTTTCGTATTCTAATCAAACATGGCGGGGATAGGAATACCAGTGTATTACATGAGAGAATTAGTTCGTTCATTGCAATGATCACTGGACAACATGTCAAGGAAGCTAACTGGCGTTTTCTAATGATGGTCCTCGATACCAAAGACCCTAGTGAAATATCAAGAACCCTGGATGATGCTCGCATACCACGGAGCATTAGCAGCCGTTCCAGAGAGCCAAATCCGGGCGAAGAAATCCCAGAGCACTTCCATTACCTTTTGAAAAACGATATAAATTACCATCTTCGAGAAGGTGAATTTGTCGGATATGAAGTAAGGGAAGAGGACGAAGAAAATGAAGCGGTGTATGTGTACGCCAAAATCATTGAACAAACAAGCCAAGGTTTGTTTTTAGTCATTTTGTTTGGTAACATATTTTAATAACCTCGGAAGTGTTTTGCTTTCTTTTACCGCTTCCGTAGGACTTGAAGAAATATGGCATTTAACGAGACTTTCGCTTTCCAGACTGCAAATTCAATTATTGGTTTTACCGGCTTGATTACAATTGTACACTCTAACGACAGTGCTGTCATTGTTATGGTCTTCACGAAAATCGTTGTTATGAAAATCACAGCAGACGATGCTGTTATGGATTAAGAACGAAGAACAAAATAAACTAGATTCATTATATTTATCACTTCCATATCATGAATTCATAGCACTGCGGTGAATACAATTGACTGTACAGTTGTAGACGATTTATTCTGTCAAACCTTTTTTGCAATGAAGCCAACTTTTTGTAATGACTTGTCGGAATATTTGGTATTGGTATGAATGAACCAAAGTATCTCGCATGTAATTTTACATATAGTTGATGTTACACATTTGAAATACAACAATTTAGCAATAACTCTTATTTTTATAAATTTGTATTCTTAATAAATTAGGCGATGGCACATTTGGATTCAGCAGCAAGTACAAAATCGATATTGGCGAGGACGGGCCAATTGAAGTTAACAAGTTAAAACTTTACAAGTTTGATCGTGAAGAAAGAAAAGTCGAAGGAGCAAAAACTTCGACGAGTGACGGGATGGATTTAGTGGCTTATTTAGGCCCAAGAACTGACAATTCTGCCCAAGATAACACACGTCGTGAACCCGCCACGCTTGAAGAGGCCAAGAGAGAGGTCGCTGAAGCACTGAAGGAAATTTGGGAGAGTGTTCCAGAATCAGAAAGATCTAGTGCTGTTAAACGCCTGATTCGACGTTGGCACCCCGACAAAAATCCTGATGATCGCAAGCAATTCGCTACAGAAGTAACACAATTCTTGCTCAACGAAGTTGATCGTTTAAACGCGGGCGGAGTTCCTGGCTATCATCCAGAAACCGACAATTCGAATCAAACTCCAAGACGACCAAGAGACTCATCCGGGCCTGGTTGCAACGGTCATAACTTCTGGAACTTTTACAATAGATACACAGGACGAACGAGAGACCAAGAACAACGACATCGCAGGTGGAGAGACCGCCAAGAGAGGGATGACGTGGATGAACCGGCCAATCAGAACGAAGGTGAAAGATGGATGCGACAATCTCAGAACGATCTCGAAGCAGCAGCCTACTTATTACAAGGCGGTTATTATTCTCTCACCTGTTTTCATTCCCAACAAGCCGTCGAAAAAGCTCTGAAGGCTCTCATGTTTGCGAAAGGTCGTCTTAAAAGGGGCGACTTAGAGGTTCACGAGGTACTCACATTAGCATATCGGGCGTCAGGAATAGATCCACGTCTTCGCACCATTCCGATTAAGGTGACGCGTATTCAAGGATATTACATCAAGACCCGCTATCCCCATTATCGAAGAGGTTTCTCTGAAAATTCAATTCCAGCTGAGAATTATACCTACGACGACGCTAATGATGCGATTTCACAGGCTACAGACGTTCGGCGGCTCATTCGGGAAGTCCTGAATTGAGAACTTATAATGCATGATTCTAGAACATTCGTCTCAGAAAACTAGGTTAATACTGGAGAGCTTATATTTTGGTTGGAATCTCGTGGGTTTCTCAAATTACAATACTCTTTTCTTTAAAGAAAAATTACGAATCAATTGAAAACAATTTTAGCGCGAAAAGTCCTTTTTTACTCGACAAAAAATACTTCAATATTCGTCCGTTATCCTTGCATTCGCCCTTTCACTGATATTCCGAAGTTACGTGAATGCAAGCAACCAATAATACTTGGAATGAAAGTGGAATGATTGAGAACGAGAATTTCAAATTTGAGATTGTGACAAAAGTGCTACAAAAGCAGCAAAACCGGATGCCATGGCGGGAATTTACACCTTTAGAAAATCGTACGAAGGCTTGTTTTCGACAATCAACATGACCACACAACGTTTCTTTCAAAGTTATTTCAAAGTTGACTCTGCCCGAGTTATTTCAAAGCAAAAAAAAACTACTGCGGTGAGGCGAGATTTGAAATGTAGCAATTACGCGAAAAGTTCGTTTAAAAGACTCATCTATTTTGGGCTGGATCTATGACCATTTAGAGTCAACCAATGCAAAAAAGCTAGACTAAAGGCCTCGATTATTTACTATAATACTATATAACTTCGCTCGTTCACCTCTTTCAATCCAAGTTTCAAATGTCGATTATACTTTGAAGTTTATCATTTCCGTGTTTTGTTTAGTTACTATTTTGTATAGTTGTTGTCTTTACTTGTAATTTAAGAGATGGCATTTATTGACATTTAGCCGCTCGTGGATACACTTATTTCATAATATATATTTGATGCCTGATTATGGACTCGGAACATTGAATCTTGAAACACACATTCGATAAAACTTTTGTTACGTTTTATACTCTGATTAAGTAATGTAATTCAACTAATAATTCATATTTTTTTAAAATACATATAGTCTTGCCTATTAAGATACCTGTAACAACAGTGGCATCTCTTTATTCATGTAATTGTACGGTGTATTTTAAAGTAAAAACTGATTAGAATTTCAAATTCACTATCACCACGTGTGGGAAACAATCGTTGCATATGATTAAGCTACAGAAGAATTTGACAACCAGACAGCTCGTCAAAAAGGACAAAGATCCGGTATTACATATAGCACAATCTCTGAAAGATTTGGGAGAGTTGAAGCCTCATAGAAATAACCGCAGCATAATGTTGGCAACGCGTTTTTTGTTATGCTTGGCGTTGATAGAGCTAGATAAATTACCGACAGTGCTAGGTTTACAGAATTACGAGGATGGTCCGTGTTTTTACGAACAAAGCAACGACGGTAAACTGTTTAAGATAGAAGGTGTCAAGGTAAGTTAAAAGTTAAAAATTAAGTACCCAAATAACCCAACACTATGTGTGCACTAGATAGATGTTGAAATACAGCTTTGAGCAGTAGCCCCATCCATAGATGCATGGTTAACTGTTTTGACGGTATTAAAGCTAAGAGCTAATTTCATGTTAATATAAGTTACCACTTACCAAACAAAGTTGTCTCAACTGGCCTTGTAAATTAGCGAAGAGATACTGTGATACTCTGTCGTTTCAAAGTTTGACACTAAAGTAAAAAAAGAATATGTACGCAATTACCCAAAGATATGTCACGATAGATAGGGGGCAAACTTTAGGAAACATTTTCTTCAATGTTTCGATGTTTGCTCAGCTGTAGAAACGCTGTTGCGGGAACAGAATTTGTTTCCGGGAGAACTCAAAAGTATTCAATGATTCCTAAGTGTGACTCAAGTTTCGGAAAAATTGTTTCCCTCTTGCCCAACTTTGAAATAATGGCGAAACATTGGACCGGAAACATTGCTTCCACTACCTGGGTTTTGTCTGAGTTTCAGTTAGAATATTCTTTATTAACAAGCTTAACTAGGAAATATATATTTCCTATACCCTCGTATAGAAACGAGTAGAAACGTTAAAAGCGTCAGGCTTTTCCCCCTCACACATCTCAAAATATTGAAATTTGCCAGTTACTGGGTAACAGATTGTCCCAAGCTAGCCGCTCGTTTTGCATCCCCAACATCCAGTATTTGACCCTATATACTCTCATGTATACCCACGTTTCCCGCAGGTTGGTTATCGCAGGGACCTTCATCTCGATGGCGATGAGAAAAAATACCGCGTAACAACAATAGCAATGAAACCGACCATCTTTGGTAAACGAATCAGTTGTGAATGTTGTATCATCATGACCGTAGTTCAGGAGTTTTACTACTTTTAAAACATTTGCCTGTGTTATTTCTCTTAGAAATCTCCAACTTTCTCTCCGATCGGGAATGCGATCATGTTAAGAACCTCGCTAAGAAAAACGGGTTGAAGGAGAGCGTGGCTGGATTCGAAGAGCAAGCATACAAAGGAGAGATCGAAGACGCTCTAACTCAAGCAGGTATAATCTGGGGCTACGATACAGTTTTACGGATACAGTGGGCGGATACAGTTTTACAAAAGGGCCCATTCATTTTACGTTATCAACAACACGAAGAGGAAACCCAAATTTGTCGATCAACAGAATGAATCAATAATACTATCAGTTAGGCTCGGTGAGAAGAGCATGCATCACAATTACAGCAGAACCTTGTATGGTGATAGCAAAGGTCACAGGGCTGTCTCCGTAAACAAAGAGCGGTGGCGCATCTGCCCCGCCGTGGTTCCGGTGTCCCTGCCTATGACACAAAATACCGAACTTTTTGTTGTGGGCGGGCGCGAAATGGCTCGAAATAGCGATGTATATAGATACATATGGGCTTGAAAAACTCATCATCAAATTCAAAACTATGAATAGTCTCAATGTGAAAGTGAATGTTGCCTCAAATCAATGTTTATACAGGATCGAGGTTTCCACCCTGGTCCCGCGCTATCTTCCAATTTGTTTTATTGTTTCAATATCTGTGTCCATCTTTCTTAGAAACAGAAAACTACGTGCTTCATCTCCCGGAATTTGTCGATTATTTTCACGAATGGGACAAAAATGGAGATTCGTTTATAACCATGGACGAGGTAACATAAAGAATATATCGGTACCCTCTTTATCATTAAATATGCATGTATCATAATTTAGTCTATGTATAATAGTGTAGTTAAATTTATCAGTTCATACATCATTGGTCTATTACTCAGTGATTCAGTGATGAATGGTTTCAGGTTTACAATAATTTGACAAACTCGTACTTTCTTCTTCCAAGGTTAAAGAAATGTGTGAGAGAAGTAATGGCTTATTTTTCACTGAAAACGAAATCAATGACATGTACGTGCAATTTCAGCCACAAAACTTTCCGAATCAACCGTATATGACTGCACTTTGTAACAATGATAAAAGAAATAATACAGTGTAGAACTTTTTCAATTCAATTTGTATTCCGCGCGTGAACTGACTCAGTAACTTTCTTGCAGGTTTTCAAAGATCAATTATACGTACTTTGACGATGGTATGATTCATTATATAATTTCGCAAAATATAACTGAAATATTGCTGAAAGCTGTATCTTAATTAATAAAGTTTTTCGTGCCTTTGCAACTTAGGACTATAATTCAAGTCAATTTAAAAAATCAAAATAAATTCTTAATAATATTCTCGATTTTGCAATTAACTACAGGGCGAATGAACGAAGAGGAATTCAACTTACTTCCGTTCAACAAACTCGACGCGTATCTAAATTTCATTCACTCCAAACATCCATTTCACCGACCAAGATACAGCGAGCACACGTGGCTAAGTGAACAAAAAGATCCAATTTTAACAAAAATTTATGACAGGTTGGTTGAGAAATGTTTTAAGTATGTTGTTGTCTACATTGTATAATAGTCGTAGCTTTCTCGTGCTAGCTTTTGTTTAATGTGCTGATGCAGACTGAAGGCCGCTTTGACAACTTGCTCTCGCTGTTGTTATTATTATGATTTACTCATTGTTGTTTTTTTGGTTTGTTAGTTATTTGTGTATGTTTATATGCTGTTGTTGCAATTCTTGCAATCCCCCTGCATCGTTGGCTGAATGCTTAATTTTTCTTTGACTTTGCAGGATAATTCGGCTGACGCAGTTACCGCGAAAATTGGTTGAAGGGAGTGAAAATATCCAGGTGAGTTACTCATCCACTTAATTCCTAGCTGAAAAAATCTTTGTAGCCGCGAAAGGTAGCTATAGTGTAGTAGATAACCTACACGATATCCAGATAGCGACACTTATAAAATACATGCACAACTATAAAATCCCTCACAACTGCACAAGGTTAATTAACTATCAATTCTAGTAAGGTATTCATCCTCCAGAATCAGGTATATATTTTCTTTTAAGCATACTGTATTAGTCATATACTTATATGTATGTGGATTTTAATAAGGTGTATAAAGTGTGGGTTTATTTATTGAAACGTGCTGTTCCAATGCACGGCGGGCCGGCGGGGTATTCAACATATAGTTATTTCCACTTCTTTTCAAAATGGCGGTTTGTTGTGTTATAGCTAAAATGTTTTGGCAAGACTTTACATCGCAATTGGCAAGGAGTAAAAGCTTAATTAATTGTTAACAACAAGCAGACCTAGGTCATGTAAAGATATGCAGTTTTAACACTTACAAGAGCACGTATAAGTATAAAAAATACTACCTGACGTCGCTTCGTGTCTCAAAGCAACCATGCGTTATAATCCGGCTGTATTTTGAAGGCTCTTGAAACGTCTCCCTCGCGTAAATCTTCACGGCTTTTTTGACCACAACCTCACATTGATTGATTCCTTTTTTACGATGCAAGCCGTTTGCCAATTCCTATAACTTTTCAAGCTTGTATTATCCATTTCACTCACCGAACACCAGCAAACATATAAAAACGGCTTCGGGCAAACGTGTGTTTCATGTACCGAACGTATAAACAACAATAGACAATGATATCTTTTGTTTTGACCTATTGTCTATTCTTACACACGTAGCTATAAGCACAGCCAGTGGCGTAGCCAGCCATTTCGAGTTATTATAATTATTCATGTCTTTAGAAATCTATTGTTTTCACAGTCAATGAACACTAGAATATTAGCATAACGGGACAAATCGACAGGCTGGCTACGCTACTGAGCACAGCTCGGTATAATTAAAGCATAAACATAATCTTTATGTCAGTAGAAGAAGGTGCAAACAAAACGCATGAAAATCCCTAGAACTATTAAAGGAATTTATAGGCAGAAACGAATTAACTTTCTTTTAAAATCTCCACTCCTTTTTTATATTCTCTCTAAATAAAGTTGACAAAAATCCTCTTCAGTATCACTGGCTGGAATTACGCCTTCTTTATGATGGCTATGCAACTTTTCTTGCAACTTGCAATGAAATAATAATTTTGAGGGATGTTAATTTGTAAAGAGTGTTCGAAATGCTTAGAAAACGTTAAGGTCTGTTCACACGATCCAATTTTGTTGGATCCAACTCACTTCTGATGGATGTTTTATAATCTGTTGTCTTGTAATGTATATCAGCAGCAAATCCACTGAAGCGAACGCACTACAGCTTCATCATTAACCGACTATTTTACATACGCCAGAAGTGAATTGGATGCAACAAAATTGGACCGTGTGAACAGACCTTTAGATCGTAACTCGTAAGAAATGTTCGTGTTTGACAACTTTAGATGCCTCAAGAGTTGAATTGCATTGCGAGTTGCAAGGAAAGTCGCATAGTGTAACTAAACCTTCAGGCTTAGTACTTTTCCTTCTAAGCACGACCTGGCGATAAACTAAAATATCGAACTACACTGAAATCAACTCGTGTGCATACGTCGTATTTTAAACAACATTTATATTTTCGGGCTAGATCGTCAAATACAACATTCGTGGTCACTACCATGCTCATTATGATTCAACGCCAGAGGATTTTGGTAAAAACGTCGTCTGTTGCCATCAAAATCACGACAAAGACAAGGAGTGTAAACTATGCAGGTGGGTATCGTAGCAAATTCACAGCGCAGCTTGGGAAATAAACAGATTACCAATTGTGCGTAACTTCTATATGATTATAAAACCACATTTAAAAGAGAAATGCTGATTAAAACAACGATCGAGAAAAGAGACGAATTAAAGATAGGTCTAAGCTTAAAAATTAAATAAGAAATATCTTTCAAATTTTCTGCTTTAAAGCCGTGGCTTTCTTGTAGGATTTTAACAGTGTTGTATTATCTGAATGACGTCGAAGAAGGGGGAGAAACGGCATTTCTCGTTGCAGACAACAAAACATTGAATGTCAAGGTATTCACCACTTATACCACTACACTAAACCTCGTGTTCGATTCCTAACGATTTCTTGAAACGATAACACCCTCTCCCAACTAACGATTTCTTGAAACAGACCTTGATATATTAAGAAGTTAACAAGAATTATTATAAGTTTGAAAACTCACAATAGAACTACAATCCTCTTGTTTTTCTCTGATTGTAGTATCTGAAGTCCTTGAATAAGATGTTCAACCTGAGCAAACGATGTCATACATCAAACCTGCTCGTTCCCGCAAAGAAAGGCACAGCTATAATGTGGTACAACCACGAGGTCGACCCCCGGTCAGGATGGCTGGGAGACTTGGATTACCATACCATTCACGGGGGGTGCGATGTTCTCAGCGGAGAAAAGTGGATTGCAAATTCGTGGATAAATGCACCAACCCCTGATTCTGCGCATGTCTCGAGTTTGTTTTACAGATGAAGATATACGATTATTCATATTTGATTGAACTTAGAGAATAATTTTACCAGAATACTAACAATCCCTCGGTGACAAACTAGCTGCATTCAGTCACTGCTTTATTTTCTACATGTTATGCAGTCATATTGTTTACATGGCCATAGGAGTTGGGTAAGGTGGGAGTGAATCTTTTATAAACTCATGTATAATCACCTCTGTTAAATTGTTATTTGGTATAAAAACATCTTGCTTCTTTTAACCATAATAGCATCTTAATATAGCTAAGTCTTAGTTCTGTAAAACGCCACCGAAAATGTTCGTATCAGTTTAAATATGACATGCACTTGTTAGACATATATATAACGAGTTCACAAGAGTTCACAAGAATATTATTTAGCATTTAAATGTACATGGTTCAATATTATATATACGTATACATATATGTATTCAGTATTCTTTTTATCCATTAATTTCTCGCTGTTTTAAAAGATACGTATTGTTTAGATACTATTGAGACTTCTGACTATATTTACAGCCATGCAAGTCATCATATTATATAGCTATAGTCTATACTGATTAAAGTCGAGTGAGTTCCTCAATCGTTTAACAGCAGTTCCTCGATCGTTTAACCTTGATTTGTGTAAAATTTTTAATGCTTCTTATATGAGTGCACACATATTTTATAGTACAGATATTATCTACCTTATAGTGTTGGTAGGTTGTCCAGAAATAAAGTTTTGCTTGGCACATTTCATTTCCGAGAAGCACAGTGACAAAATTCCGACCTGTTTCGTGCTTCAGGCGTCTGTTGTAGTGTTGTTGATTTCCTGGAATTCTCCTGGATCTCGATTGCTTCATTGGGCTTTACGTCGAAGTTAAACTCGCCATTTTTGGTGATTACGACCACGCCATAATTGTTCACAATATTTATATTTGTTGCGAAATCTTTGCCCGATTCTTGGACCTTTGAAGCGTCTGTTTCGTCACCACTGGTACACTTGCCACTAGAGTTAATGTTAAAGATCATGGTGCCAATGTTTTTGTCCATGAAAATGTGCAATTTATGTCCAGTAAAAGTGTAGGTTTTCAAAGAATCTTCGTCTTTGAATGACGAAGTAGGTTGTTCATCTTCGGTGGAGCAATCGCGGTCGAATACGACGTTTAGTTGTTCTTGAGTCCTTACTTTAACTCCGTCAATCAATGAATCATCGATGGTTCTTTTATCTGAAGCCATTTGAAGGAAAAAGGTGTAATACGGAGTAGTTAATTGGGTACGTCTTCTTTGCAAATGATTAGGATTTGAAACTCGAAACACATCTGTCAACATCAAGACGCTTCCAAGAATGACGTAGCTCGAAACCAGGACTACGTAGTCGGCGCTCGGTCGTTCCGTTCTGGCATATACCTTAGGTTGACCTTTGTAGCAGGGAACGCGCTTGAAATTTGATTCCAAGGAAACATGTGTACAATGTTCTTCCACTTGACAACCAGTTAAGTTCCTGTCGTTTGCCCTTGAGCACAGATTACCCAGATGTCTCACTTCTGATTAAAAAAGCGTAAGCGCTTGCTCAGCAAGTGACTAGAGGCATCCCCCCCCCCGAAATTTCAAAATGGAGCCGAACTATTTTATACATGGAAAAAAACCTCCTCTCATTTGCTAGAGAAGGCGACTGTGTAGTTAAGTTTGTGTCTGAATCCATCATCATCTATACGCGCTTTGGAAAAGTGAGTTTAGAGTACCTCGTTTTCAATATTGTACGAGTGTTTTATCTTTTTTCGATTGTCGTAGGAGCGGAAAATTATAAGCAGTAGAAATCTCCATAATTTCAAACATATTTCTTTTAAAAAGTGTTTGAATATCTTTACATTGAATGGAACTTCCTGTACAAATCAATAAATGTACATATATTCCGACTCATTTGACACATCGTGCAGTTTTTCACTTCAATTCAGTTCGTCTCCATTTTGAAATCTTCTTTCGGGGGGGTGAATGCCTCTAGTCACTTGCTAAGCGTGCGCAGAAAGCGATGCGCAGTGACGAATCGCTTACGCTTTTGAGTCAGAAGTGAGACATCTGGGTGTTAATCTGTGCCTTGAGGCACTATTACCTTTCGGCTTTCAAGAGTCACCTTAGAATGGATTAGTTTGTAGAATATTAAAACCACATCAACATATTTGAGAAAGATCAAAGAATTTAAATTTAAAATGATTAAAATTTTTATAATAATCATTATATTCATTTTCTGTATTTCTAGGAATTAGTTAAATATAACAAACAGGTACATTCTCAGTCTGTTACGGTGTGTGTTTACCGGCCATTATTACAGCAATTTAGAGATAATAAAATTAAATAATAAAACTCTTGAATAATTTGCCACACTTACCGACCATCTAGATGAAAATCTCTTTACAGAATCTTTTCGAGTTAATACAACGAACAGGTGTCCACTTCTGTCGAGTTTTGAGAAAGTAAGCTGAAAGACATAATCACAGGTCATAGCATATGCAACGTGCTCTGAAATGATATGATAAAAGTTGCATGTACAGGTGGACAGCCTAACCTCAACTGAACAATCACAGATCATAATAATATATACGACTCCTCCTGAAAAGCGGGTGTCGAGATTTCCCCTACTGCGATCTATATAGCCACACAGTCAATCAAATGATGACAACATAACCTTTTCTGAAAACTCACCCTCTTGAAAATACACAGTTCATTAAACAAGCCCCCCAGGAAGACTAAAAACTACAAATCAAATCACGTTTGTCCAACAAACACGACATGCCTCCCAATGAAACATTAGAAAAAATCTTTAGAATTTCACAAAAAAATGTGTTTTTCGCTTGTCACCACCAGCACATTCCTGGTTCAACATTTCAAACGAATAATGCTTTTTGCAGGAATACAAATGTACAAAACAAGAGCTTTTTCGTAGTTCCCAATTTGATCTACAGCGTTAAAAATACACTGACAAAGCGTGGTTTAAATGCCAAACATTGATGACCCACAGGGATTCAGAGGTGGGCTACAGTTATAATTCGCAACCCTTTGTAGTCTTACCGTCCCGAATTACAAAAGACTGCAAGCTTACATACTATGGGAAAAATTCAAATTTTACTAAGGATGAAAGCACAGATGGTTGAAACTTCATTTATACTGATAACAAACAGACATTCCGATTGGATAATGACATATTCTAATCTTGAAGTCGGATTTTACTCCACGGGGTGAATTTGTTGGGGTGAATTTGTCGGCGCGAACAACAAATTTGTCGATGACATTGACTAAGGTAGAAGAAAAGACTTCTTTCCCCGATTAATTGCATGGCCGAAGTTTGCTTTTACGTTGCTTCACCTAACAGACTAACATCAACTGCCATTGTTATTGACCTATTTTTTTTTAATCTCAACAGACTCAAAGGGATGTTAAAATGTCCTTGACATTTTTAGCAGAGTTTATCACGCCGAGGCCGATTTGTTTCGAGATAAATTTACCAGGAAAGTGAGAATAATACTAGTGCAAAGATTGACGGTTGACATTCATACTTATGGAATATAAAGACTTGATAAAAACACACTTTAACAACGCATTTTGTATTTAAATCTTTAGAAATCTTCAAAACTGTATCCTACAAAATGTACCATGCGAATTCTCTACCATGGAACTTTTAGAATTACAAAAATAATCATGCCTATTCTAAACCAAACGTTACATCACAGTCATGGCCTGTTGAAGTATGGCTATTATACCCTCGTTCTCAGTTTCCTCAATAGGCAGCGCGCCGTTTTCGTTCTCTATAAACAAGTCCGCTCCGTAATCAATGAGTAATGCAACAGCGCGGGAACTCCCCCCTTGAACTGCGGCATGTATCGGTGTACAACCATCAGAAGATTGCTTATTGATATCAGCGCCACTTCTGAGCAACAATTCTACCACAGGAACGTTGTTTGCAAAAGCAGCCTGGTGTAAAGGAGCGACTCCATTTTGATTCAAAGAATTCAGTTCGATCTTTCCCGAATCGATCCACTTCTTAACCTGCTTCACACTTCCACTTGAAACGTCGCACGATCCAACGGGGACAACGAATTTTACACATTTCGAAGTGGACGTTGGGCTCGCACACGACGACGACGACGTTCGGGTGCTTCTGTGAGCCGCGTAGATAACATCGGGCCAATCCAGGTGCGATGGAGGAACCGATGAGTTCGACGATACCGATGATAACGATGTCATCGATGATGATATCCATGATGGTGATAAAGGGATGATATGATCGTGATCAAGCTCATCATCCGATAGCGGTTCGTCGTAGAGCGGTCGAGATTGCGGGGGAGTTGGTCGGCGTCCTCGTAGCGACCTTCGGAATGTTCCGCGAGGTGGTTCGCCCTCTTCGGCCGGGCTTTGTGGACTAGTCGGTTCGACATCGTCGGAGGTCGACTCCTTCGGGACTTTTGGTAAATTGAGGCTGTGGGGACGACGTACGGCCGAACGACGTTTCATACGCGAGGTTGGCAGTTTATCCTTCTTCTTCATGTCATCCACAATTCGTTGAAAAGTTTTAGGATTTTGTTTGAAATATCCTCTGACATACGTGTACAGCCCTTTACGGATCATTCCTTTAACCAACAATAGGATAACATTATCCTTCTCGGCCAAATCTAGCGCCAACTCCCCGCGATCGGTTTTCGCCTCCAAGTCGACTCCGATCTTGATAAGATACTTGACAACGGCGTAATTTCCAGCGACCGAAGCAGCGTGAATAACTGTCCAGCCTTCGCTGTCCTTAATCGAAACGTTCGCTCCGGCTTCGATGAGTAAACGCACGATTCTGACATCCCCTAAGAAACAGCTTCGTTGCAACGGTGTGAGTCCGTTTGCGTCCAACGAATCGACGACGAATTTCTGCTTATCACAATTCTCGATCAAAAGTTTCGTTCGCAAATAGTCCTTGTTATCGACAGCCTCGTGAAAAAGTTCCAAGGTCTTCCGTTTGATAGCAAACTTCAACATGACGCTTAAATCCAGATATTTCACAACAACGAATAGAAATCAATCTTACTTTGAAATCTCAACTCGTTTTCGTCGATATCAACCGATGTTTCTGCCCCTCGATAATTTAGATACACAAACTTCCTACGATGTATCTCCTTCGATTCGAAGTCAAATATGGACAAACTTTCGTACGGTATGTGCGGGCACAAAACTCTTGCACCAGTAACGACAATTCGTGGTTTTTATCTTCGATAAATTTTACCCCAGCGCCCAAAAATCGGCAGTTCTTCACACAAAGTTAACACGTATCTTCACTTCTGAGCTACAGAACAAATAATGTACAAAGTCGGTAAGTTAAATATACTTTACTTACTTATCTCTATTATGTTTATTCGTAACAATATTATCTAAATCAATGAAGCGAACAATTATCGCACATTTTTAATAAGCTTACAGTGTCGTGTTGTTCTTTACAAATGTAAACGATACAGATCCAGCAGTTTGTTGCTGTTATCCGCAGATGTCAACGAATGACCAAGTGCACAGTTGTCAAAGTATATCTCGCCTATGTGTCGAGGCGTTTTAGTGCTAAACACGAATGAATGACGTTCGGGAAGACACCAGCCTCTTTTAAAGCCACTGTTTACAATATGAACGCGTATAAGTGTAGCTACTTTGAAACCTGCCAATCAACGGCCGGTCATTTCAGGTACTTGAAAATGAAAAATTAATGACATTTTGAAACGAATCCAAAAGCTCGCATGCTTCCTCCGTTGAGGGCTCTATCATGAAAACAGGAGGAGAAATGAAAGAGGTATTTGAAGTGTTGCTCATTATAAATGAAACATATTACCATATCACACAATGGCTGAGCTTTGACATTGAATACCGTTTCCTGTCACGATTTACGGTGACAAATAAGTCTCGTCATGAATTTATATATCTTTGTACACCAAACGCAATTATCGGTCATCGCAATTAACTGAAAGTTCTGCTTTAAAAAAATTGCTGTTTGTACGTTAAAAAGAGTCGTGCATGATTAAATTTCACAGTATCATTGTCAAGAGTAATTTTGACACGGGGCAAATAGTTTCGCTGATGGTTGATATGATAAGCAATATACTTGAATATATTTTAAATTTATGAAAAGAAATGCGTAGGTTGAAACTTGCGATAGCATGGAAGATCTTAATATCAAACAGTCGACAAAAACTTTGCAACAGCTTCCTCTTTTTTCCACCGACTTTCTTTGAAACTAAATATAATAACCTATAACGTCTATAACGTTGTACGTTGTATAATAACCTGTAACGTTGTATATTCGTGACGCTGAATGACTCTATAGAATGTTATCTTTACGGGGTAGAGAAGTCTATGGAGTGTCGAAAAAGGATAGTCGAGCCATATTGGTTCAGCTTCTTAAGTTTCTAAGGAAATACTGGAATCTGGACGTGAACTACCTTCAACTGAAATTACCAGATTTTGGCACGATTTACAAACACCACCCAACATCACCCAAACAAACACCACCCAGGGCGAGGCCCTGCATGTCAAGGCAGGCCCTCGTGTCCAATCCGACAAACATTTTGTTAATTTGATAACTAAAAAATTCCCTCATTTCCCCTAGAATTTTCACGCAAAAATTCGCCTCTCTCGACACTAGCTAGAATCAACCCATATTTTTGTAAGACTATAGGGCGTTCCTAATTTTCTAGAGCACACAAGGCTCTCGTAACACCGACAATAAGCAGGCACGTGCAAGAGCTTCCTCTGGGGTGAGTTATTCGAGTGCACAACGGAAAAAAAAGGGAAAATATGAAATTCAGATTCGACGATTCAGACACCAGGCATTTCCTTTTAGCTGCCAAAGACATAAAAACAAGCTCTTCAAATAGAGCCTTGGCTCTTCAAGCCGGCACCGCGTGTAGATGCAAAAGCGCATATTATATAAAGGACTTCTCGTCCGTCACCGACCTACGAGACCTATATACCAGACAATATCTATGTCCAAGGAATAACATCGGTGCATCATGTAGACTTCATAGTTGTCATGTAATATTTCATCCAAAAATCAATGTCTTCTCTGAAGCGTCAGTATCGTTTCAAATTACACACGAAATTGAAAGAGAAACAACATCCTAGGGCCTAAAGATTTAAGGGTATAAATTCGAGAAGGTAAAATTCGGAACTCGGACGCTGATTAATAGTCCACGAGACAAAAACTGTAGCTGGTAGAGACATGATTTAATACACTGTGGTTTGACACATGTAACTAATAGTATAGTCCGTACTAATTTGCGTAATTGTATTTGTCAGCTTATCTTCTAATGCTCATTAAGCATTTATGAAGCTATGTATTTGTTCTGAGCTACAGCTAATAATAAACTTACTTTCATCTGTGTCCTGAATAAAATATTTGTTTCGCGACAAGAGCAGACGCCTCGCTAAACGTATACAAGAAACGGTTGAAATTAATCCCTCAAATCCGAAAGGCGCCAAAACCACAAATGATAGGTTCTCTGGCTCAAACACGTGTATCGGCGATATTACAAACGACAAATATATGCCAATATAGGTAACAAACAAATGTGCATGTATATACAATATTCCGTGCACAACAAATTCCACTATAAGGAAGTTAATTCGGACTTGGAAACAACAATGCTTTTATAGGCATCGAGTTAGCCCTTTCTTTTAGACTTCATAAACAATGCTCTTAACGTTTCCATACGGTGTCATACATTGAGGAACTTAAGAGATACACATTTCAATAACAATGCATGCAATTAACTTTGAATACAACAACCCTGTTATTAAAATTCATGCACTTCAAATGACTGTTGGAGAATTCCTCGCGCAGATGAATCTCGGGAAGTACACAGACATTTTTCGATTCAATAGCGTTTAAGAGCTCGAAAAATGTAAAACGCGTGCTCCTTTGCCAAATGCCTCCGTCCAGAAATGCACACAAAAGTGAAAAGTAGAATAGCTCATTAATAGCCCATTTTAAATGCATGGTATATATACTATTATATTTTGAATACTATTTGCAACATGTTATGACGTGAATAGGTGAAATATATATAATTGATATCATCAACTCTGTTACTTATATGAATAGTTGAAATAAAGAGAATTAATAGCATTTCGTGTCATTGCTGGAACGATAATGTTTCCTGATTAGAGTTGGAAGTTATTTATCAAGTTTGTATAATTCAAGTAGGTTCTAGAGCACATTATCCGTGCTTATACATTTCAATGTAAAAGGCTTTCTTTGATACAAAAAATGAAAGAATTTAGATCACAACGACACAAAACTTTATCTATATTTCAAAATGTAACCATACATGTATAGTTGATGGCAAACATATATTAGCTAATATGCCATTTAATAAGAAATATCGATATTGATATAACTTACAATTTACATTCCCTGTCAAAACATATAGCCGTATATTGTCTTATATAATTGAGATGTTATATCGTTTCAATACATAAAGGAACCATATGTCATATAGTAAACAAGGTTTTCTCGACAGAGGTGTAATATTGACTAGTTAATAATCGAATTGGAAGTTAAAGCCATGTTACACGGTGCAATTTTTCTTGCAACTTGCAATGCAATTCTACTTCGAGGAAATGTGAATTAGTGAAGAGTCTTGCAGAAGAAAAGTGCATGAAGTGTAATAAACACTAAAGTTTCGTTGATCCCAAATATGCATCTCTCAAAAGTAGCAAACTTGCAAAATTGCATTGCAAGTTTCGCTTTCTTGAATGATCGAGTATAAGAAAGAGTTCATAAGATATTAATTATCAAGATATATCAAGGTCAAAAGACATACGCTCCGCCCTAATTTGTGCATCCCTCTTAACTGTAATATAAACGAAAATACCGCTTCTCTTTTACTTTACTTTAGACAGGAACATTTAATTAAACTATTTTGAGAGATGATTATATATCTATTGACCTTGGGTATACCCTCAAGATTCAAAATAATTAATCCAGCACCCTTTACGAATCCATTCCACTTGGTCATTATAGATTTGATTACAGTAGAATTATCTACAATTGGTCACAGTACAAGATAGCATGCTTGTTCAGCCTCACATATTCCTGCCTTTCGACAGCCGGATGATTGTGTATTTTAACACTTTGCTAAACGAAAGCATCCCACACAATGACTCAGGGATATAACATTATGCAATCTTATTGAAATATCTGTACACAATCTTTCAAAGGTAAGTGAAATGATTTGGAAAACTGCATTTCATAGATTGCTTCATATACATCACGTAAGAAACTACATTATTTTCACATTTATATGCACTATATGCAGTCATGTTCAGGTTAATTGAGTTTGTTGAAAATTAAGTACCCCTATCTTTGAGTGTACCATAATAATTCGAAAATACATCATTCTAAGTATATTTGTGCAATAACCTAGTTCGTGGTGTTCGGCTTATTATTCCTTGTATACACAATATTAAAATCCACGATTATTACACAACTGCATGTTTGTCTGACAAAAGTGCATAGAACACTACGAAAAGCTTTCCAAATTGCATTGGAAACAAGCATACAAATATAATCAAATATATAGCTTTACTTATTAATAACCAGGCTTTTCTTAGAGACTTAAAGTCATAAAATTATGGAAAACATCTAACAATTCTTTGTCTTACATGCAGCCAAATCGCCTGACAGTTACGAATATTATTTCCCAAAAAGTGATAAACTTTGACATGTTTTTCAAATATGTTTGCTTTGAACTTCCTTATGGGCATGTAATGTTTTCAGTCAAGCCTACATATAAACAAGATTTCCTCATATTTTGCAGTATACGCCTTGCTGAATATCGAGATGATTCTTTGAAAGATATTGTGATTTAAAACAAAGAATCGAGTGCTTCTTCCTCTAATTCGTGCGTATAGGAAACTCAAAACGGGAACATGCAAGGGCTAATGACTAATGACGTTACATGTTATAGCCCAGAGGCGTGGCTTTGAAAACAATACCATTCCTGATGATATTCAACCGTCTATATAAACCAGTCAACAATTCCAGATTGTAAGACAATACATATATTATATTGAAACCAAGATCAAATCTTCAATCCATCTATCCAGACATATATTAGGGATTGTAAACAACGCACTATACGCGGTACCAATCAAGGCTGACTTAATGTATGTGAATGATCAATATCATGTTTTTCAGATAATATGCATATAATGCATTATGTGCTGTATAGAATACTGTTCAATAGTGTTTGGGGGAATTTAACTAACGTGCATAACGTTGGCTATCTATATACAGACGAA